GCGTAATTTTTGCAAATATATAGGCTTTATATTTTATTATAGTTGGTCCTTTAATTTTTATTTTTTAAAATAAATAGATAAAATATTCGAAAGCTGCCGGGCTTAAATATTTTATTTTATAGTGCTATTATATAGCTTTCTTAGTTAATAATAGCCTTTTTATTTATATTATATATTTTTTCCGGTAAATAATAAATAACGCTAAAGGTAATTCGTAAGGTTTATATTCGAGGACGTATTATCCGTATCGGTTTTAAAATATGCTAATTAAAAATTTATCTTTTTTGCGTAGTATTATAGGGTCGTTTTTATTATCCTAATAATATTTTTATCCTTATAGTTAATAGAGTAATATTAGTATAATTAGCAGCTTAAAATAATAAATTATATTATTTAATAATAATATTTTAGATCCGAGTTATATAATTATTATATTATACCTATAAATAAGTAATTTCCGGTCGCTTAATTAGATAAAATCGTAATTAGGAGCTTGCTTATAGTTAATAAGCCTTTTTTTTATATTTATAATTAAAATCGTTATCGCTGGATTTAGGATAATTAAATAGCGTAAAAGGTAGTTTTTTGTAAATGCTATAAAACTGTTTTATACGTTTGTTATTAGTTATTTGTTTTATTAATTTATATTAATCGGGAGCGATTTCTTTTTAGTTATTCGTAATATATTAATTCGGCTGGTTTTAATCCTTTTTATATTATAAACTTATTTTTATAAATTAGGGTCTTTTTTAAAGGTTTTATTTATTCGTATTTATATTTTATTTTTAGGGACGAAATTTGGATAGGCTTTTTTTAAAAATACGTAAAAACACAAATTAAAAGCGTAAAAAAAGTGGCAAATAAGGCATTTAGTATCTTTTTGCCTTTTATTATAAATAATTCGTTTACCTTTTTTTTTACGTAAACTAACCGCATTTAATCGGGGAGGTATTTAATTTTTAACGGGGTAAGCGTTTTTATTTTATCCGTTTTAGGGCTATTTTTTAGCTTTATTAGCGTAAATTGCAAAAGCGCTTTTCCTAATTTTTAGCCTAATCGGCTATTAAATATTTAAGCTTTTACGGAAGTTATTGCTTATTACCCGATATTTTAAATTTTTATTTAAAATGCTTTATTTTTTGTAAATTTAATAAAAAGCGGCCTATTATAGTATAATTAAAATAATTATATTTAGGAAATCTATAGCCTAAACCGAATTATTTTATATTTTAATTATTTATTTTGCTTAGGCTTTCGCTATAATTATTTTTTATTTATTAACCTAATTAATAGCTTTTTTTAATATTTTCGGAGGCTTAAAAGTTTTTAAATATTATTTTTTTGCTTTTTTTTTGTTATTTATAGCTAATTTGCTATAGCAAGCCTTTAAATTTTCGTATTATTTATATAAAAGCTTATTAATTAAATAATATATAAAAAAAAATTTTGGAAAAATCGTTATAATTATCCACTTTATAATCTTTTTAATTGCCATATATTATTTAGCGTATATAGCCTTTTTTGTTTTATAATAGTTATAATCGAAGTTAAATAACTTTTAACCTTTTTTAATAAAATCCGTAATCGTTTATTTTCTATCCTTTTTATTTTATATAATTAGATCGTCGTTTGCATTTATAGTTTCGAGGGTAGCAGCCGCGGTTTTTGTATATTTAGTTTTTTTTATATCCGGTTCGATTAAGGTTTTAATTAAAGTCGTTTTATTTTTAAAGTAATTAATTAATCCGGCAATCTATGCCTAAATCTAAAACGTATATTTTTAATTATTTTAATCGGAAATTATTTTTAACGATACCGTTAAGCCGATTCCGGCTTTTTTCGTGGTTATTATTTTTATAGTTTCGGCGGAGGTATTAAGACTTTTAATTATTAATTAAAATAGTGTTTTTTTATTAGAGTTTAAATTGGTTTAGTATAAGTGTTAATTATATAATATATTAATTTATATTTTACGCTTTTTAGTTTTAATAAAGTATACGTTTATTTAGGTGGCCCCGGCTAATCCCCGGGAGGTCCCGTATATTTATTTAAATATTATAAGGTTGATCCGTGTGCTTAAGCACACCCTAATATATGGGAACCATAATCTACCATTTGACAGAAACGAATTATACGAGACGTGGCTTCGCAGATCGCTATTAGTATTAAATTTAATAATTAGGCTATTTATATTAGGAAGAATTAGGTGAATAAATTCGTATAACGCTATTTATATTTGGTTATAAAGCTAAAACGGGTTATTAATACCGATCGGATTAATAAGATTAATTCCGGGGCTATTTAAAAATTTTATATATTTATAAATAAAGTCCTAAAGCTATATTTAATTAAACTTAAAAATATATATAATATAAATAAAATTAGGGTTTAAAAAGGTAAAGCTAAAAAAAGGATTATTATAAGTATATCGAGATTACGTCGCTTTCGTATTTAAAAGTCGGGAGCGATTAAATAAATAATTGTGATTTATAATATTAACGCTTTCGGCTTAATAATTATAATAATTTATATTTTAAAAAAATAACGTTATAAGCGTAATAGTTTCTTAAAAATTTAAAAAAAGCTAAATTTATTATTATATATAAAGGATAATTTAATTTTATTATAGCCCTTTTATAGCTTAAGTAAATATTCGGCTTAGAAACGAGGCCCCGTAAAAATGCGTAACGGCTACGCTTTTAAAGGATATTAATATTAAATGGCTATAACACTTATTTATTATTAAAATTTATGCTTATAATTTATCGTATAAGGATCGCGTTAATATACCTGCTTATATATATTAGCGAAGCTTTTTAGCCATTTAATAAAAGTGTATTTTCCTTTTTTAAGCATTATTATTATTAATAGCTTAGTAAATAGCGTAAAATAGCAGTAATTAGATTTATTTAAAAGCAGAAAATGCTTATAGCTTATACTACGGTTTATTAATTAGCTTTTATATAAGAGATTATATAAAGTGGCTGGCGTAAAACGGGTATATAGCCTTTAAATCCTAGTTAAATATTAAATAACCCTAAATTTTTTCCTTTAATCCCGACCCCTTTTTTATATATATTACTAAAACCTTTGGATATAGCTAAAATTGCTATTATAACTTTTTATAATAATAAAGATTTTCGGGATATTTTTTTTTCTATTTAAAAGAAGCATTTAGCGTTAGGGCGGGAGGTAAGGCAATTAATAACGAAAACGGCAAAAATATTAAATTTAATAATAGCAAAATTAGCTATAACGCGCTAAGATAATTTATTTTTAAATATAAAATTAGGTAAATATAGGCCCGATAAACGTTAAATAGTTATTTTTAATCCGAATTAAGCATTTGCCAGTTTTCCATATATTAAATTTATTTAAAATAAGCTAAATAAGCGGCTGCGAGAAATGCTATAAAAGGAATAGGTTCCTATTAATAGTTTCCTTAAAATATAGCCTTTTATAATTAAAAAACGACGTAAAAACTAGATCTATAATTGAAAAAATCAATTTAAGTATGTTGTGGTGGGAAAATATTTAATTATATTATGTGTTCTGTATCGGACTTTGTTAAAAATCCGTTGCAAAAGGGGGTGCATTGCATAAGTGGGTGCAACTGGTTAGTACCCATTACCTTAGTGTAGATACTAGATGGTTCAGCATCATCCATTTTTTAACGACAGATTCATGCTGGTGTTGCACATATCATCTCGAACAGCTTCTTTGGTCTGATGCCTTTCTACCTCCTTAGGTACCTACCTGACCTGACCTGACCTCACCTAGTTAGTTAGCCTCTTCACCGGAGGGCGCCCATCAAAGAGGGACAGCAAAAAAAGATCGGACTAAACAGCCTCTTCCCCACAAATGCATGACCCTGCATCAGATCCCTTTCCAGCCAATGAATTCATGCAAACGGGCTGTGTTTGCCGCCAAGAGGCATGTATACGCAACTGACGCTTGGTCGGCGCGCAGCGTTTAGAAAGCTTGGAAGGAGACTTGGGGAGAACCGGCCGTTTGTTCTCTTGCCCCCTTCGTAACCAACCACGGGGAGAAAGAGTGTGAGTGCATTCATGCCTAGACAATGCCTGTACTTCTAGGCACATCGGCTGGTCTCTTTACCCCCAAGTCAGTAAAAAAAAAAACCGACACTACTGCCTTAATGCTGCCCAGGGATGATACTATAATTCCCGGGCCACTAAGGCAGGGGTGCACGTCAATCACAAGGGATGGGCTTCTTTTTCGGATGGGGTGATAGTCAGGCACTACACACACTCACACTCGTACTGACATCGCTGGACCTCTCCACCGTATTGACATGGAAAGAATATGCATAGTTTGTAGACGAGACCCGCTTTGTTGGCCGCATACTCGCTTGCCACGAGGAGGGAATGGGGATTGGGTGGGTTTTGGGTGGATGGCGGATGGGGGGCACAAACGGAATGCATATAACCTCTCTTTGTTCTACCTCTGATTCTCCCCTTCTCTTTTCCCCATCAAGTCTTCACTCCTTCAAGAAAGTGCCAGGTCTCTCGGGCTTGGATTGTGTTCTCTCTTTTCTTTCTGCACAACTTTTGTGTACAATTTTGTTCCCATTCTCATCTTTTCTCGAGAAGTTTTTTCTACTTGGATTCTTTGACGTCGTCCCGGTGACAACAAAGGTGACAAAAAGGTGACAAACAATCTTCATCACCCCTCCACCACCGTCTGTCAAACGCTCCATTGACAACACATTCTCGACAACCACTTTCCTTAACAAAGACACACAAACCCAACACAGGGCTATTGTCTGGGACAATCGATTCATTTCGACCTTCTTTTGCCTTGTTCATTGTCGACTTTGCCGTGCAAGTCTACTTAAGGCATCCCATTTCAAATTTCTTGGTTTAACCAACCAACATTCTCGAGTTCAAACAAGCTACTGGTAGCTCGTTTATACACTCATACTTTCTATCATCTCGCATCACGAAAAAAACCGGGTTTTCTCTCCCAAAATCATCTTCAAGATGCAGTTCACCACTACTGGTTTCGTCGTCGCCGCACTGGCCGCCTCGACCTCGGCACACATGAATATGTATGACCCGCCGCCGCTGAAGTACAAGGGCAACCCCAATGCCGTGACCATCGACAGCGATATCACTTCGCCCAACACGGCCTCATCCTACCCTTGCAAGGGCGCCCTGGATGTCTTTGACACCGATGAGGGTGCTTCCGTCGCCACCTGGGAACAGGGTTCCCAGCAGAGCATCAAGATTGAGGGCGGTGCTTCCCACAATGGAGGATCGTGCCAGGCCTCTTTGAGTTACGACAGCGGTTCCACCTTTACCGTCATCTACTCCAAGGAGGGTGACTGTCCCACGACTCCCGAGCTCGACTTTACTGTTCCCTCGGACGCTCCCACCGGCGACAAGGTCTTGCTCGCCTGGTCCTGGATCAACCACACCGGTAACCGCGAGTACTACATGAACTGCGCCTCCATCACCATTACGGCTGCTGGCTCTTCCAAGAAGCGTGACGTCGTTGAGGAGAAGCGCGAGGAGCCCAAGAAGGTCAACAAGCCCGCCAAGCGTGACACTGCCTTCACCGACCGCCCTGCCCTCTTTGTCGCTCAGCTGGACGGCATCTCTCCCTACTGTGTCGCCGAGGGTGTTGATGTCCAGTACCCCGAGCCTGGCCCTGATGTCGACTCTACCGGCTCCTCCCTCGGCCCCGCCACCTACTGCAGCTCTGGCGAGGCAGTGGCTGCTGGTTCCGACAGTGGATCTGACTCTGGCTCTTCTGCAACTGGTGCTGGATCTACTACTGCTGCTGCTACTAGTGCTGCCACCAGTGCTGCCACGAGTGCCGCTGCTGAGACGTCTGCTGCTGTGACTTCGGCGTCAATGTATGTTTCTTCTTCATCGTCCCTAGCCAGCACATCATCGTCATCAGCACCATTGTCATCGTCATCAGTGCCTGTGGCATCAGCCAGTGGCACATTGGAGGTGTCCTCTATGGTGTCTTCTGTGCCCACGGGTCTCACCATTATTCCCATCACCATCACCAAGTCGTCGAGCAGTGTGCTAATGACTTCATCCTCTAGTCCTGGAGGTGTTTTCATCACCTCTCCCGGCGGCGGCGATGCGTCATCCACTGCCTCGTCCACTGCCGCCCAGGCTTCTGAGACGACGCTGTCTACCAAGACCAGCGCTGCCTCGACCTCCAAGGCCGCCACCACCTCTTCCTCTTCTTCCAAGGCTGCTGGATCTAGCGCCGCTGCGACCAAGACCAGCAGCTCTGTTCCCGCAGCCTCCAGTGGTGCTGGATCTACTAGTGCCCAGTCTGGTGCCTGCACTGACGATGGTGCCTGGGCTTGTGCTTCGGACGGAGCCAGCTTCCAGCGCTGCGCCAGTGGACAGTGGAGTGCCGCCATCCCCATGGCTGCTGGCACTTCCTGCGTCCCTGGTATCTCGGACACGCTCAACATGAGCCGTCGCAGCACCAACATGCGCCGTGTCCGTCGCGGCTACGAGGCCTACGACCAGATCATCTAAAGATCTGACGCCCCCCAATTCTTGGGAGTGAAGAGCCCTTTCACTCGATTTCTTCTCTCATCGAGGCCTGAGGCCTCTTTTTTCAATTCTCTTCTTCGATTCTTCTTTTGGTCCAAGGACATTTTTCTGTACATATACATTTTTTGTTTCCTGCAATGGGATTCCTTTTTCAATTCTTGTACATGTAGTACACATGCTTGGAGTGTAGAGAGAGAGAGACAGGGAGAAAGATACGACGTCACCCATACATTTTGTCAGGGCATTTACGAATGGCGTTCTTGAGGATGCATTTTCATGGACTGTTTCACGAACCGGACAAAAAAAGCAAACATGAAAAAGAAACAGAGACGTACGATAGGAAGAATGATATACCACATTCATCGATACTCATAATGATTGAAATGCTTTCGTGTGATTTTCCGGACGGACAGAAATAACAGAATAATCCATGACTACCGGCTATTCCTCTGCCTTGACCCAACCCTCCTTTTCATTCTGCGCCTTACTCCTTTGACTCCAATCGGGCGCAACATCAATACCGTCTTCCTCCTCCTGGTCCCCTTGCTCCTTGGTCTCGTGCACCGAAGTAGGCTTGTGCTCGGCGGGGCTGTAGACGGTATACAGCAGGAGCGGCGTGGGTCCGGTATTGATAAACTGGTGCTTGGTGCCCGCGGGCACGACGACCAGGTCGCCGGCCTTGACGTCCTTTTCCGCTCCGCCGACCTGCGCCAGCGCCGTCCCCGAGGTGAAGGTCAGGATCTGGTCCACCGTGTGTATTTCCTCGCCAATGTCGCCGCCGACGGGAATCGTCATGAGCACGAGCTGCGAGTACAGGCCTGTCCACAGCACGCGGCGGAATTCCCCCGATTGTGAGGGCAGCGCCGAGAGCATGTCGGGGAAGTGCTGCATTTCGTGCTTGGGCGGATCGCTCGAGGGCGTGGAAAAGGTACGAGAGGATGTGGGAGACATTTTGCTATGACGGGTTGTGCTGAATGGTGTTATTGAAGAAGATGATGGTCTGACTATAGGTGATATTCTTGTAGTTGGGATTATGTGAGATTGACTTTGTACGAAGCGACAAGACAGATTCCTCGCAATTTTAAATGTAGAAGGAGGAAACATGTTTCTATCTTTTCTGTCTGAAAGTAGGGTGAGAACTAGCAACTTATATATACACAGAAACCATGTGAAGCCTTTTCATCTATGCGAGGAGCAGGGGGGGTTTTGAGAGTGGCAGGGGAGTCGAGCAGTGATGACGACAACGTTGGGAAATATTTAGGTAATTGCTTGATGTGGAATCATGAGCTTTTGTATGAGAAATTTGATATATTTGAGGGATACTGTAAGTTGCGATCCAATTAAATATGACCTGCCATTGCATCCAAACATATATCTGGCTGAAGGTGGTGAGTAAGCGTCACCAAACGTCATACACTGGCCATGCCTCCGCGAAAGTTTCGGGATCGGCGCCAGGGGTCCAAGGTTGTTGATAAATGGGCTTGGGCTCCCCAACATGTATGGAATCATGGGAGCGAATCCTCAATATTGCGACAGCCAGGCGGCCATGGTGCGGGAGACGTCGATTTGGGAGTATCACCATCATTTCGACATATTTTGCCGTGTTCATGCAAATTGACAAGTGGGTAGACTCATGCATGCCCTTTCCCCATGCACGAAAGATGCAGTACTAGTGTTACCTCATCCGGTACAACCAACACCAATGTGCAGAACACAAAACTCTATAGGGAATAAAAGTCATTTAGGTTATGTCAAAGAGGTACACAGCTTTCTCCGAGACTGCAGTTGCCACAATAACATACTAGAAGAACATTGTTTACCAGGTAGCTGTGATTAAAAATATAAATAAACTGTCACTTGCAAATGAGGCAAGTTAGAATCCATCATCAGCACCCCATCCCTTCTGACTCCTCTCCTCTTCTCACAACTCATTATACGCATTTATTCTCTAGGTCAATAACCATGTCTGCTGTCGCAGTATATGCCAAAATCAAGTTCACGATGCTCTTTCTTGACAGGACATGTGATATCTGCCGCGGGCTCTCGCTGCACCCTCCGGGTCCGCTCGATTCATTTGAGAAAAATGGTGTTCGAGATTCCTCACATCAAAAAGAACCTATCATTGGCCAGAAAATATCTCGGCAACACAACCAACAATGTAGAGACTGATGACGGAACCATTACTATTGCCTCCTCTTGCAGTACCAATGCAAACAAATTATACACAAACGTCCACCACGCGGAAATGACCGCCCGCAACATGTCCCAGTCATCAGACTGCGCAATACGAATATCCCGCGCGGAAGAACTCATTCAGACCCTCCAAAAGGACACACAATTTTTCATGGAAAGCTGCAGACGTCTCATGGAACTCAGTGCCAGCACACCCAAGAGAGGCGTCGTTGATGATACTCTCCTCCAAGGCAGCACGATACCTTTGTCAACACGGCTCCATGATCTCTTGCCATGGCATCTCCGTGACGCACCAGGTCCGGGGGATACTCGTGTCAGATATTTCTGCGTGAGCACCTCCCCTTCCTCCCCAGTTCCCTTGAATTCTTTTCCCCGACTTCAACTGGGGTCCATTCTCGATATTAACACTTTATAATTCTTGTAGAGCTGCGGCGAAGTCACCCATATTGATTTCAAGACACTTGAACCGGGTTGGGCCGACGCTCTCAGAAAGCGTCTAGATGATAGTCGGGCTCAAGCTGCAAATGAGAAGCGTGGTAGTGATGCCACGCCGAAACATGGTCATGGCTGGAACAAGGGATTTTTCCTAGGCGCCTCCCTTGTGCTGGGAGGTTGTATACTCGCAGAATACTACGTGTTGTCAACGTCACCGTGGTAATGCCCAGAAGCTTCCTACGAGTGTTTCTGAGCTTGAACCAACATGGCAAGCAAGCCACTGCATTCAGGTCAGTCGCCTATCAATATCAGTAGTTGGGGAAATTGGATCAATGGGAAATGCTGGAGCGGCGACCTCGGGCGAAAGTGGATCATTACCACGGGGCTTGGCCGGATTACGGATGAACCAAATCATCATGACAGTCGACACAAGCTGCGACGTTGCTTTTGGGATCAAGTTGATTTGCTGTTACTGTGCAATATATGTCACCAGGTTTGACCTTTTGACTACAAAGTCTCATTATTTCAAGACGATTGTTGTTCTTTAAGTCTTATTATAGTTCACTATTCATGCGCGAGCGGACCAGGTTATATGTCATGACGATTTTGAAAGAAGTTTATGTACTTTTACAGATTAAGATTCATACCTGAACCCCTGAGAGTATTACTTGACATGTAAAACAATTCATTTTCTTTCCACTGATTGGTTTGTCCTCCGGTTTCCAGATTTGAAAATCTCCAACCCTCTCTAAACACAACAAACAACGCACAAGAAAATCAAGCCGGAGTCGCAGAACCACCACCAGTCAAGGAAATCGTCTGGCCGTCCAGCCAATCATTGAGAGTCGAGTTGTAGTAGAGGGTAAAGCCGGCACTGTCAATATTGGCCAGGGAGGCGTCGGCGTCGGTGAGGTTCTGCACCGTCGAGTCGGCCGTCAGCGTCCAGTTGGAGTCGGCCGAAAGACTGACGTCGACGAGGCCGACTCCGTAGCCGGCGTACGCGGCCCCCGCCCACGCGCTGTACTGCTCCAGCGAAAAGGAAATGTAGCTGCCATTGTACGGCACCAGGTCCCCGCTCAGGCTCGACTCGTACACGCTGGCGTAGACCTCGGCGGGCTGCAGGTTGTTGTTGTCGGGGTAGCCGCCGTAGTAGTCAAAGTCCTGCGTCACCTGCGAGTAGTTTGCGACAATGAGGACGCCCGACGGCGAGATGACCTGGGAGCTGTTGATGACCACGTCGACAATGGTGTTGCCAAACCACAGGCCGGGGACGTCGTCGCCGACGGTGGTGATTTTGGAGTCGACGAGCTCGAGCCGCCCCCCCGACTGCCGGTCCATGGAGCTGAAGAGCACGACGCCTCCGAGCAGGCCCGCGGTGGCGTCACAGTGGACGAGGGTGGCGTTTTGCACACCGTCCATGAAAACGACGGGTCCTTGCTCGGATACCGACAGCACGTTCTCGGCGTAAATGGTGCCTAGGGCGTAGTAGGTTGCGCTGCCGACGCCGGCGGCGTGGGCCACGCTGTCGTAGACGTAGACGTAGCCCGCCGGGCTGTCGCCGCTAAACGACGACGATCGGTAGCCGCCGCTGTAGTGCTGTAGGTTTCGGCCGATTACGGTGCCGTTGCCCGAGGCGTAGAGGCCGTGGCTCACGGGCCCGCTGCTGTACAACCACGAGTCCTCGACGGTCACGACCGTGTCAGTGCCGTACGAGTAGACATTGGCGCCACCATTGTGGACGGTGATGTTGACGTGGTCTAGATTCGCCGTTGATGCATTGGCCTTGTATATAAATAATTAGAGAACCGCTACGTGAAATTAAAGAAACACAATGCTTCATGATCTGGATAACAACTTACAACATTGATTGCTGCGTTGAAGCCCCAGAAGCTGGCATACAGGAGATTTGAGCTGTAACCAAACTTGAGAATGTCCAAGTAGGATCCATCAAAAGTCGCTCCTTCGGCGACCAGAATCACACTGGTATCATTGGCGTCGACCGAAAAGGATTCATGGTCAATAGCGACACTCTCGGACACATATGAAGTGCCAGCAATGACTGCAGATTAAATTGATTAACCTCTTCCACATGTTCATATTTTCTTTTGGTTTTGGAGCCCAAAAGAGTTTCTGGCAAGAAAAAAAAGACTCACTATCTGATGGCTGAGTCGAGGGGAAAGCCACATTGTAGTCGGCCAGCAGGGCGTTGTCGGCAGCCCAGTCAGCCGGGTCGATCACGTCCGAAGGGTCCTCGACAGTGACCGAGGCCAGACTGGTGCCGGCGAGGAAGAGCCCGAGGAGGCTTCTGGAGAAACTCATCTTATACAGATGTGGAGAGACTTTTTCAAAATACAATGACTTTGGGCACAACTGTCACCAAGGCGATGAGAATCAAATTCTGAGACGTGCCTCTGGAGAAATTGGCCCTGAAGGAGCGAGCATGTAAAATTGATTTTTTTGAAAGTATACCTCAATCGCAGGCACAATTTGAATCTTCAAGACCCCGTGGTCAGTATTGGTCCGGGAAGGATATAACCCAGTGTCTTTATAGTTGCGGATCGTGTAGACGACATGCACAATCCACGTCCATAGTCGAAGCAAGCAAAAGCTACCCCAGATAGACCAAGGCCAGGGGTCCACGCGGCCATTGATCGACGCACGGGAAAGGCAAGATGCAGCTCTTCTGTCAGTTGTCTTGTTCTTTAGACAAGGCTCGAATTGGAGGGGAGAGAGAAAAAAGTCGTGAGTGACGGAATAGATGGCGGCATTCGGCCGTGCAAGTCTAGGTAGTATGTAACTAGGTAGGTAGATTACAGGGTTACTCCGCATTTTGCTCAATGTTCTCTGTAAACTCACTGCCGGCACAAAACCTTCCCCCTCCCCTGAACATGCACCATTCTCCTCCACTATAGGAATGAGGAGCAAATTTCCCAACCTGCGCGTGCTCACTGACAGAATGGTACCATGAAATGTCGGATGGCAAGTCATCGGCTGTAGTCCCTCCTCCCGGAATGCAAGGGCCAGCCAGGGCAGGACCCGGTGGAGGGTAAGTTTTCTTTTCTTTTTTCTTTGCTTAATGTCAAATTTCCCGCCATTGCATACATTATCCGATGGGGGTGTCATTGGAGTTGACAGATGGGGATTATGACAGGGACTTTTCAATTCGTGGGCGCTAGAGCGAGCATAGTAGGTTTTTCTGATGTCCATATGATCTTCTTCTTAAGCTTAACACTATACATGGGGAAACTGTGGAGAGTGTTCTGGACAAACATGGTCGTCCAGTCAGGCAAAACCATCCCAAGTAGACAAATGATGTTGATGAGCCTCAATGGTTCATGTTTCTGGGGGTTCCCAGCAGCTTCTAATCAAGGGAGGCAGGTCCATGGTAAGTAGCGTCAGGCCATTGAATCAAGTCAAAAAAAAATCGGCATATTCACATCTCATTCCCACACGGGCGTTGACACAAGGAAAACCCGACCAGAGACACCATCAACACTGCAAGGATCATCAACACAGTCCTTGTAGTTGGGCGTCCCGGAACTCCAACGACCGCCCACAAGGCTTCCTATATTTACGAGTCATTCATTGGTTTCTCCTCTCTGCAATCATCATCTTGGAGGTGATGGTCTGTAGTGAGTAGTTGGAGCCGGTGTGTCCCGTTGGTGTCGCCCGTCATCCCACATCCCGTAGCAAAAGTTGGGACGGGCTGGATTCTACTGGGGCTATAATCTACTGCAACCCGTGAATGAGCATGTGTGTGTATGTGCGTCGTCATCTTTCTAGCTACAAATGTCGATCAAGCTGTTTTGTCATCTTAGTCACAATGCATGCAGAATAAGCGAATTCGGTTAGCAATAAACAAAAAAAGGCGCCTTGAAGCCACCATACAACTTTGGGCAATCCGTTGCTGCATTTGGTATGTACCTAATGTAGACAGAAATATCAGGGCGCCAACAACCCCCCCGGGTCACGGCCCCACCTGGAACGGCTGACATCTCCCCCGAAAGTAGCCAATGCCGCTGGGCTCTCGTCCGTGATAGGGTCATAACCGCGCCCCTTGGTACCGATATATGTAACATTGTGGAAGAAGAAGAAAATGTGCGTCAGCCTTGAATCACCTTGGAGCTTGAGCTTGAGCTCGAATGCAGCATTGGCGCGCGGGGCATGTGCAACTTATTGCCAGGTCGTGCTGCGCACAAACAACTTTCATCCCCATTTCATCCAGCACATGTCCAGAACGGGGAGTAAATGCAATCAATGTCTGAACTATACATTACTACTCGGTAGTCCAACGTATTCCCTCGTGGCCACACACAGTGGAAACAGGGAAAAGGAGTTCCGGGTCACTGGGGGAAAACCTCCTGAGCTTGGAAGAGAAAAACAAAAATAACGAATGCTTGACATGGTTCGCCAACAACAACAACAACACTAAATGGTGAAAAAGAACGGTCTCGCCATCTATGCACCAGTTGAGTATATTATATGCTTGGCTCAAAGGAGCCCGCCATCTTGATTCATGTTCCCGCCTGGCCAAAATCCCGTCTCCTCTACCCCTATAGTAATGTCAAGCCTCACGATTGGCTCGCAAGATAGTTTGCAGCCTAAAACGTTCAGTCAGTCGTCTCGCTCATTTTGTTATCTTGGTCTCGGAAATGAGTGCCTCTCAAGGTCAGGACACTTACACGTTCGAGGTTGTAATCATACTTCTCGAGAGCATTCACTGCATCAGTCCGAGAGTATCCCATGCCTGTCAGGTTCTTCAGAATGGGATCGTCGTGGACACCCTCCTGAGTCAATGCCCTGCCAGAGTTTTGCAAAGTCGGTCGGCTGGACTCTGGGCTCTTGGGGGCATCATCCTCGGTAGTAGCCGCTTCCGTGCCAGGTTTGTCTAAATCGGCAAAGATAGAGTCCCAGTCATGGTTGCCAGCTGCCTGGGCGCCAGTGCCGTTGGTGTTTGCAGCAGTGGAAGCACCAGCTGCTGCTTGAGATGGGGCACCAGAAGGATTAGAGACACTGCCAAAGTCATAGCTGCTGTCCATTCCGAATGCTGAAGAGACATTGGTGGACTCGTTCTTGGGCTGAGATGGCGGAGGGCTGCTGTCAAAGACTGGGTTGAAGTCATCGAGGTTGGAACGAGAAATGTTGGCAAACTCATCATCAGCTGAGCCCTCCTTTGCGTCTTCAAGACCGTCAAATTCGTCGTCAAGATCGTCAAATGCATTCTTGGCCACTGGTGCAGTGTTGGTCACGGTGCCAGGAGCGGGTGCGAAATCAGCTGCGGGCTGGAAAGGATCGTCGGCCTGGGATGTAGCAGGTGGCATTGGAAACGCCGACGAGAAGTCACTTTCGAAAAGGTTAGTATCAGACAGCCGGTGGGGTCGACGTGATTCACGTCAGAAGATGATATCATACTTTGATGCCTGGTTAGCAGTACTGGCACCCTCGGCTGCCGGGACATTGGGCACAGCAGCAGACTTGCTCGTTGCAACGGGTGACGAGGGGGCTTTGGGAGTCTCCTTGCCCTCTGCTGATTTGCTGGGCGGCGAAGACGGTGCAAAGTCGTCGTCGAATCCATTGCCTTCACTCGCAGAGTCCGAGTCATCATCCCGTTCAAGCTCTGAAATAGGAGGGAACTCGCTGTCAAAGGCACCAAACGCGTTGCCTGTATCCTTTGACTTTTCCTGAGCCTTGTTGGGCGAGCCAAAGCTAGCAAAAGCCGAATCAAAGTCATCCTTTGCATTAAGAGGATCCTTCTTCAAGCCTTCAAAGATTTCACTGTCACGGTTACCGGCGAATGAGGGCGTTGCGCCGCCAGCTTCTGCCCGCGGCGTATCCTCGGGGAATGCACCAGGAATAGTTCCGTTGCTCGTCGTGGAATCCGGGACTTCGCTTTCAGCTGGAGCGGCAGCCTTGACAGCATCGTGGCTAGAGATGGCGCTGTTGCCGGTAGCAGTGGCCTCAAGGGGGGCGGGCGCCAGGGATCCAGTCACGGGTGTGCCATTGTCGCCAGCACGGCTCATAGGTGGGGATGCCTGTCGTGAAGAGGTTAGAGATTCGCTTATGTTTCCAAAGGGCAGATAACTGGAGCTGATTTGTCTCGAAGCAGGGGGAGGTGGTGGGTCGCCAAAAGCAAGATGCGCAGCTCGACTGACATTTGTGGGAGTGGACGCGGCAGGGGTGGCAAAAGATCCTACGCTTGCGGTTGAGGCACCGGTGTTTTGTTGCTTAAAGGACGTCGGCGGTGGCGGCGTGCTGGAAGAGGCGCCGCCCGCGAAGCCGCCAAAGATGTCGTCAAACGACTTGTCATTGTAAGACTTTGCCGGGGATGTGGCAAATGCTCCCATCATATCGGTGCTGCCGCTTCGCTTGAAGAAGGGGTTGTTACCACTAGCAGTAGATAGAGCAGGGCTTGCCACTTGAGCGGGCGCAGTTGGCGGTGGTGAGCTTGTGTTGATCTGGCGACTGAGTTCCTCGGTGCTCCTGGTAAGATCCTCGGCTTCAGTCTTGAGCTTATCACGTTCACCCTCAACCGTAGAGAGCTGCTTCTTGTTGATGGCAACAAGACCTTTCTGCTGGCGAGCATCAGATTTTAGTTTTTCGATTTGAGGTTTCAGCTGGGCAACCTCGGCATTGACAGCAGCGATCTTTTGCTTCAGGCTTTGGTTCTCCTGCTGATCAGCCTGCAGGGCAGCCGAGAGCTGCTGGTGCTGAGTTTGAATATCACGATAGTTGCCGTCGATTGTAGCCATCTCTGTCATCAACTTCCTCGTCTCATCCCGGGACTTCTGCAGCTGATCCTTGAGTTCTGCAACTTCTTTGGCCTCCTTTTCGTATAGTGCCCTGAGCTGCGCCAGGCGGTCCTCAAAGTTCTTCTTTTGTTGGCTGGTCTGGCTAACCTCTTTCTGCGTTGTAGCACGCTGACCTTGGACCTGCTGCATCTCATTAGATAAAGAGCTGATTTGATTTGACAGGTTGGCAAGTTCTGTCGTCTCATTTGTCAGTTTGCTGCTGATTTCGGGGTCATTATCGCCAAGCAAGTCGTCCACTGCCGATGTTGGCTTCGAGCCAGCAGAACCACCCGTGTCATGGGTCTGGAGAGTTCTTCCAAAGGAAGATGATGGAATAAAGGGTTTGAACGTGTTAGTAGTTGGCGAGGCGCGAACAGGTGAGCCTGGTTGCATAGGTGAAGCATTGGCAAAAGGATCCTTTGCGGCGGAACCTCCAGTAGCCATTGGAGCCAATGCAGGCGCAGCAGGGGCATCGAGACCAAATAAGTCATCGAGAGCTGACTTGGGAGCCGGCGGTGGCAGGGGCCTCGGGGGCTCGGGTGCAGGAGCATCAAAAGGCGAAGCGGCGACTGCGGTCGCGGGGCGCGACTGAACTCGGAGAGATGGAGGAATCAAGTTTGGTGGGAGGGAGGTTGGCAGAGCTGTGGAACCGTCACGTCTCGTTCGTTGTTGTCTGATGAGGTACATGGCCACGGCAAATGTGTCTCTAGTTAAATGTCCCTGAGAGTTGATATCGGCCAAGTCCCATACCTGAGCCAGAGCATCCTCAGATAGACCCGACTGGCTCAGAAAGGGAACTGCCTCTTCTCCAGTGATGAAACCCTTGTTCGTCTTGTCCAAGTCGTTGTAAAATTGGTCGAAGCGCGCCTTGTCTGCTGGTGCGATGGCCCAATCTGATCCGGTAGTCTGCGGTTGAAGTCCTGTAGCCTGAGCAGAGAGGGGCGCGCGTCCAAGAGGGCTGGCTTGCCGTAACGGCGCCTGGCCACTCAACTGACGAGGAATGGCAGACAATGGTGGTCCTGTCGTTGCTGGGCTTTGCCTCGACATGGAGCCTCGTCTGGTCGCTGCTTCGTATAAACCCGCCGGGAGAACGTTGGGCAGGCCCCTGAGCTGCCCCGTTTTCAGCGAGGTGAGCAGATGCATGGCGATGACAAATTCGGTCATCACGAGCGCGCCCCTTTGCTCAGTGTCTGCCAATTGCCATATTCTACCCAGTGTCTCATTGGGCAAGCCCGATTTCTCAAAGATGATTCTCGCCTGGTCGCCTGGCAACATGTTTCCTACTTGCAAGTTTTGTCTCTCGAATAGCCCGGCATATTGCGATACCTTCTCCGGCGTGAGCGGAGGAATTCGTACCGGTACTCCGCCAGTGCCTTGTGCCTGGAGCGGCTGTGGCGTGGGGGGTGCAGCGGCGGGCGTTGGAGTGAAGCCATCGAAACGGGGGATGGGGCCCTGCTGGAGGGCAAGCTCAGGAGTAGGTTCGCGACCAGCCTGCGCATGGCCGATGAGGCGAAGAACGATACTGAAGCCTGCAGGCGTCAAGAATCCGCGATTCTCTCGGTCTGCCAATTGCCAGATCTATCACAAAAGATACGTTGTGTTAGCGTCGCCGTACGCGTCTCGTTGGGGTTGTGTTTGTTTCCTTGCTGCCTGCAGACTCAAGCATGAGCAGCCTGGAATTGGACGCACCTCTCCAAGTACCCGTGAATCTAGCCTCGTCTTCTCAAAGAACTTGACGGCGATCTCGCCAGTAACGACCCCGACATTATCGGTGTCGGCCTGGCGGAATAGTTGGCCGTATACCCGCTTCTCTTCCGGGCCCAGATTGAGGTTCGGAGCTGTGAGCAAGAAACATGGTGAGCTTCAGTACAAATGATGATGAAGTTTCTCGTGTCGCCTTCTCCGGCTCTGTAACTTCTGTATGGAATGGGGGACCAACTCACCCTCAGCACCCGTTTCGGCCGACATCGTTATGTGGCCAGGGTCGTAAGATGGTCGGTTGTAGCGGGAGCTCGGCGGAGCTTCAGGGGATGGGAAGAAGGGAAGGTCAATAATTGCAAGAAATGGACGCCGACAGTGATCGCAACTTTGTACGAGATTATCGATACGAAAGAGGCGATCTTTACAGCTTCAGTCTATGGGCTGGCAGATGCAAAAGTCGTTAATGAAAGCAAGTGTCCACGATCGGGCGCTTGGGGGAGGCTGGCAAGCTGGACTGAAATGGACGTCAATGTCGCTAAAGTGGTGGAGTTGAGGTAGGGGGGTGAGGTCCGTAAAATTGGCCCGGGGGGTACAGTGTAACGGAACTCAATTTCAGGCTTGTTGGTACATTGCCGAGTGGGATGCTGTCAAATGATGGGCTGCGCGATTGAGTAATTCCTGCCCCTAAAGAACTATACTACATATTTATTTGCACTCGAATATTATTTTCATGGTCTCCAATCTGTGGTGAGTACAGTTTTATTAGAAAAAAGGGGACCTTAAGAACGAGGAAGTAGATGAAGAATCATTCTACAGTATTGTCTCAGACAAACTGTGGATAGTCGCTACAAATAACACCATGGACTATCAGTGAGTGGTCACGGACCCCGGGGCCCATACGGTTCACCTCCAGGTAGCCTATCAGATCCTCCACGAACCTCTTCAGGCGTCATTGACCCAGTCTGGACATCTTATTACTTGAACGAACGTACCCCGTAAATGACAGCCGGAACTGCCACTAGCGAATCTACAATCAAAGATCTAGATTAGGAAGAATTGCACCCGAAAGTGAAAAAAAGGGCAGACTATTTGGAATGATGGTCCAATGTCGTTCTGAAGACGAAAAAAAAAAAAAAAAAAAAAAAAAAGAACTCATCTGTGCCGGTACATTTTATCCAAATCATTGAAAATTTGGGGATCATGAGAGTCAAGTAGCGCAATGCACCTCGTATGCAAAACCCCATGTTTCGTGGACTCTCATTGCTCCGTTTACATTGGAGACGGTTTATATGGCTGCATAAGTTGGGTGCATCTGCATCAATTGGGCATCCTGCATCTCCGTCACATTGCAGCCGCAGCACAACTGAATATTGTATTGAGTCATTCTGGACTGTATGTGCATCGCAATGCGAATGTCACCGTCAACGCTTCATCAGTTTTATTCTGCATGGGTAGGTAGCGAGAGAAAAAATGTGTCACTGATGCCTTCGTGCTATTAAACGGATTTATAAAGTGTAGTATACTACTCCCCATCGCCTGGCGCTGCATGAAAATCAAACTGACAGACGGCCGAGCTTTTGGTTATTCCCACAACTCTCATTGAAATGAATTGCATCTATACGCTCGCAGAGTCGCAAAGTGTGTGCTTTTAGGACAACCAGTTGATCGTCGCAAAGTAACTTGCATATAAGCACTCGTGCATGGGTCTTGGTGCAATCGTGTCGTCTTTCCTAAGCTTGGTACATTCATCGCTCCGCTTAGTACTCGGCCTCCAGGTCACCCTCAGCCTCAAGAGAGTCGGTAGCCACCTCCTCGTAGTCGCGCTCGAGGGCAGCCAAGTCCTCACGGGCCTCGGAGAATTCACCTTCCTCCATACCCTCACCAACGTACCAGTGAACGAAGGCACGCTTGGAGTACATGAGATCGAACTTGGTCGAGAGAGCGGACCAGGCCTCGGCAATGGCGGTTGTGTTGGAAAGCATGCATCTATAACATATTAGTATCCCGGCCCGTTCACAAGAAAATAATCATGGCGAAACTTACACAGCACGGTCAACCTTGGCCAAGTCACCGTTCGGCACATACTGAGGAGGCTGGAAGCAGATACCCAGCTTGAAACCAGTAGGGCACCAGTCAACGAACTGGATTGTGCGCTTGGTCTTGAGGGTGGCGACAGCGCTGTGAGCATCCTTGGGGACGACATCACCACGGTACAACAAGCAGGTGGCCATGTACTTTCCGTGGCGGGGGTCGCACTTGACCATCTGGTTGTAGGGCTCGAAGCAGGACATGGTCATCTCCTGGACAGAGTTGGCCTCGTGGGAGGCCTTGGCGGCCGAGATGACAGGAGCATAGGCGACCAGCGGGAAGTGAATACGAGGGTAAGGGACCAAGTTGGTCTGGAACTCGTTCAAATCGACATTGAGCGAACCGTCGAAACGGAGCGAAGCGGTGATGGAAGAAACAACTATAAATTGTCAGCATGCGTCTCGGGATACTTTTGCCGCAGGACCGGCTGTTTGGGAATATTGCATACCCTGGGCAATCAGGCGGTTTAGGTTCTCGTAGTTGGGACGCTCAACACCGAGGTTGCGGCGGCAGATGTCGTAGATGGCCTCGTTGTCGACCATGAAGGAACAGTCGGAGTGCTCGAGGGTGGTGTGAGTAGTCAGGATGGAGTTGTAAGGCTCAACGACCGAGGTGGCGGTCTGGGGAGCGGGATACACGCAGAACTCCAACTTGCTCTTCTTGCCGTAGTCGACGGACAGGCGCTCCATCAGGAGAGCACCGAAACCAGAACCGGTACCACCACCGAAAGAGTGGAAAACCAGGAATCCCTGAAGACCAGCACAGCTGTCGGCAACGCGGCGCACCTTGTCCAGAACGGAGTCAATAAGCTCCTTGCCGACAGTGTAGTGACCACGGGCGTAGTTGTTGGAGGCATCCTCCTTGCCGGTAATCATCTGCTCGGGGTGGAAAAGGCTGCGGTAGGTGCCGGTTCGGACCTCATCGACGACGTTGGGCTCGAGATCGCAGTAAATAGTGCGAGGGACGTACTTGCCCTGACCTAGATCCCCAAGTATTGTCAGATCACCACTTGCGCACTCGGTTTCGACTATGTTGTTGCCTACCAGTCTCGGAGAAGAAAGTGCTGAAGCCATGGTCGGGGTCGGCGGCTTTGCGCTCCTCGGTCAGGTATCCATCAGGCTATAGAGATGATTTTTCAGCTTGACATTCCAAGTGACTGGATTAATCTGGTATTAAACAAAAAAAAAACGTACCTGAATACCGTGCTCCAAGCAGTAGAGCTATGAGAAAATATAATCGTGTCAGTCCCAAAGTCTTGGTGTCTCTTGCCTCTCGTGCAGGGGTCAAATAGACTCAGTAGGGTCGTTGCCGCAAGGCACTGCCCACTGATACTCTAAGCGCCGTTAAAAGCCGTTAAAACTTACCTCCCAGCAGGAGTTGGCAATTTGACAACCGGCCTGGCCGACTATAATCAGAGAAAGAGAGTCAGCGACCAGTTCGTCGGAAGTTGCTGGGAATGGGGCGTTTCTGGGTTGGGATCACGGATCATGCGGTGAAGCCAGAAACGCGTGCCGCCGCCAGAGCTAAGGGTCCGCGAGGGGCATAAACTCCAGATAACATACCGTTGATGCTGATGATCTCACGCATTCTGGGCGACAGTACAAGTGAGGCAGAGGTGTAGGGATGGTGGAACGAAGATCAAGAGGAGGGAGAGTCGCAAAGATGGAGCAGCCAAGGGTGCAGCTGTCTCTGGCAGCGGAAATTGTCGAAAGATATCGGGGAGAGGAGGTCAACAGTCGAAGATGAATTTAGTGGGGGGGAAACGGGCATGGGCATTTGTTGATAATCCAATACACCAAGCCCGCTTTGGGGCAAGCGCGTCCCAAGACCGCGCCTGTAGTAAACGAAAAAAGCAGGGGCCAATTGCCCAATAGTTCGGGCCCCCGCTTCTAGAATCCAGGGGGCTCATTGGCGCCAGCGCGGGAAACGAGCAGCGACAGTGCCCGAACACAAATTGGGACACCTGGACAGGGACGATTCCATATATCGTATTATTGTGATTAGCATGGGGAGACAAATGAGCTTGAGACTTGCACGTGAGCCACAATATGATGGCACAAGACATGACACTTTGCATTCCTCATGTCCGGATGTTGGCTTGAGAAGAGAGGCCTATCTCTTTTGTAAGTCTCTTGTCATTCAAAAGCAGATCTCTAACATTATAGCGAGAGGGTTGACTGCTCTCACCATGTTGGTTGGATGCCTCCAAGTCTAGCCGCATTCGCTCTGTCCGAATCTCGCTCCCGTCACCGACAGCTCAGAACCAAACTATTCAGGGTCCTGCAAATACTCATGCCGGTACTATTCGTCACATTGCAATGAAACCTTCAATATTACCAGACCTGGCCAAGGAAACGGGGATCTGGAACACATAAATCATTGTCCAGGCAGCCGAATAATTTCGATCAATCATACGCCAGTTTCATATTTGGAGATAAGGTCATTGAGCTCAGGACCATCATAGTCAGGCAAACAAAACCCTTTTTTCGACACCATGTGGAAACACGTCTGCCTGGCGAGCCTCTTCGTTGCCACGGCACTGGCGAACACGGAGAAGGCCATCTTCCTTGGGCCCAAGACCATCAACCTACCGCCGACTCATCCGAACCTACAAGACTTGCGCATTGATACGTTGACACCGGCTAAATGGAATATTCGCACTCTTCTTAATGCTCAATTCCCGACCGACGGGGCCAGGTTCGGCAAAGCTACGTGGTTAGTCCTGGACGAGTTGACCGAAGGTCAGAGATATGAAGTACGGGTCTGCTGGGCTGCTACTGTACGTCATATATATTTTACTATTCTTATTGGAGTCATGTGAAAATGCTGTTCCATGGTGAATTGTCGACAATTGTGCTAAAGTAAACCTCAGCAACCCACAGAGTTTCGTATCAATACATATGAGCTCAGTACTGTATTTGAAACTCCTGAACTGATATCGGAACTGTCTGATTTCTCGTGGTCCCAACAACCGAAAGCTGATGATGATGATTCGGAAACTCCCGAGATCATCAAGCCGGTGTCCAAGGAGGAGAGGCAAGCTTCAGTCCTCTTGTTACAGATTTTGGCGGCTGCAGACTATTTCACCACAAACCAAACATTGATGGACGAGGTTCCACCAGTACTTGTGGATATCATCCTAGACCCGTTCATCTTCAATGTGCTACCACGCTCACTGGCTCCAACAGTAGGCTACGTCGTCCTTGTCGCTGTCTTTTCCTGGTTCCTTGCGAAACGCATCTCAGCACGGATCCGGGGGTTAGCAGCTTCAGAAACAAGTCAAACGAAAAAGGACCAGTAGCATTCTCAAGACTTCTTAAGTTTATGTATTGGAGTCAAGACCTAACCTGGATGTCTTCTAAATCCTACGGAATGTACAGGTCGCCAAGCAACGGATCATTATTCGTCAACGTACGTATATGCCAGAAAACAACCGGCAACACTTTATGCAGTTCCCCCGTCCAACCTGATAATCATCTGGGACGGTGGTTGGTTGCCCGAGATATACGAGCTTTATAGGTCGCCATGGCGGATATGGACATGATTTAACCAAGAAAAGGAAAATGAGTTTAGTGTCTACCTATCAATGTGCTTGTATAGTGTTCTTTGGGATATTCAAGCTGGCGTTTACTACCATTGGTTGTTGTGGTAGCTTCCCTGCTGCTGATGGCCTCCATGTTGGCCGTAGTGAGGATGGCTGCCAGTTGGCACGGCCGGTCCGCTCTGGTGGCCGTATGTATGCTGACCACCATACGGCGCAGGTGCACCTTGAGGAGGCGCCGGCATGTGTCCATACTGAGGCTGGCCGTAGCTAGGTTGAGACTGGGGGTACTGTTGGTGTTGGCCACCGTATGTTGGTTGATGAGGCACGTGTTGAGCTGGCGCGTGTTGAGCGGGCGCCGACGATCCGTAGGACGGCTGCTGGGCTATAGAAACATTAGTCAGCAAAGAGACCAATATGCACATGTCCTCCAGTATTGCTTACGATAATGTTGACCCTGGGGTGCAGGGCTGTGGTGACCATATCCTGAATGTTGTTGGACCGGGGCTGGGCTGCTGTACGATGCACCATGCTGGCTCGTTGGGGTCGCATACGATGGTGTGCCGTGTTGCTGGTGTGCAGGTGCGCCGTAAGAAGGTGCGCCGTGCTGGGAGTGCTGAGAGTGCTGCGACTGGTGGCCGGAAGGTGGAGGTGAGCTGTATGCGGCACTGGGCTGTCCGCTTGGCTGATACGAAGTCGGGGGCGCTTGGCCGCTGTAGGATCCAGACTGGCCAGAGTTCGAGTAGCCATAGTTTTGAGACTTGTAGGTTGTCAGAATACTGAAGTGTTACTGTGATCTGGGTTCAGGCACGATATATATGACATACCGAGTGGCTCTGGTTGCTGCCACCAAACATATTGGATACTCCGCCCATTACCGATCCGGCGAAGCCACCAGACGGCTGCGATGAAGACGACTGCCCGCCGTGGTAGTTTTGAGGCTGTTGGTGATCATTCTTGCCGCTGCTGAAAAGGCTCGATGCCAATGCGCCGACCAATTTGCCGGCGCCGCTGCTGCTACCGCTGCTACCGCCGTGCGATTGCTTTCCGCCCGAGAGCTGGTTCATGAGCAAGTTTGAGGCAAAACTCTATTCGACAATTTCCATGATTAGCCATCAGGTCTTGACTCCATAGATCGGGGCAGGGGACTATGATGTGCTTACTCCAATTGACCGATCGCCAGTCTCTCCTCCAACACCTCTTGCACCATCACCAGGAGGCAGAATGGGTTCCATGCGACCATCGGCATGTCTAATCGTCTGCGTTCCGTCGGGGTGGGTGATCAGCTCGGGCTTGGGGACGCCAAACGGGTGGTCCGTCTGCTGCGCCGGGGTGCCTCCCGGGGCAGCTTGATTCGGGGTTTCCCACTGAGAGACGCCGGTCGAGATGGAAACAAAGTAATACTTCTTGCTCGTGCCGTCCCATTGCGCGATCCATCCAGGAGGCAGCTGCGGCGGCTCGTACGTGGGGCCTTCGGTGCCCGGGGAGGCGGGGCCAGCCATTGCAACGGAGGGGTCTTTTTATTTTTCGGCTGTCCTCGAATGAAATGTGCTGTCGGGGGTGTCGACGTGAAGAGCGAGATTCGGGATGTGAGGGGAGGAGGGGTGGTGGATGTTGGGTTGGACAGGGTAGTAGTCGAAGACGTCGGCTGCAAGAAGGGAATTGTCAGAAAAGATAATCCCCCCCGTGACAATGGAGGCGAGAAGATAAAAAAGAGAGAGAGAGATAAGATCAAATGCCCGCAGGCCGCCCAGAGAGCAAAAAGCGCAGCTGTTGTGCACTTGCCTTGCGTAAGGTAGCCAGTAGCCACTCTTGGGCGAGGTGAAAGAAAGGCAATGAAAGAGAGAGTTCCACATGCAGTAGAGGGCGAGAAGCTTGGTCACCTTTCAAAAACAATGTCGTAACTAGTCGTAACACCCCCCGACCTGACCCCAAGACGGAGAAAAAAAGTGCCACCCAAAAGTCACCACCTAAAACCAGACCACATCAGACCGGAAAGGGACCTTTTGGGCAGACTCAAGAGACCAAGAGAGTTTGCACCGCCTCACTTGCTCAGCTGTGAGGAATTACCCAATCCAATCTAACCTAATAATAATTCCATTTTTCTTTCCTTTTTAGTTGATTTTCTCTAGGTTATTGCCTACCTACTTTAGTCGGTGCAATTTGCCTTTTTGTACCTAAATCAATGCCCAAAGGTCGGCGGCGAGCCACGGCGTGGCGTCAGGTCAAGTGTCTCTCAATGAGCAATGGCAAAGACCAGTCGTGGTCTGCTCACCATTAGTTCCGCCATCATCTGAATCACTTATCGAGTCCGCATGCAGGATTGAGTGAGAATTGGAATGGGCCAGAATTGTGTAACTTGTATAGGCCGATAGGTGACTAACTGTATGCGGGTCAGTGCAACAGGCAGACCACATTGGGTATCACATTTGGTAGAATGAATCCTTACCCAAACACAAAAGCCCAAACCATATGTACAATAATACCAACTACGTTTGTCCTTGAAATTACCCAAGAGCAAGCGCTAGTTCTCCACAGATGCACTCACGTCCGAAAATACTACTGCCCCTTAATTGGTCGGCATGCGATTTGATGCAAAATGATATGATTCCAGGCGATTTCTAGGTGTTATTTGAGCAATGTCAGCCGATGACGTATCTCGAATGGACCCTCTGTGAACTCTATGGTGGCTCGGTTCTGCAAATCCTATGCGAACAATCTCACCTTGTCCCCATGCCTTTAAGCTAAGGGAATGCCAAGAGTCAGATAGAAAGGCACAGGGGATCCATGATTCCCGACAGACAAGCTGCCGACTTGCCTGGGAATGACTGGTATTGGCTGGACATGTTCAGCTTACGGCAGCCAGGGTTGTCATCCATTATAAGCCACTCGTAACCTAGGGAGTACATACTAATATTGCTCTCTGTCCAACTTGGTAGGCTGGCACAACGATAATCAAGAGTAAGCACAATAATTCATAGCCCAGATTCAGACGATCAGGCAAGCGGCAAAATTTCCGTTTCGGTGCCTTTACATTCTCAGGCGATTCCTAATGCCGAACCAAAACATAAAGTGTCCTGCAAGACATTGATTGCAGGATTGTATTCAGCTCGAGGTGCATCGGTACAAAAGAGCAAAAAGCTATTTCCCAGATTGGATCTGGGGGAAGTGATGAGAGTGGGACTTGAACCCACGCACGTTTCCGTACCAGGAAGTAGGTGTTAAGGTGACCTTAACCTGGCGCCATAACCAACTCGGCCATCTCACCGGGTGATTGCTTGTTGAATTCGTGCCTAATGAGATATTTTCTCGAACGCGCAATGAAAGAAATCGTCCTGGAGTGGATACAAGAGGTTATCGTGAAATCTAGACGTAAGCGTTACATAGTATAAAGGTCTTGTCTTTGAATGATCACCATAGGCGGCGGGTTGGTGACGAGTGGGCTTGGTTTAGATGGTAGGTCGTTGTGATCATAGAAGTGGGTCTCAGACATGAATTATGACCAGACTTCTACCCAACCAGTGTTCGGAAAGTATGCAGGCCCTTGAAAAAAGTATGTTTATTCTAAAGTCCCTGCCTTTATCATTGATAGATCGCCCAACGACGGAGAGATATATCATTCTGACGCCAATATCCATCATCAACACAAAACCTTCTTCAGCAGTGCGATATACCTCTACGCAAGCTGCATTGTAGTGGCAACTATTTCGAGTCTTTGTTACGCTCATAGAAGTGCGTTTGAAGAGCTGCCGATCAGTTCTTTGTTCTAGAAAGTGTCGTGACCGTCGTTTTCGTACCTGTCTCACTTGCACGGGCCATTCCACATAAGTGGTTGTGACTTTTGAGACCATTTACAGATATTGTCATTTTTCCAGTCAGTCCACGGCTGAGCTATCTTTGTTCGCCGGGTACGGTCACGGTGTGTCACGCAACATTTGGAAACGTCATGGAAAAATCAATTCTGTATGTTAGATAAAATCAGGAGACTTGTTCTTTGGCAGTCATGCACAACGGCTTGAGGAGTTTGAGGCTCGCCAAATTACCAGGCTGCGCTTCGTGTTTGATTGGCTTCTTTTCTCTGGCCTGATCAAGGGATCCATTGTGCATGATGGCTGGCTATAATCCATCTCAGTCAGGTATTGATGGCCGCTTGGAAAACAGTGCGGCTGGTGCATACTCATATCGGTCTCCTTACACACCTCTTGGTAGTGACCGAATGAATCCCGACGACGAGGTAGACTTGGGGAATGGTGATGACTATAAGTCGTCTGGTCCATCCATGCGCCCGTCCTTCAGTATCAGTGACGATCACGAATCGGCCTTCTCACGGTTTAGTCAACCTCCAAAGGTGCAGAATAATATGCCAAGGGAAAGCAAATTTAAAGAGATGTTCAGATCATTCTCAACCTCGCTGAGAAGCGGGACAATTTCAATGTCACAGCGGCGACGAAACGCCGATGGTGCCTCTGCAGACGATGGCCGTGGACCGCAAAGCAGGATGGCCATGGATGAGCTTGCTGAAAAATACGGTAGCCAATGACGGACCCGCTTCCGTGAAGAGAGCCATTGTACTGATTTGAGGTCATAGGCTATATACCGAGAGAATGTCATGCAACAAATGATGTATTCATCAATCGTCTTAGTTGGCTGTACATCTGGCAAACAATCATGTCCCTGTTGGCATTTTGTGGAAGTACAGCAGCCTTCATTGTCGCTTTTAAACGCGTGGAATGGGGCACCTGGATGACAAATGACTATTTGAGTTACTGGAACTACGGATACAAGGCAATTGAAATCTTCTTTGCCGGAGTATACATCACATTTCTAGGTCAAGTGCTTACGCGAAGAGCCTTTTCAAAAACTTCAAAAGCCTTCAACATTGCTGAGATGACCATGCGGAATTGGGTCATCCAGCCTGGCTCGGTTGCATCCCATTACGAAGGCATCCCGCATGCTGGGATGTCACTCTTGGGTGGCATCACCATGCTCGCTACTCTTAGCGCTCTTTTCTATACTTCAGCTTGCAATTCTTTGATTACGCCCCAGATACTTTGGACATCCTGGAAGGACAACCAAACCATCTCTACGTATGCGAGGACAGCATATGCCAACATCAATTACATCAAGTCAACATGTCCTGCTATTGATAGCGCTGTCAATGATAAGGAATACTCCTCCTCCTGTATCATCATGAGAGTTAATGGAGAGTCGTACCGCACGCTTCTTGCCTACCTGGGCGATTGGCAAAACGAGAAGTACCCTGCGGGATATCAGCGGCCAGGTGCGAGAAGCATCATCATGGGAAACACCACCTTGTCATCGACTTGGGTCAATGATGGCCATCCGATCGTTACGGAAGTAGATGGCCGGGTTATCAACAATGTCACATTGGCCATGCCTCACGCTGGACTTTCCATCTTGTATTCTCACGCCTATAGTACCTCGGAAGACATCCGACAGCCTGGTGATCAGACTGGATTCAACGAATATGACCTAGGGGCCAGCATTGTTGCCCCGTCTATCAATGTCTTGTGTGCTACCGCCCAAGAGTCCGAAGTCAAGCCGCTGCTAGGTCAAAAAGACGACAAAGCCAAGGAATCCCCGCTGGATGATGTGTTTCATTGGGGAAAGAAATACAATGGTCGTTATCGACCAACTTTTGAAGTCGTAAGGAGTGAATAGTGCTTCCTCTTCGTTTTATGCATTTTAACTGATCAATGTAGTTGGCACCCGACTATCAGTTCGTCACGGACCCGCGAGACACCATTCCAAGAGCTGATTCAGTCTACACCATGGGCAAGTCTGGCGGAAGTGACGACTATACAGTCTGTCAGCTTCGGTCGGTACTCACAACCGACTGCATCACGCGCTTCCAAGTGTCAAGCTTTTCTGGCAATATGTCGGCATTTTGTGGCGCAAACGTGAGGGGGCTAGACCAGAAGTCTTACAAGGAGGTATATTCCTTGGAAGAAGATCATTTTGATATTTCGGGGTGGCGGGACCTCGCTGTACAGTGGAACATAGCCTGTAAGTATCAACTACACTCGCAGCAGCGTGTGATCGAGTATAGACGTAATGAGTGACTAATAAACCATCGTCCAGTGGGCCTCAATAACGGCGTCATCAATGCAAGCTCTGCAAATGTCCGTCTTTTGAGTGGCTTGATTCTCTCAAAACCCGAGCTCCATGAGAACCTGCCTTCCTTGGCAGAAACTCTGGCTGTTTTCGCCAGTCCGCTTCTCGTCGACAGCTCACTTGGCTCAACCTTCTTTCACGACTGGCGCCACGGAGATGTCAACGACACATGGCCGGTCCCGGGAGCACCAGAAGATATAATCACCAAGTATCGTTATCAAAGTTATAGATCCGGCTTGGCTGACGGGAAAACCACCCCTGGACAGGTCTTCTCCTTTGCCGTCTTGTTAACAGTAGTCATCATGAGCCTTATGTGTTTATGTCATCATCTCTCGCGCATGGGCATGGTGACGGATTTTACGGAACCGCAGAATCTGTTCACGCTTGCCATCAATTCTCCTCCCAGTCAGGAGTTGCAGGTAAGGCGTGGCAAGCTCTATATTTTAGTAAATACTGAGACTGACGTGATGATCAATCAGGGTGCTTGCGGTCGTGGGCCAAATTACAAAGATCTTGGAGTATCTTTTAGAGTAGGATACGCCGACACAGCAAATCATTATTACTTTGAGGATGCGCGAGATGCGCCAACCCGCGCAGTCGCAAAGCGATTATCGCGTTTCACTGCCATGTCTGGGAGTGGCCAGTCTAATCTGCTAGCTGACAGAGCGTACGCCGAAAGTTATAAGAGATTGAGTGCCAAGAGCCCTTTGCTATAGAATCGACAGGGGGCTGCCTGCAGTGCGAATAAGCGATTTGAGGCAAGGGTTTTCTTTAATCTGTTCGGGAATTGAGCAGAGCATGCCGAAGCATGGTTCCGATAAGCTTTGATTTCAATATCTCTCTAGTGGCAAAATCGTATGGTAGTGGTCAAATAATGAAAAGTATCATCGTATTAAATCAGGTATGTAATACAGCACTTGTGTCGTTAGGTATTCAATCTATTGTTTTGGGAAGTAGATCGTCGTGCAGGTAGTGATCGGGTAGTTCGGAGGTGCTATTAGCAAAGAGCCCATTCGTGTAAAAAATATCGAAACACAACGGTTCATCGTTGCCTCACCGTATCGTGACCATCATCGGCCTCCACAATGCTACGTTAACAATGGTCGCGGGGTCGGCATATGCTTATCGCAACTACCCCGCGAATGTAACATGTTATATAACCGCAGTCAAAGCCTATTTCAACAAGGCGCATCAATGGGTATCTTCCGTGTTTTGCATTAGATCCAAATCCACAACTTGGATTGGCAATATCGCCAACACGCTACCATGATCTGTGCGTTCGCCTTCACGTCCCTTTGGGTATTCTGCACTTCGGGCCAGGCACAGCAGATACCAGAACAACGCTTCTTACAAAAGGATACGACTTCGCCATGTAAGCCCAAGATCTTTTGCAAATAGATCAAGTCCAAAACTCATCTCTATCGCAGTCGTCCAGCCTACATACCAGCCTCTAAAATTGGGATCTATCCAGCCTCAGGGATGGTTTCTAGACCAGCTCCAATTGGAGGCCAGTGGGCTGGCGGGCGACATGTTTGATTTCTACCGCTTCGTCGACGACTCAAAGTGGATCGGTGGCGAGACTGAGTACTCTATTCTCGATGAGGCATCGCCCTACTGGTTCAACGGTATCGTGCCGCTTGCCTTTGGCCTGAACGACACCAGACTGAAAGGGCAAGTCAAGTACTACCTCGACTATGTTATTGACCACCAGCAGAGCGACGGCTGGCTTGGATTCGAGACCACACATCAAACTCGGGGGCTGTGGGCTCGTTGCCTCCTTTTGCTGGGTTTAGTGGTGAGTAAAGAGTATCTAGCGATTTCAATCATAGTCTTTGCACATCCTTGAGATACCTATACAGCTTCATGAGTTGTAATGCTAACATCTTGCCAGCAATATGCTGAAGCCGATCCCACAGAAACTGACAGGATAGTGGATGCGATGCATCGATACGTTGAACTTGCCCATAGCATGTTGCAGGATAACTACACAGGGTTACTCGTGAGTTCAATCTAAATAACGGAAAGTACAAAACCTCCGCTAAACCAGGTATTCATCAAGGTTCACGGCGACGACGTATTTGACACTGCTGGATTTGGTGTGGGCAGAACTCACGAGTATCATATTCCACTGCAGTGGCTCTACGAAAACTACCCTCGCAACAACTCGAAGATCATCTGGGAAACAATGGAGCTCATGATTGATGGAGGTGTACTCTGGGGCGCAGACTGGAGAACCTACTTTGTCGAGGGGGTCTATCCAGAGGTATACTATGATGGCATCACGCCCTGGAATCTCAGCTGGGTCTTTCTACATGGGGTCAATCATGCAGAAGGTAGAAATCCGATTGCGGTCCCCTCGTCGCGGAGTGCGAATTGCTAACACGGAAAGGCTTACGATATCCATTGGCCATCTATCGAATGACCCACGAAGAGTCTCTAAAAACGCAAACCCGGACGGCGGTAGACTTGCTTGCCAACTATCACAAGTCCTTGGCGGGAACTATTATCGCAGACGAGTACATCACCGATCTGAACCCAAATAGGGGAGCCGAACTGTGCACAGCAGCAGAGATGATCTTTTCCCTGTCGTGGATTTATCAGTATCTCGCAGATAATGATCTGTAAGTTTGCCTGTATCGAAGAAGCATTGGTCGTCATGTCTAGTTAAGCTAACATGCATCAGAGCGGACTGGGCAGAGCAAGTCGCGTTCAATGCATTGCCAGCATCGATTACCTCAGACTGGTACAGCCATCAATATGTTCAACAAGAGAATCAGCCATGGTCTCGTAACCTCACAGACGGATCAGCTATGTGGGTTGATGTGAACTCGTACGCAAATGTCTTTGGACTGGAGCCCAACTATGTACGTTCCCTGACATGCTCAGGATACCATGTTCTGATTCAAAATAGCCCTGCTGTACTGTCAATTTCCCACAAGGATATCCAAAATTCCTCGCCAATGCCTTTGTGGGCACCGCCGACAGTGGACTGGCTCACGTATATCTAGCACCCAGCGACGTCTCCGTAACCTTGAACGGCAATGACATTTCAGTATCCGCAAGCGGCACCTATCCTTTCGGCACGAGTCTAACCTATTCAGTTTCTGCTGCGGCACCATTCTCATTCTACGTCCGCATTCCAACCTGGGCAAACAATCAGAGTACCATTACCGGCCCAACGGACGTTTCTAGCAAGCCCGTCACTCCAACTGACAAGGGCCTGCAAAAGGTATCGATTCCAGCTGGCGAGAACACCACCTTCACAATCGACCTAGAAACACAACCTCGGGTTGAGATGAGGGCAAACAACACTGCCGGTATATACTACGGCGCGCTGCTGTACAGTTTGGCCATCGAATACAACGTGACAGAAACAGTACCGCTGCAATACCGAACCGAGGCCGTGCTCCCTGCCAACACCACAAACAGCCACACGCACGATCACATCATGGTGCCGACGAGCATATGGAACATTGCAATTGACCCATCGCAGATCCAGGTGGTGCACAAGAACGTGACGGAGATTCCTAGCCCCGTATGGGAGCTTGGCGCACCGCCCGTAGAGCTGCGCGTCACCGCTGTCGAGATTGACTGGCCACTGCTCCATGACACGCCGGATATCCCACCGCTTGATCCCGTGATCAAGGGTGAGCCCTTTAGTGCACGCTTTGTTCCTTATGCGAGCGCCAAGTTGCACATGGCACACCTACCTGTGGTGTCCTTGCCAAAAGTTGATCTGTAGGGGTTAATGGTCATGATGAACAATGTTGGAGATAGGGGTATTGGTAAATCAATTAATGAACTCGTAAATATATGATGGTGCATATACAAAAAAAAAAACGCTATTCTAGATTCCACTACGCTTCATGACCACGGGGCTGTGCATAACGAAGCAGCTCCTCATCCTGCAGCAGGCGATCGTGACACGACTCCTCCAAACAAACAATCGCCTCTAGACCCTCATCGCTCGCGTCGCCGTCGACCTTGACGTTGGCGCGGCTCGGGAGGATAAAGACGTAGCCCTCAAACTGGGGGTGCGGCCAGCGCAGCGCGCGAGGCAGACCAAAGCCAAAGTCGTGGTCCTGGTACGGCGTCATGGCCTGCCAGCTGGTCGCGGCCAGGTCCATGCCCAGGAACGAGCGCATGTTGATGGTGATCCAGCGGCGGTCCTCGAGGCCCGCGACCCACTCGGTCACGCCGGCCACGTAATTGTGGTCGATGGACTGCGTGGCCTGGCGGACCGCGAGCGCCATCTCCGAGAGGCTGCCGTCGGCGAGGATGGCCTTTATGGGTCGCGGCTCCGTCGAGGGCAGCGCGACCACGTTGCCCAGGTAGCAGTCGGCGAGCGGTGGCTCCATTCGCGATCGGACGTTCATGCCGTACGCCAAAATCACCTCGTCTTCCAGGTCGGGTTTGAGGAGGGGGATCTTGGATCGTGTGACCGACTTCCACAGAAGGGCAATGATGGCATCGTAGGTCGATATCCAAGCATCGCCCAACTCTGAGCCAATGTCCTGCTTGAGACGCGAGGCGCTGCTCTTGGGAATGTGCCAGAGTCGGATCTTCAGGGGTGGCATCTTAAAGTCGGCCGGCGGCGGTGGCGGCGGCCCGCCGAGGTCCTTCAAGATGGGGTACTTTCCGTCCAGTGTCTCCCACCTTGCTGAGTCAGGTTTTGCTGCGCTCAGTCTTTCTCTGTTCAAGCTCTCCTTGTCAATCGGCTTGAATGGCGCGCCGTTTCTTGCAGCTGCTGAGCTCTGAGCCCACGTCGACAAGAAACCGTTGCAGCCAGTTCCGTCCGAACAGTTGTGATGAATTGCAGCTGCCAATATGACGCCGCCACGAATGAAGTTGATTTGAAAGGTTGATGTGATGGTCTGATCGTCTGCATTGTGGCCCAAGGGGGAGAAGAGCTGCTTCTCCGTGACGACTTTGGGCAAGAGGCGGTGGCCGTCCAAGATATGGACCGGGAAGTCGTGCTGGTTGAGGTAGTCAAATGACGGGAGGTCGCTGACATCGTCATCTGCGGTCTTGACGTAGAGCCCAACACTGCTATCCTTCTTTTTTGTCACCCACATGCGACCATTCGTTTCATCCATGTGGATTGTTCCCGCGAGGGCAGGAAACTGGCTGAGGGCGAACTCAAGCCCCTTGGACACACTGTCGATGATGACTTGCTTATCGGAGCCTTCAGGAAGCTCAAAAATCTCGGCAATCTGGACATAGATCTTGGGCATGGTGTGGTCCATGTCGGAAAGCTCGAAACGCTCACTGGCTGGGGCATCTTGCCAGCCAAGTGGCTTGATACGAATCTCTGTAGAAGACATTGTTAATTCTTCCTCTTCGATATCAGTAGGTAGTCGTGGTCTTGGGTTGTATTTCTGTCTGGCATGAATTTTGAAGGATTGGGGGCTGCGATTGCATCCAGATTAAGTAAACTTCTGGAATCTCCATATTCTGCACGAGATTCCTTGCAGCGTGGAGCTGACATGCATATATCTTCAGCGCGTGTTGGAGACTTTCAGACCCAGACTGACGGGCCCGGAGGTTCTCTTCCCTCCGGTAAGTGCTCCCTTGGGGTTCATAGTGCTGCGGCATTTGAGCTGCAAGAGACGGATTCCATATCCCGGATATTTGACGGAGACTGTCGATAGCTTCCGTTCGGGACGCAAGCCGCTCTCCCGTATGGATTCTCTGCAGGGTGCGGTCCGCCTTTGTGGGTTTATTATATGACGAGTTCATATTGAGTTGGATCCAGCGGTGGATGACCATAGAACAATAGCAACTACATAGTATATAGTCCAGCGGGGATACCAGGCCGAAATCCTTTCAGTGGGCCAGTGGAGTTGGTTCCCCAATTCCTTCTCGTACGACGACCTCTTATCTAGGATATTCGGTTGCCTGCAGCCGACCTCTATATTTCCCAGAAAGGCTATTCATCTGCTCACGACAGTTCAAAAGAACGGTTTATTCCCGATTACCCGGTTAATAATTGACCTGGTTGAGTCTTTCTACGGCGTGCAGAGACAAAATCCTCCTGTTGATCAAATTCTGCCCGTGGGGCCCAACGTAGAATGAGAAATGACCTATGTACAGTCGGCAAGCTGACCACTTTCATGTGACTGATTGTTCGGTTAGGGAGACAGGAAGGAAGAAGTAGACAGGGTAGCAGTACGAAATAGAATGAAGACTAGTATTGCTTGAAACCATCCCTTGTCATCGTGGCCCTTGACTTGCCTGCCGGCAGGTAATTCATGCTCTCTCTCTCTCCTTGGCAGTACAAGCCGCGGTCGCTCGTACTTATATGCAAGTCCCTGAGTCAGCCGATTCGATGAATCTTCTTTTTCTCGAAAAAGGAAAGAGAAGGTCACACATTTCGGTTGCATATCTTGGATGACCCCGTCACGAATCAGCACTTAAAAAGCGATGGAGTCGATCATGAAAAGAGAAGTTGTTCTTGAGGACATGCAGCCAGTTGTCTGGGCCGTCACGATCCCATTTGCAATCATCTGCTTGACATCATGTATCATTCGTCTCTATGCGAGACACATGATTGCAAAATCATTTGGTCCGGATGATTGGCTCATGTTTGTGGGAACATTCATATGGATAGGCCAGCAGTACATTGCTTGGATGTGGACGATACTTGGAGGAGGTCTGTAAGTTTTTAATCACCCAAAGAATATGGCTGCGGAGGTTTACTTACTTGATCTCAATATTCAGGCATGTCGACAAGGTCTCGGCCGATAATCAATTCAAAATCAGCGTTGTACGAAATGGTCGATATCCTGGCTACATGACCTCCGCTAACTTGACAATCAGTACCTCTTTGTCGAAGAGTTTTGGTACTTGCTACTCCAATTCATTATCAAGACCTCATTTCTATTCTTCTATCGCCGAACGATATGCACGAGCGGCCGCTTCAGAACTACGATATATGTCGTCATGGGGGTGGTAGTTTGTCAAACAATTGGAACGTGGCTCTTTTATGGATTGCAGGTAAGTGATTGGATATTCCATTCTTTGCCCTTTCTGGGTGGTCTCGTCAATGAGTGTTGCCGTTTCTAGTATGTCGACATGGCTACCCCTGAAGCGAGAACTCAAAGAGGACAGACATCTTTAAATCCTGCCACACACATCAAAAGGACATACTGACCCTGAATATTGCAGTGCATCCCAATACAAGCTTACTTCCACCCCGAGCTATACCCGAATGCGAAATGCGTTGCCACAAAGTTATCATACTACTTGCCGTCTGCTGTTGTAAGTATTGAGATCTCTTTCATGTGCCCTCTCTTTTACCAACTTGGAAATATATATTCTAACGTGTTGAAGAATGTCGCGGTCGATGTCGTGATATATATTCTACCAATCTTCCCCCTCTGGAAACTGCAGACCTCGAGACGGCGCCGCATTGAGCTCATCGCAATCTTCACCGCCGGTGGCGGCGCTGTGCTCGTGTCATTACTGCGCTTCATCGTGCTCTACCAACTGAGCAACACGACCGACACAACCTATGTCTTTGGCTCCGTCACCATTGTCACGTCGATCGAGTTTGCCGTCGCCATGATCACCAACAATATGCCGGGCGTGGCCGCCTTTTACCAGAACTGGCGCGGCAAGAACAAGTCGAGCCAAGGAACGTCGTCGGGCACGCATGGTCGGAGCTATGAGCTCGGTCATTTGGCTACGATTGGGTCGAAACAGCAGAGGAGCAAAGCCGACGGCTATGGAGCATCAAAGGATGATGACTTCTTTCCGGGGACCGATAGTGAGGAAGAGCTGAACCCGAGACATCATCGTGACAGCCGAACTCTACAAAAGATAATGGAGGGCTCTGGAGAGGTAAGAGTCGAAACTAACGTGGTGGTGTCCCATGGCCCTGTCCCTTCATCATCGGACAGAGGCTTGGAAAAGGCGACGGGGGGGTACTTCAAGTTTGGTTGAGCAGTACAACACTGCTTCATACGTCATGATGTAGACATCACTAATAACTGGAATTGTGTCTTAACCAGCTGACCAAGCCATTGTTTGTATACACCGCCATACCAGTCGTGCGAGATCAACGCCGGCTACGTAGGGCAAAGAGATTCTCTGTACTGTCTAGCCTGTAATGCTATTTCACAGGCTCAATTCTCGTAATGTCTATACTCGGCAGGGACTTGCGTCTTGCAGCAGTGTCCTCACGTCCACGGAGCTATCGCTTGCTCCCATTTCAGGTTCGTGCCAATTTCGGGCACTGGATGACCTAGTTAGTACTTCATGATACTGAGAGATGCCCCTGAGAGTACCTGCATTGATAGTGCAATGGTACCCACCAAAAGAAGATGCAAGGAAGAAATCCTATCTACTTGGATTCTAGTGGATCAACCTCCGGGACCATGGAATCGGTACCGAATGGAGGATTACAAGAGGATCCACCAGTTCGCCGAGCGTACCCATTAGTAGGAATGATATAATAGATGGAATGTGGACGGCAGAGAGGGCGCCGTAGTCCAGATGAGTTCCATACCCAAGAGAGAATGGGTCTTGAATATAGGGGTCACTTCCCCGTCTTTGCTCTCCCCCTGATAACACGATCTCGTCTTGTTTCCCTACTGCTTCTGCTTTGAATCCCCTTCATCCAATTCGTCTTCTTAATACCATATCACTTGAACATACTCGTCGGCAATGCGATCATCAAGCGTCTCAAATTGAAAGTCAGTGCGAAGAAAGTTCGGCTTTCCCAGTATACGAGTAGAATCGCTCAGGTTTGAGCAACGTACCAGACAAAAATTGTTGGACTATTAGATTTTCGATTAGTACGACCTTCACCACGAATTATTCCATTACCTATTTCTTCTTTGAGCAATCAATATTGCATCTATTGTCGATTTCCACTAATACACGGGCAGAGAGGTAGCTTCGTAATAAAGGCGCGAGCACCTCAACCTGCTTAGTTTTCTTTTGTCATTTTCTATCTTCCCTAATTACTCTCTACTTTCTTTCAACCTCTCCTGATCATCTGCCTTTCGTGTTTCTTGCCTGCTATTTGTCATACGTGAAAGAGACGACGGCACGTGCTGACTGGGTGACATCATGTCTGTCTACCGCGCCGCAGCCGACGTCACTCGTCCGTGTGACCTTGGAGTCATGTCCTACGCTTGAGAACGGAATATAAATACTCAACAAGGTTTCATTCACTATAATAAGCCATATTTCAAACAATTTCATATCCACCACAGTTCAGAAATCACTACATTCATTAATATACGATCCTGTCATCGAAACACCTTTGAATTTCCTTTCAATATGAGCTCTAGCATGCCGTCAAGCACAAAGCCATCGGCCGAGGTGAATGTCGCCGAGCAGAGTTCCACCCCCGCACTAGAACCCGCAGGCTGGGGCTGTCCCTTGGTATCCAAGCTATGACACATTGCATATTGTTCGACTATATCGCATAAGGAGCTTCGCACTTAGGAGGTGACTTAGGACCGAGTTACATAGACGATTTTGAATTTTCATTAAACGTCTCAAATTCAATCATGTTATGATCTTATTGATGACGATATCGACGGGCTGCAGTAAATGACGAAATGGTTGTATCGAGGTGCTTCGTGCGGCGCACTATATCTGATCTCAAAACGACAGCGGTAACAAATCCTCCTCTAAAGGACCAACGACCCTTTTGTATACTTCTTGACGGAATATCTGGTCGTTTAAATCGATGTTCTCATGAAGGAATTCGCATTTGATACACACTTTGACAGACTTGAAGTAGTTCGGGCTTGCCTTCATGGTGCTTTGTAGCTCACTGAGGGCATTGATTGCCATTGCCCAGTCAGCCTCCAAATCGAGAGGCTTTGTGTAGCGTTGTTCGCTGACCGAGCTTCGAAGCTTATCAAAAGTGGTCCCAAGAGCCAGCTCAATGAGTAAAATTCCTAGAAAGAATAGCTCCTTGTTCGGGACGAGCGGCGACACGCGGGCGTCATCGAATACCAGCCGATCTGGCGACGAGTAAGGCAATCTGCTTGCGATATATACCGACTCGTATAAGACATTGTCGTCTCGTCTGAGGAAAATGATGTCTCTGCTTGTGAGTATCTTGGGCATCCATGGTGAACTAGAGAGTTGAAGGACACTCAAAGCAAATAAATGGGAAAGTCGCACTTTATGCCTGAATCGTAAGAGTGGGAATGTCTTTCCGTGATCCTCAAGTACATCCTTCAAAGATATGACTGTACACGATGGCGATGGCATCTGTCCAAATGGATATACACCAAACATTGGAGCTGTGACTGCGGACTTATCGGAAATGTACCCGTAGCAGTGAACGTTGTGTTTGTCTTGGCCTTTCGCGATGGCACCGCAAAGGTCATGGACGCAACTCGCACTGATGTTGGGACTAGCATCATTCGCTTGCATTCCACTCGCCATGGGAAGCGCTAGCGCTGAATTGAATGCGTGATGGGTTCCAGTGTTATCCATATTGGGCTGTTGTTGACCTGCATTGCTGAGTGTAGCGAAACGGGCTCTTTTGTTTATTTTCTGGTTAGATTTGAGAGGTCGTCCATTGAATATAGCTTGTGTCGGCACAATCTTGTCGTCGATCAGCTGCAAACGGACTAATTCCCAGAGCCACGGAGCATTATCATGTCCAGTGTTATCTGGATCGAAAGAAAGTGCAAGCTGGAACATCATTCTTTTGGCAGCCATCTCCTCATCCCCATGGGCCATAAGACTCGTAGGAAAGGCAGTCAACTGAAGATTAATCCCGTGAGATACCGGACATGCACAGACAATGGTTGACCTGAGAGCCGCGAATATGCCTTTGGCCAGGCTGCGTGCCAACTCCATCAGATGGCATTGAGACCGATCGTGTCTCCGTGGCTCCAGGTATATGCTTTGATCAGCTAGTTCGCTCAGTCGTGTATTGTGTTTCCGCAACGCATCTATTAGTTTGTCGGAGTCCGTTCTGCTAAGAGCAAAGGACAGGCGAGTAATGGAAAATGTGCCACTACTCTACAATGATGGTCAGCCGGATGGATTGATACGGACGAAGGCGAGTTGGTTTTCGATTAGCTCGACTCATGGACCGGTACTGATTTTTGGGCATGCATACTTCAGCTTTAGTCAACTTCTCGTGAAATTGGTTCGTGACTTCTTGCATGAGGTCGAGGGTCCTCCTGAAGCAATCAAGGGAATCCCCAAGCCGCACAACGATCCTTCAATTGTGTCAGCTTTGTCTGCGCTACTGATGTTCTGCTCGTTACGTACCTGTCTTGGATATCTGGGGAGTGCCATAAAGACCCCAACGGCTCATTAATCATTGCCAGTATGTTCTTGGGCGTTGTGATATCACCAAGTAACTTCTCGCACGTATTTCTCAGAATGATGCGCTCAGTCTCGAGTTCCTGGACCAGGTCACGAATATGGCGTACGAAATGTCTCCATACGCGACCCGTATCTACAACCTGTGAGAGGACCGTCAGCCATTCAGTTGCATGGTCTCGGTGACGCCATCGTTGATGGCAACCAGTGGTCAACATCACATTGGGGCAGGTGACATCTTCCACGATTACCAACCTTTTTGTACTTTTCCAGCGCCGAGATAATTAACGGAATCCCACCCAAGATTATCCCAGCTACTTCAAAGCCAGACATTTCCTGATGGTTTAGGAGACAGTGCTCCTTCTAAAACACATGACATGTTTCCATCCAAATGGAAATAACGAGGCTTCGCAGAAAGAATCAAAATGTAAAGCAGATTTCGACTGCAGTCAACCAATCGCATGTGTAGCCTCAGAGCGGGGTAATGCAGATCCCAGAAGGAAAGATGACGAATTATTTGGTAGGACGCAGGCGAGACAATCGCCTAATGTCGCATCAAACTGGTATTCCATGTCTGCTCGACTCGATGATCTCTCATATACATCTGCCAATCGAGCGACAGAAATCATGACAAATAAATCCGCTTCTTTTGTTTGCTCGGAAGGCAGTGACTTTTTGGCGATCCTGTCTACTCCCTCTTCCCTCTGACTGACTGCCACAGCACGTTGACTGGGACCAGTTCAGCCGCAAAGCACTTGGCAGGTTGATGTGTCAGCCGGGTCAAATCGCAACTTGAGATCTCCCTCGGTCATCTAGATTTCACCATGTCGAAATCAATTGCAAACGTTGTTTCCGTCTGTCTGGACCAATTTGACGAGATATCCGAAGCTGCGTCTCTACTCCAACCTCAGCTTCTGGGGCTGTCAGGAACGATAAACGACGAAAGGGATAGGTTCTCAGTCTATGTGCGTAATATCGGAGCACACCAGACAGACAGGAGATCTCTCGATTTTCGGCTGCGGGACGCATCCCATATTCGCAGTCAGATTTTCAGTCTTCTTCAAAGTATGCAAGAGTCACTACAAGACGGTATGATTACGACGCCCGACATTGTTGTGTACATGTATGCTCGGAGTCGCTGATGGCATAGCAGCCAAGAACCTTGTTAGAGACCAAGACAGTTTCCCCAAAGAGTTTGCAGAGCAGGATGACATGAATCACTTTTCCGAAATTCAGGATTTATTTGCGAGTATAGCCAGAACTGTGACCTGTCTATTACGACTGTCGATCACAATCCAGAATCCAGCACCCCACGACAGATTTGCATTGTCGGATATTACCGACACATCGCATTTTGAGGCTCACGACATGGAGCATACGGCCACTAAGTATCCTTCATCCAGCCGCGCTTTGGCAGAAAGACTTGGGAAAGCAAATTCTTATCGCCGCCAGTATTTTAAATATCGTGAGGCACGCCACATCAAAATGGCTAGTGTGGCCAACTATGACCCTGACGGTCAAAGCACAGAGGCATCCTCGATTGCCGAGCAACTGAAGAATCAAAGTAATCAGGAACAGGACCTTCCCATGATAGACGAAGACAAAATGTCTGATGGAGGTTTAACACAAACCTCCTACGCAACTACAGTTTCTGGTTTTGATAGGCCTCGTGTCCCTCCTCTTCCAGCTGCATCACAAGATGTTGCTTTCGAGTGCCCATTCTGTTTTATGATGGTATCGGCTCACACCAGGAAGTCTTGGAAGTAAGTTTGCTTGGAACATTACGTATGGTTGCGTTGAGACTGACTGACATTACTATCAGAAAGCATGTGTTTGCCGACCTCAGACCCTACATATGTCTTTTCGATGATTGCCAAACACCAATGAAGAACTTTCAACGACGGCGCAACTGGATTGAGCATGTCCGCCAACAGCATTGGAGGATTTGGTTGTGCCCTTTGAGATGTGGCGAATCCTTTGACACAGAGAGGAAACTTCAAAAACACATGCCAACTTCACATCCAGACTTTCAAGCTCCGGAAGGGCTTATTCCCGAGCTGATGCAAGCGGCATCGAGACCGAGAAGGGAATGGACGACGGTGCCTTGTCCCCTTTGCGCGGAGGAAATGAGATCTGTCAAACATTATCAACACCATGTTGGACACCATCTTGAAGACGTCTCTCTGTTCGCGCTTCCACATTGTGAGTATGCCACGATGGAGACAGGCCACGATTTCAAGACTCCTGGAGAATCAAGTGGGAGCGAAAGTGGAGAAGAGCGAACACCTTCTAGGTTGACCGTATATCAGTCTATTCCGTCGTACCAATTGTCGCGGCGGAACTTAGCTGCTGCATTGGAATCCTTTTTCCCAGGAGAAAAAACAGATGTAAGTGATGTTCATACAACCCAAAGTAGGCCCTCTCCTGAAGGCGTGATTCCTTAACTGCCACAGATTGGATCGAGAGTGACGGATGAATTCACGGTCCAACTTCCACGAGAGTTGACTGTGGAGGAAAGAAAGCATATAGACAGTGTCCGCCGCGCCGGCGATTTTGAGAAGAATGATGACGGACCGACGAGCTATTGGAAGGTTTACGAAGCTGAAGACTTTCCTCTCTTTCTGTCAGCTTTTGGCAGTGACTGGGCAAAGATAGCGGCACATATGGGTACCAAGACCCCTGTCATGGTATGTCCTGTGCACTTCGTGATCCTGCTACATGCTTACCGAAGTGCGGTACTTAGATCAAGAACTATTATCTTCGACAGACGGAAGACGGCAAGAAGGAGTGGGAAGATCGTGTCAGAGAGGCTGATGCTAAGAGAGCCAGGGGCGAGAAACTGCCAAGTCTGCCTGCCAAATTCGAAAATTTTTCGTAAAGACCAATATTGTTCTTCGGCTGTAAATATGACAGAAAAGCCAGCAATATATACGTTCTGAACAACCCGCTAGACTCTGCCCCATAGCAAGTATATACAAAGAGGTGACTAGAACAAATAAACACGAACTTTGCCTTGTTTCCATCCACAAATCGGACTTTGGACCAAACGGCAGAACGTTAGCAGATTTCAACCGGCTTCTTGGGGCTGTCTAGATTAATGACAGTTGGCCATGTGTGTCGCTTTATTATAGCGGATGAACTGCCATACTGATATGTGCAATTCCATTCGGGCGAAGAAAAGGCCTATTAAGGCTACAGAATGACGAGGGGGTGAGGAGATTGAAGCGCCCGCAAAGGATTTCTCGTATAGACTTTGTTTAGTATGGCCTTGGGCTTGAGTATATTGATTGGATCCTTGTCTTTGGTTGGCGAAACGACGCAATAGACACGGAATGTAACGGTGGCCTTGTCATTAACTATGTATTCAGGGCTGAGCTGACGGGATGCATGTGCAGGGGTTTTAGGTCCATGGGCACTCAAAAAAAAAAGAATCAATTGCTTGTTTGCTGCCTTGAACTGCGCCGCGGCTAATCCCGGTCTTGTACCCGATACTAAATACAGAGCTGAATTGAACAGCAGAAATCAATAGAGAATACCATCGTCAATAATGCCATGTACTCTGTACACTGTGAGAGGATACCATTGGCTGGGAACCTTGAGGTGACCAACCGACTGCAAGCAAGCAGCAAACGCATCTGCTTAGCTGCCAAAACTTGAGAAGTAGGTAACCGTTCCTTCCGAGAAAAAGATGATGTGATATTCCTCCTCTCGGTCCAAACGCTCTATTTGCGCTATTTTTACTCGTCGGTTTTTTAACTCATGCTTATCAACCTCCCATGCTTACCAGGCCACGAACCCGGTTCGTTCGTTACTCCCCTTACCCTCTGTCTCTCTGCATTCGAAGATCTGATCTCTGACCCGATCCGGGTGGAAGGCGACTGAACACAAAGAGACTACAACCAGTGCTTTGCCGAACGGGATCTTGCTTTGTGCGAGACTTCCAACTACGTACATCAGGGCAAACACTCCAATCAATTAGTCTAAACGACGACCCCTAAAAACAATGCTCAAGCTTCATTAACCAGCTCACTAGTTGTTGTGGGCCCCCCCCATCGAGTCCAGTTTCCGCGGCCATGGCACTACTGTCTGCGCTACATTACGCTACCAACGGGCGGTCTTACTGAAGATGAGATAAATTCCCCGTAAAAGAGATGCCAGAATATCCACACCCTTTTGTCCTTTTGCGTGGCTGCCAACTGCTTTCCTACGAATTACTTGCTACCCACACTTCGTTATGCCGATCCTACTACTACTGCTTCCCCAGGAATAGATTCGTGCCCTGAGTGACGCCCCCGTTTCTTGGCCCTCTTTTTCTTTCTTTCCTCTGTTGCCTTACGTTTTGTTATTCCTCTTGTTTATTTTCTTTCCCTCTGTTTGTCTGAGCAGTATCACTTGATTCTGGAATGTTTTAGGGCGTTTGTGGAGGGGCTTTGGTGTATATCCTTCTTTGTTCTTCTTCCTTGTCGCTAGTAAAAGAGCCCACCCACAGATGTATCGCTCGTCGTCGCGCACTCCACTGCGCATCGGCGCGGCCATCACTGCTGTCCTCCTATGTTGGCACTTTTTGAGCCTCAGCTCCTACGGTGGTGAATACGATGAGGTGAAACAATTGAACCCCGTCGTCGGTTCTGCCGCCGCCGCGCCTTCCGCCACACCCGTTGTCCCGGAACCGCAATTGCCGTGCGACTCGTTACATGGGCTCCAGGACGTTTTTCTGGTCTTGAGGACGGGCGCCAACGAGGCTCTTGATAAGCTGCCTGCGCACTTCAACACCACGCTGCGCTGCTTCTCTCCGGGTGGATACGGCATCTGGTCAGACTATGAGGAGATGATTGGGGGCCACCATGTCATGAATGCTCTCGATCGGATACCCTCCGATATCATGGAGAACCATCCCGACTTTGACTACTACCGGCGCCTCCAGAAGCATGGACGAGGTACATTTTCTGCCGATGAGCTCGACGAGTGGGCCACAGCCCCCAACGGAGCCAGTGGCCGCGACACGCCTGGTTGGAAATTGGACAAGTGGAAGTTCCTGCCCGTCATGGAAAAAGCTTACCGCCAGAGGCCCGATGCCAAATGGTATGTTTTCGCCGAAGGTGACACGTACGTCAGTTGGAGGAATTTACTCGAATGGCTCTCCAAGATCGATGCTTCCAAGCCGCTGTATCTGGGCCACGAGATGCAAATAGGGGATGTGATCTTTGCCCACGGCGGGTCCGGTTACGTCATTTCTAATCCGGGCATGAAAAAGTTGCTCGTCTTTCTGGCGACCAAACCTGGAGTCTACGAGGAAATTACTGCCGGACACTGGGCTGGAGACTGTGTCCTGGGCAAGGCTCTCGATGACGCTGGGGTCAAGCTGTCTTGGCAATACCCAAACTTTCCTGGAGAGTCTCCCTACACCATGGATTACAACGCCACATTCGGAGGATCGTCTAAGCGGAATTTTTGGTGTTACTCCGTGAACGCATATCATCACATTTCATCTCATGGAATTCAAGAGGCTTATCGCCTGGATCAAAAGTGGGCGCTTGAGGTACGTAATTCTTCCCCCCCCCCCTTATCTACACTGATTGCAGCAGACACAAAAGCTTACAATCTGTAGCACTCACAACCGATCCGCTACGGTGACGTCTTCCATCATTTAATACGACCGCATATTACGCCCAGAATTGAGAACTGGGACAACGAGTGTGCCGATGATGAAGGTGCTATGGAAACCTTTGCAGACTGTCGTCAGGCCTGCCAGGATAAATCACAGTGCTTTCAGTATCTCTACAACCCCATCGACTCGAGCTGCAAGACGTCTTCTGTGATCAAACTCGGCGAGCGACAAGCCAAAAGCACGAAGCCCGAGGCAAGCTTGGTGTCGGGGTGGTTGGTAGACCGGGTCGATGATTTCATGAGCACGATGGATGCTACATGCAAGAGCCAGAGCGACGCGTGGAAGCTACCGGATTGAAACCCAAGCAGGAAGACAAAGTAACCAGAAGAATCAAGAAAACAGGCTAATCAAGACTGAGCACTGTGGCCTGGAATAGAATCCACCCCACCAAGTTGAGCTGGCAGGCTTTGGACGCGGCACCCGAGGGTGAAAACCACCCTGCTCTGCACAATTAATGCGTGTGCTACACGCTGAATCGCGAGTCCAAAGATTTGCATCTTCATACATTGGTCTGCAGCAGCCCGTGAAACCTAGGTCTTCACCGGGATCATAAAACGATGGAGGGCTGTCATTTGGCTGAGGGCTGGATCTGAGTCGTCGGAATCATGAAGAATCCTCCACCATGAAACCAGGTGCCACACATCTAGGTTATACGTTCCCTGACCATCTACGATCATTCATCTACCATAGGAATTGGGGACAGGATACGAGAATATAACCCTAGCATGTTGCTGTCAATAATTGCTCGCCTAAGCGTAACATTGAGCAAGTGTGCTGAATTTGATTTGGTCAGAAGATGCGTGCACATGACAGAAAATATTTGAGGTCATAAAAATCTCCATGTGTAAGCACCAATAATAATGACGCCAATTTAATCCGAGCTTGCGAGATCTGCATTCGAAGGATGATATCCTCCACATATATTTCTAGATTCGTTTCACCAAAACGATGTTTGTGCTAATTACTATAGGTGGTGAGTATACTAGAAACGCCACGTTCAAAAACTTAAAACTGAGTCAACCAGCCTATTTGAAGTCGCGGTACTATACAGTAACCTAGCTCTGTCTCAGACAAGGGCCGCTCCAGTAGCCCTGTCCAAAAGATGGGTACTGCTTCTCTATTGGTTTTGTGTAAGCCAGTTGCAACTCCACCAAGACTCGTCATGGCAATTTGAGTACTCGGGACATTCCGCCCGCTGGATTGAACTGTTGTTCTTGCTGTCTGATAAGCGTGTGTGCCCTGAGATGGAGACCTAGACTGTGTTTTTAAGTTCGGAATCGGGAATGTTAATGACGGAATTTTGGTTTTTGTTAGCATGCCCCATGGATCAGTCCATTGCTTACAGACAGACACCCAAGCCGATACTCGCCAAGCCTCGAGCTGCATTGATCTGATAGCGGACTTGCACAGGCATGAGGACCAGTGCAGAAAAGGCAATTTCGGAACTTTTGATCTTGATATGATAACCCAAGTTTCCGCCATATGCAATTGAACCAAGCACGTATGAGCAAAGATCGCATAGGGACATGCACAAGATAGGAAGAGGTATCATTTTTCTTCTACGAGGAACCACGTAATGCATCAGTTGATGAATGGTTTTTTTTACATTTATCGAGATTCTTGTCATTGCCATGATCGTTTTGTCGTCTGCTCGTTTTGTATACATGGGCATGCGTTGGTAGATGAGGCGCTGCGTTTCGGATGCCGCCAAGCAAAGTCCCGTCTGTCCGGGCGGCATTTGGGGGATTGCGGGGCCGATTCCGCCCGTCGATCCCCCACGCCTCGGCTCTCAAGAGCAACGAACTCTCGTCGCAAACTGCATACCTACCTTACCTACATACTTACCCAGAGGTAACAAAACACCTCATCTGCTGCGCAAGCGCAAATGTCGTGAATGAACAACGCAAACATGCCGCCGCCAAATACTCCAGAGGAGGGTGAGCTGGCGCCCTCCAACACTACGCCAGCCCCAACCAGCAACACAGCGCTGCCCCTCCGGCCCCTCGTCGGCGCAGCAGCAGAAGCAACAGCCGTGGCCAGCAGCAATGGCGGCAGTACACCATCGCCCGCATCCGCCGCCGTGGACCTGCGCCTCCTCGATTACCAAGACGCCATTGACGAGAACCTCATCTGCCCCATCTGCCGCGTCGCCCTCGTCCAGCCCGTCATCACCCGCTGCGACCATGTCTTTTGCCAGCGCTGTCTGGCGCAGGCGCACGCCCTGAGCCCCGTCTGCCCCATTGACCGGTCCGCCCTGAACGACCTGGCCGCCGACGTCCGGTCCGCCCCCAAGATTGTCCACAACCAGCTCGACAACCTGACGGTCAAGTGTCCCAACCGCGCCCGCGGCTGCACCCTCGTCGTTGCCCGCAGCCTCGTCGAGAACCATGTCTCCCGCTACTGCGACAAGACCATGGTGCCGTGCCCGCACCCCGGCTGCGCCCACACCGTCGTCCGCCGCGACGCCGGCAAAGGCTGTCTGCACTACGACGTCGAGTGCGAGTACTGCAAGGGCTCCATGCTCAAGGCGGACCTGCAGGACCACCAGGACTCTCAGTGCCCGAACCGTGAAAAGGAGTGCGAGCTCTGCGGCTCGCCGTTCCTCAGGAACAAGCAAGAGGAGCATACCAAGGAATGCCCCGAAGTCGAGACCGACTGCCAGTTTGCGCCCTTTGGGTGTGTCCAAAAGACGGCGCGCAAGTTTCTCGATGACCATGCTGGGCAATGCGAGTACCGCGTTGTTGGGCCCGTGGGCGAGCAGATTGCAGAGCTACGATCTGAGCTCGGTGCATTGCGAGAAAAGGACAGGTTAAAGGATCGAAGGATCAAGTTTCTTGAGAACAAGTACTTTACCATGCCGGCCGCGACCGCATCTCCCGAGACCATTACCGACATAAGCCTGCCCGAGTCGTCTTCTTCTACGGCCGCCGCCGCCGCTAGCACAACGGATATGGCGCCGTACGAGTCGCGGGATCAGTACTTCTTGTCCTTGTTCGAAACCATGGAGTCCAAGGTGGAGCGCCTCTCGTCGGCGCTGCAGGAAGTCGAGGGCCGGCACTCCATGATGCTCATCAACGAGACCCTGCAGATCAAGGACCAGCTCACCGAGATTCGCAGCACCCTGGGCGTCCTGGGTATGCATGTACGCTGGCTCATGAATTTCCGCCTCCAGGAGCTCGGCAAAGTCGGCCCGGCAGCCGCCGCAGCTGCTGCTCCTGGCATGGCTACTGGTTCCATGGCTGCCAGGAATCAAGACAGCAGTAATCCAAATCTGCCACGGAGAACCAGTGATACATACAGGGAGAATCCCCCGCGGTTATAATAGGAAATGATGAACGCAGCATGAAGGGCGATAAGCGCGTGAGAAGTATGGTTTTTTTTTTTGTGCTTGCATTACAAGGGTCTCACGACACCTTGCGGAGGCTGCGGATCAAGAGAAAGCATCATGGCCCGGCGTTGAGGGGGGGAGGTTAGCGGTTCTGGCGTTTACGGTTAGACATTGATCGATTTATTGGTATCCAATGCATGGATCGAACGACATTGAGGCCAAAGTCTTTATCATGGAGAAACAATTTGGACAGGCTTTTAGGAGATGAAGTTTAGCTGCAATGAGCGGATAAACAAAAGAAATAGTAGATTGAAGAGCCAATGACTTCGTAACAATACAATGCTTTGAGAGAGAGAAGGAGTTGCCCCCAAGGGTTGTATGATGCCCACAAACCTCTCACGATGAACGTCAAGATCATACTCGCTTTCCTTCTCGACAATGCTGTTGACAATGTTTACGGAATGAAGTAACATCTAATCGGATCATACGAATCGCTACAGTCTCTTGACGTACCCATATCTCTTGAGCCGTTTGGTGGCAAGGACGAAACTGATCCATTCTAGATGATGACAACTCAATCTGCCTTGTATCAAAAGTAGACAACTCATGATCGCATATCATAAGAGCTTGTTAAACTCAGCTATTGATGCTATTTCTTGTCTTCATGGCAGAAATGTCGACTCTCCCATCTTCCAGCTACGTGTCATAAGCACGCAGTCAGCCCTCGTAGGCGAGGGGCCCAGCGGGAATAAATTCGGCATGGCACGGAAGTCTGGGTGGCTTGTCATGAAACTGAGGTCCATTCCTCCGTTGCTGTCTCTATTGTTGTTGATGTCGTTGTCGTACTCATTTTCGCTATTATCAGGTTGTCCTTGAACCAATGGAGGAGATTCCAGTGATGCAGAGTTATCGATAGTTCCCTGCGGCTCTACCGAACAGAAGAATTATCGTTAGCAGCTACTCGAGCAAATAGTGTTCATGACAAGAAATCTCACCTTCAGAGACGGTGATATAAATCTGCAAACAAGCTACCCGTCCCATATGGGCAAAGACCCGACCCGAGGCATCCTGACAAAACTGAATGTGTTTGCCTGCATAGTCGTCGACATACCACTCCAATAGTCCATGGTAGACCTCGTGCGTGGTAGATATCGTGCCCGGGGGGACCCTCAGCGTCATGTGCCCCTGGCCATTTTCCGCTACGACGACTTGGCCATGGCTCCGGAGCTGTCCATTACCGTCTAGATGCAGATGGGCAGTCTTGAGACAGGGTTCTGCAATTGCACTTCGAGAGGTGAAGCCGGAAATATGGTGGTGCCTCGTGTAATTCCTCATACCATCGTGCGACAGATAGGGAAGCATGATGCCGTCGGCTGGCCCTATAGCCACAACCAGATTTCCCCTCAGAGGTGGAGGAACACAAGCGTCCGAATAAATGACCGTAGAGGCAACATCTGTGGCTCCTACGTTGCTGAACCAATTGTTTCCACGTTGACAGTCGTCTAATATTTGCTTGGAGAAGATGCGCGCTTTGAGAAAACTGGTGATGGCGTTGTAATAAATAACGACCAGACAGAAATTACTAATAAAACAAAAAATATAGTGGGTGAGGCCTAATAGCCTGACAAGTTGTTGCTTCCGAGGCATAATGACGTGTTACGTGGAGTATAAACACCAACACTCGTATGGGGATAAGTTCAAGAAAGAAAAAAAGACGAACAAGAATTGACAAACAGTTCACCTCTTAATCAATGGCCATGCCTGCCTCGTGTAGGTCCTATATTCCTTTATTCTGCATGCCTGAAACACTTTTGATCAAGGGCTACGCGAGGCGGACCGCCGTGGATAAATCTGGATCATCGCAAGGGATGATGCTGCGGGTGAAGCAACAATGATTCAGCTGCCTGGCCTAGCAAAGTCCTAAGCACCTGGTATATTTTTGGTTAGATCATTGAAAAACTAGGTTACCAATTGGGAAAATCAAGTCGTATGTAAGAAGAAGCAATCTCGGTGATCAACAAGGCATAATGCCTTGGGGACGGGATGCCGCCTTCGACTCAGCCCTGTAGGCGTTTTTCTTCTTGGCGCTGTCGAGCGTAAAGCAATGGTTCTATTCAAAGTCAAGGATCACGTCTTGGTGCGAATTTGAGCAAGCATCAAATGCAATTCGAGATCCTTCAATCGAATCATGAAAACAGGTCAGAGTAAACAAATATACCAATACATGAGTCTCTCCCCAACTGCACAAGTTTGCCCATTCCAAGATCCAACACAATTCACATTACCAAAACAATCCAGTACAATAGGCCCAAAGCATTCCAAGTGATCTCGCCCCATTATCGGGTCGTCAGCTGCCATGAAACCGTTACTCATCTTCATCATGCTTCTCCTGGTGCAACTCGAGACCCTTGACCTTGATGACCGTCTCGATGTGCTCAAATCGAAGCGTTGTTTGCTCGGCAGTGGCCAAAAGGGCAGCCGTCTTGACCACATGCTTGATCTGACGGCCGTTGAGTCCCAAGTGACCGAGGATGCGCAGGTGGTCGGCTGTGATACTGGGTTGGCTTTCAGCATTGATGAAGTTGCCCCAAATACGCTGTCGGGCCTGTCGATCGAGCATGGGGTAGTCAATGGTCAGATGAATGCGTGACTCGAAAGCTGGGTCAAAGGCGGATATGCGATTGGTCGTCAAGAACAGCACGCCCTGATAGTACTCGAGGAGCCGGAGGAAGACGGCCACGAGCTGGTTCTTCACCAGGCTCGATTCAGATCGCTTTTCGAGAAAGACGTCGCATTCATCCAGCAAGAGAATTGCTCGCCAGGCTGTGCAGCGATCCATCACCCTGCGCAGGTTGGTTTCGACCTCGACGGCCGTGATCCCCAGCTCTCCGGCACTCATGACATAGAGTGGCTGTCTGATTTTCTCAGCCACGGACTCGGCTGTCAAGGTCTTGCCAACACCAGCATCTCCCTATAGGTGGACACTTCATGTTAGCAGCCTATTCAGTGACTATCTTAAATGAACCTCGACTAACCTGCAACAGTATGACGATGCCTTTGCCCTTCCCGCGGATTATGTCGTCAAAGTTGTTCTTCTGGGACAGCTGGACTTGGACAAAACTCAGAATCACCTTCTTGACCTCGGGCTGCAAGACTAGAGCATCGAAGGCGTGATCATCCCAAGCGATATCTCCTATATTGTCCACGATGAATGTTCCCTTGGAGAGAAGATATCAGCTCATGTGCAGCCACATTTCCAGCTTGTTGCTCGACTCACCCAATCTTTGTTTGTAAGACAATAAGCATGGACCTCAGGAGTACAACACGCCAGCTCTTCGTCAGTCATCTGAGCTTGAATCTTGGGCGTCAAGTCCTTCACTGGCTCAATGACAATACGACCATCCGTAATCTGCAACGTGTTAGCCTGGAATAGAACCACGAAGCATCAAATTGACCGGTCCTGAAACTAACCAGCACTTTCTTCTCTTTGATTGAGGCAATTCCCGAGTATGCCATGTGCTTGGTGCCGTTGAGTTGTTCAAATCTTCTGCCCCGATCGACCATTCTCTGGCGAATGGACTTGTCGGCAAGAAATTGTATGGGAATGAAAGGCAAGTCCGAGATTGGCAGCATGCCTTCAAATGCCTTGATGGACATTGAATGTGAACTCCAGCCAAAGGACTTGCCATCCATATCGATGAACATGCATGACAGTAAACCACGATCAGTATTGTAGTGTTTTGTGATGAGCATGCGGTCCTGACCATGGATCTTTGCGTAGACCTGAGTGCCTGGCTCGAAAAGAGCAAAGAGATGCTCAAAGTCGATGAGGCCATTGCCAAGCAGGTCTTTGGCAGTAGCCCTGAGAGGGTCCATGATTTTGGCCATGACGTCGTAGAGGAGGCGAATATGCATAAGCGCTGTCTTGTTCTCTTCTTGTTCCATGCACTGGAGAAACTTGTTCCAACGGAAGTAGAATTGGGGGAAGGGTGCAGAAAACTTGATGGTTTTGGTGGTAGTGTAGACTCCGGGATATCCATCAAAGACTGTAGCAAGAAAGTTCCTCAAGTAGGGACTCTGAACAACGATGGAATGTAAATTGTAAGGCAGTTTACCTCGCTCGTATCTCGTCACGAGGGCGTACTGAAGAGAGACATTGCCGGCTCCATCGTCCTCGTAAAGATCGCGGGAACGATCCAAGGCTCTCCACTGGCTTTTGTCATGGGCTCTGAAGAGTTCAAATGTCATATCAAGCATTCCGCTGCCATTGTACTGAACAAGCTGGCTGGATTCCTCTCCAGAGATGTTGGGCTCCATCTTGGTATGAGTTACGATGGTGTAAGGGGTTTGTCACGTAACTCGAGGCTGAGTTTTGTGAGTAGATGGAATGGGAAAAGTTGTAGTAGTCAGACGCCCTTTAAATATAGAAAATTTCCCGCGTAATGAAGTGCCTTGGTTACTGCAGAATACCTTCCTTAGTTGAGATTTTCCCAAGCAACAACGATCCTTGAAAATTCTTCAGCAGGCCCTCAGAATATGCACCTCAGAAAGACCTTCATTGCCCAAGGGTCGACTTGCATCGCGCTTGTCTTTATTCTTTCGGTCATACCGGCATGCTGTTCTTTTACCTACCTATGCACCAACTAGTTTGTTCATGTTTAGGTATCTTTCTTTGAATTTGTAACAGCAATTCTAGAAAAGTAGTCTGATTCTATGCATATCTCGGCAACGAAGACTTTCCTTGTTTATTAGGCCTTTTCTATCAAACGTCCATGACTCAAGTCTCACAGCTCCATTCTTCGTATCATTTGAACCTAAGAGATTACTTGGGGTATTGCTTTCTCCTACAGTAAATCAATATGTGTCTCTAAGAAATCAAAGAAATAAAAGTCAGAATAATGAAAACAACCACAAGTGACCTGTAGATGGCCAGCTTGGTCTAAGGCAGCTCTACCAACAGCCTCGGCGCCCCCATCTCTGCCGGTACAGCAGTGTTTCCCGGTTCTCTAGGTTGAGGAGCTACTTGTCTATTCGCAGACTCCAGGATCTGCGCACCGTCTGCTTCATATCGTATCACTCCCCTCGCAGCAGTCTCCTTCTGCTCTGGCCCATCCACGGGGCATCCATTGACATCCTGCCCTTCTTGTCCTGCATGCCCTTGCTGCTGCTGCCGCAGCTTCTTCTTGTAACTGGCGAGGCGCAAGAGCAGGTAGGCCAGGCCGCCGCCGCCAATGAGCACCACGGCGATGCCGGCACCGATGCCACCCCAAGCCCCTGGCGAGAGTATACTCGCAGGGCTGATTGGCGATGAGCTTGACGGCGGTGGCGAGTTTGACGATGACGTCTGTGAGGGCGGGGCGTTAGAGGTCGCACTTCCCGACGTCGGTATGCTCTCGGGTGTGATACTCGAGTCGTCTGTTGTACTGTTGCAATATGGTGTGCCTCCAAAGCCAAGATTGTTGGCTTGGGCAAGGAAATGTGTGCAATTAAAGTCCGAGTTCCAAGGCTCGAGTCGAATGCTGTTGTGCACAATTTTCAAACTGGGAAATATGTTGGATGCGCGCGAACTGCTCAAAGATACGACTTTAGCCGGGTATTGATGATGACGTTGTTGTTTATTACGGACTTACGGGTCAATATACCCATTCAAGTAAATATCGTCGGCTTCTTCTAGCTCTGGAAACCATCCGGGCAATGTAGTGAATGGATTGTTGACAGCATATAGAGATCCAATCCGAGTGATTGTATTGAAATTCAGAGTGCAATTGACATTACCCTCTATATTCAGGCCGCCGGAAACTTTCTCGAGGTTGGGAACGTCAATGGTAATAAACATGTTTTCTGTTATATTCAGATTTCTGCCAATTGAAACCACGTTTTCGAACATCATGGAAGTGACCATGTTGCCATTTACCCACTCAATCGGTGGAGGCTTGTCGAGGATGGAAGGTCCCACGATCATGTCGTTCCGTATCTCGTACTGGCTTCCGCCAGTGAAGCCGGTAGATATATTTGTCCATATGATTGTGTCAATACTTTGAAGATCTCTCCAAAACCAGTATGTGGGATGAGCTTGCTGAACCTCCATGGTATGTATTTCAGACACATTCCACAGGGTGAAAACTGTGCCTACCGACTTCAAGAGGCTCAACTCCGGGAGATTTTTGATGCTGATAACGTTGTTTCTTAAGTAAATCTCGCTGGCACTGGCGTCACGATCGAAGTCGATAGTCCCATCAGAGATGTCAGATATACTGAAATTCTTTTGGCTGTACTGAGATAAGTGTGAGCAATCAATATCTTTCAGGGCTGGGCTTCCCGTGATTTCGACTCTTCCAAGTTCACGATCCGATAAGTCGACAATTTGAAATGGAAGCTGTATCTTCTCCAACGCTGGATTATCTTGGACAAGAATATTCGAGATAGGAACCGCCAAAGGCCGCGACGTAAAGTTGAGCTGCTTATCAGTCGAGCTTGTGATTAGGAGGTTGTCTATCGGCCCGTCACATCGTCTGAACGGTCCTTCCTGGATATCCTCAAGACTGGAAACTGTAATATTTCCGGGGCAGGTCTCCAAACTCATGGCTGCCGGCTGATGGATGGTACTTTGACTTCCTGGGGGACGAGGAAGAGAATATCACAAGCCCTATGGCCAACGATAGGAATCTGAACACAAGAGGTCATAATATGTAGAAGCGAAATGGCAAAGTAGAAGAATAAACCAAAATGCACGTAAAACACCGAGCCATAGTGGGATAGAATTTGCCTCTGTAATACGCTTCCATTTCCAATTTCCAGATCCAGTCGTGTGGTTACGTGGGAGTACCACCAAGCAACTCCTGTACACGTACATTACCGGTCTAGACGCCCTTCAGCTTCGTAGACTTTTCGAGCAGCCGCAATCCGGTAACACATTTTTGTAGCAGAAGAGACAAACAATGCTACCTAAAGCTGTTGTACAACATCCTGAATAACCCAAGGCGCTCATACTTGTTGAAACCAGATGCCAGAAACCAACGCGCGTAGCATCAGCACCGGGTAGGCACAGAAGACCAAGCTGCGTCTTAAAAACCCAACTATTGTTCATGGCCTTGGTAGTGATTGCAGAGAGGGTGAGATGCGTACAAAGAGCACTGATATGAGAATTGTGAGTGACGTGCATTGGAGAGCCCGGTCAACACAGTATTAGTACCTTTGCGTCAGCTACTATATCTGCCGATCGAGCCTAGACGATGGCATTATAACTATTCATTGCATCACCACTCGCAAATAGCTAGTCTTGTAGTGTTGAACGGGTCATGCCGCCTCAATCAATTATGGCTCAAAAGGGCAATTGCCCAGTCAAGCACCTATCAAAGGCAGAAGCCTTTATTTGAAAAGGCATCAATCGTGAACCAAAAACGTACAATTCTCCCCAACTCCTCGGCTATACCTCAAAAAAAGCACAATCCTACACACGTAAATGCTAGCTTTGCTGCGACGCCTCATCTTCTTGGTCGTAGAGAAACTTGTCGGCTCTCCGGTATCTAACCTTTGCGTCTTCTCTTGGCAGTGTTCTGTGATTCGGCGTCGGCAGCTTGCTGTTCAGCATCGTCCTCAACGTTGCTCACGTCGCCGCCAGATACACTGACACCGCGACTGACGCTTGTACGGCCAACCGTCGATGGTTGAGCATTGCGCTCAATCTCACTCCGGAGGTCGCTCAATAGCTTCTCAACCTCAAGAAACATATTACGAGTTTCCTTGACAATACCATCCTCGTCTACTTCGTAGCCGACAGCCTCATCGCTGTTATCCTCCGAGTCTGGCCTCACAAAAGAAGGGCCAACCCCTCGATCGGGATCTTGGTTATACATGATTGAATTTGCAAACATGTGAACAAGTTCTCGTTCAAGCTGTGCGATGTTGATAATGCCCTTGGGAGGAATCAGATCAACCGAGATGGGGAGCCACACATTCATAGCGCTCGGGTCGAGATCAGGGAGGGTCTTTTCGAGAGCATGTGCGGCTCTTTGACCACCGTTGATCGCTGAGCGGATGCCTCTGAGGTCTTGCGGGCGTAGAATAATGTCGGGGTAGCCCGGCGCATCTCGAGGCTTGATTGGCGCAGCAAACATATTCGCATGGCGATGACTCGTGACTTGCTCCAGCGCAGACTGACTGACTTTGTTGAACGAGCGAGTCCACAGCACATGAGTAGGGGGGGCTGGCGGGCCACGGTTGACTGGAGAGTCCTGTCTCTTGCGCTTGTTGGTCGTGCGGTAGCCTGCTCCATGCGTCTTGCTTGGGCCAGCCTCGTCTACCTCAGTATCGCCAGCATCTTCAAAAGGTTTGGGTGTAGCTTCTTCGTTCTTAATGATACGACCTACATCCGGCTCTTCTGTAGATTCCTTGGTGGCCGGCGGCTTCTGAACGCTTCTTGACAGCCTGCTCGGCGCTTTAGGTATGGTTGCATCAATCTTTGAAGAGGGCTTGCGTGTTTCCTTCTTGGCCCCTGGCGGTGAAGTTTTTGGAATACTGGCTGGTGGAGGCGAGGGACTCAAGGGTTCAAAAGCCGGACTCTGAGGTTCAAAATAACCGCTTACCTCCAATCTAGGAGTAGATGGAGTGGGGGTTGACGTCCATCTTGTACCGTGACCTCTAACCACATGAGACAAAATACTAGCGGATACTGGCGTTTGTGGTTGAGATGATGGCTGAGTTGGCTGAGCGGTTGAAGGTGGCACTCTAACCATGGGACCAGGCGGCCGGGCCGGTAGTTGCTGATGTAGTTGTTGCTGCTGCGGCTGCTGCCGGGCAGCACCCGTGATTTGTGCTCCAGGATGAGGCGGCTGTTGGGGAAATGGTTGTTGAGCCGAACGCTGAGCAATTGGCGTTGACGGCAGTGAATGAGATTGCACATTAGGATGTTGTCCTGGTGGGACGGGGGCCGCCAAAGGAGGCCTATGTCCAGCCGGGGGCGCAACTGGGAATCCACGACCAGCCGGATGAGTCTGTGAAGGCAAAACTTGTTGTCGTGCTCCAGGTTGTCCCGGTTGTCCTGGGTGCAATTGAGGCTGCTGCTGGGCATATTGAGGGGAGGGAATCGCAGGCGCAGTAGCAGGCCCGCTGGCGTTGACTGCTGGGTGCCGATATGGCTGCGCCTGTTGAACAGGTACATCCTGATGGGTTTGACGAGGCGGTGGAGGGGTCTGACCAGCATTCTGTACAGGTCCTTGAGGAGGTACTAGTACAGGTTGAGCGTATGGGCCGTTCCCTGGAGTTGGTGTTCTCCCAGGTTGCATATGCGGTTGTATATGCGGCTGAGATGGCTGGCGGTTGCCATACTGAGCTTGAGGGTGCTGAGGATGCTGAGGATGTTGGGCATGCTGCTGGTGTAAATGCGGGTGGGGCTGATGATGCGGGTGTTGAGGTTGTACATGTGGATGAGGGTGTGGGTGTTGTGGAAGCCCGGGTTGTGGTTGATTCTGGTAGGATGGCGGTCTCGCGATCGTCTGGCCATTGTACGGAGGGTGCTGAGGATTAAAGGGCGGCTCCCATTTGTAAGTCCCTGGTGTTTGCGGTTGCTGGAGCTGCGGAGAGGCATGTGGTGCCGGGCTTTGGCTCTTGGGTATGCCATGCGGGCGCTGCAGTCCATCCGGAGTAGGAGGTTGTGGAGTCCCTGAACGGGGAGGGAGCGAATATGCTGGCGCTGCTTGAGGATGCTGCAGCCCGGAAGGAGGAGCTGATGGCGGTCTGTTGATGTTGTTTGGCCTGGGACTTTGCGTGACTTGGCGCACATCGCCCGGCGGTCTCACTACAGTCGGAATCGGCGATGGTGAAGCCTGCGATGGTTTGCGCTCGAGAGCAGGCTGCGAGGGCAGCGGAGGATGTGAAGCAGGTCCAGCTTTGGCGATGCTTTGCGCCTGGGCAGCCGGTATAGGCACCGGTGTATGATTTGGATGGCCATTGAGTCGTGGGGGCTGCACTGCTTTTGTGTCAACTACTGGTGGCGCACCATTCGGTCTCGGAACGTTTGGTGTTTGACGGGGCACTGGGCTTGCTGTTGCCGGTGCCGCTGCTGCCGGTGCCACTGCCGCTGGAAGGGTAGGCTGCGGTCGCGGCGGTGCTTCTAGGTCCTTGATCTCGCGCTCGAGTCTGTCGAGAGCCTCCTCATCTTCCCGAATGCGACGTATTATATGCTCCTGATACCTAGTATGAAGCCTATCGACAAGCTGCGGGAGCTTTTCCCTATGTGCCTCTATATCCTTGAGCGCCGATGGTGATGGGCTCGGCAGCTTTCGTTTTCGAGACGTCGGCGATAAATTTCCACCATTAGCGGTCTTGTCGTCGGCTCCGAGCTCGCGCACTTGATCCTCGCGAACGAGGCGGTGAGCAAGCTGCTCGAGCTTTTCCGGGCTTAATCTTTCAGCATCATAACTGTCTTGAAGGTTGATAAAGCCGTTCTGCTTGAGCTCGTCGGAAATGCGCGGGAAGGCCTCGGGATTGATGCCGTGCTTGGCCAAGAGTATGAAAAGAAATAACGATTCAATAGGCGTGTTTTCGGTCGCCGTGTGATTCATGCCACGAAATCCACCTCGCGAGTGGTCGGGATGACCGTCGCGTCGTTGCAAGAGGTGAACCGGCGCCACGTCTACAGGTGATGGTCAGTGCCTGACGGGCAGAGGGAGGAGCAAAGCCATCAAAAACGCGATGAAACGCGGAGGAAGGGACGTACTGAAGGGTTGGATCGCAATCGCTGGGGTCTATTAAACCTGATCCGATGACTTCCCCTATGAAAATCGCGTCGCAGTGAGCCGTATCGACGATGAGGTTGGCGATGCTGGATTGCGTTGTCGAGGAATTGTCACGTGATCGCAGTGTCTGGATGGCAGAATTTTCAAAAAGCGCGTCAGGAATCCGGTGTTTCGCGGGGGGATTGATGGAAAGTTGACCAAGCAGTGATCAAACCGCGACCTTTGGTAGGCTCGAACTACAAGGTACACTGGGTGAGGCTAGGCCTGGTTGGGGGAGCTCCAAAGCCAAGCCTAAAGTGAGTCTAGGTAGAAGGTGTATGTAGGCAAGCTGGCAAGCCAACGTTTTTGCTGCAACGTACGAAAATACATGTACTATCGTGGCGTTGCAGCTCTGTCTATGTATGCACGTTAATAACTAGTAGCTGGGACCGTTACTTTTGACTTTTGACAATTGCACTGCGTACATGGGCAGAGAATAATTTGGTAATTCTTGTTGTTGTGTGATGGATGAAAATGTGCAAAGAGACTCTGGAGACAGGGTAGAGAGAAATGTTTGGCCAGTCACTCATCACGATCGCTTGTGGTATCCTTGGTTCCCGAAATGTTCAGTCACACAACTTCACAGTGAAGTATCAACCTCATCCCTCCTCTTTTCCCAAAGAGAAGGCAAGTTGGTCCTGTATCCTAATACTCATCAATAATCTAGCCCTTCGCAAGTGCTGTGTAAACTTGGACGACTTTATGAGGTGGTGACTACCTGAATGAGTGCCATTTTGAGGAAGAGACCTGGAGCCCAACTCGGGAGTATGTAAGTTAAAAAGATACCTTGCGTACAGAATCAAGGTTCCCGGAAAGCTTTGGCCATGAACTACCAAATGGACAGAGCACCAAGTGCCCCCAAATGCCGAGCAATTCAAGGTTGATTGAAAGATGCACAGACAAACAGGTCGCGAAGGCCCATCGTAGGTAGTTGGCCCAGCAGCGAGCACAACGTGTTGCAAGTCTTAATACCCATTACAAGTATATCGTAGTCAGCATAGGCATACGCAGTCAACTGTCGAAGCTCAAGGGCTGGGATATCCTATACCCAGTCAGCTCTCGTCGAGGCCCATTAATGATGTGATGTCCCAGATCGTTCACACGTATGACAGACGGGGCAAACTCTTGTCTATTTCGTCTGAAGTCAAGTTCTTGCAAGGCGCACATCGCGCCCAGAGCATGTCGTCCAGGTCCAGGTCCAGCATCCTTGGGAGCTCGACGATCCCCACGTCACACAAGAAATTTCATTGGACAATGGCTCTTGTTGAATTGTTCAGCTGCTTGTACTGTACCCAGTACGTACGTGTAGAAGAGCCACCAAGCCACTGGGAAGACCTGAAACTCATGCAGAATGTCATGTCATCGAGACGGATACGGCGAATATAAGCTGACTCGAATGCCATTCTATAATAAGAGCTCACCACTTTACCCTTTTTGTGTGTTTCTTTATTGGTGAAATCGTGCCCACCCACTGCCGGAAGCCGATAAATGCTGAAACAAGTTCTGCGTTCTCGCATCTCAAGTGGCTTGCAGCTTATGGCGTTCGTCATTCTCACATGCATTGACAGCCCCGAGGGGGGGAAGACAGATCCATCTCCTGAGACCTGGGGTTAAACTCTGGGGGCTAGAGGCTTTGTTTGAAGTATGATTTGGCTAACGCCTCTCGAAATAATGTAATATGAGTGGCAGAAATCTGCTACGAAACAAGATGACAAAACGTAGCACGGAGTAATTGTAGTCTTGGTTTTGCGAGACCTGGTGCCGGACACCGAAATTGAGCAGCTTGTGACGTGATGCAGTTGCATTCGCGGCATTATCAAGTCCTGATCTGTACGGGACATTTCCTGATACAGCACTGCTGTATGCTGCGCAAGTATGTCGACCAGGCCAGTGTCAGAATATTTGTTGGCATTGAGTTTATTTTTAGCCCCTCAGGTACCGTCATGTAGGGCGGTAGGGGCGGGCGATGTATGTACATCCAGTTTGCAGGCCAAGATGACGGTAATGTAGGTATGTATGGTAGCGTAGCATGTGCGGCTGACTACAGCTACAGCGATTATTCGCCCAAAACACGTGCGCTTACTTTGGTCTGCTGTCACGATCAGACCCCGTCGTCACAGGATGATGGAGGGGGGAACCCCTCCGTCACAAGGGTGTGTCCAGCAGTCACCGCTTCTGGGATGACTTTTACCATCCAGGTCACAGCCTTGCCATTGCGGTTTGTCTAGAATGAACAGGATGAAAGAGGAAGAGAAGAAACTAAGAAGAAGCGAGGATTTACAAATCGTAAAACCCGGTTACGATCCATGTTTTTCAATGTAGTATAGCAGATACGATAGTACATTGATACATTAAATGAAGCGGGCATATCCATATCTGGCTCGTCAATTAAAGCCGCCAAAAGAGAGCTCCAGAAAATCAGGGGACCTCCAGCCCGCAGCGGGGCTTGATCCTCCTCAAGCGCATTGCGGTGGAATACCTGTGTGATGATATTAATCAAACTTGACTTTATCATGCGTTAGTCCGGGATTGACGATGACGGCATAAAACGCCCGGCGAATCATACTGAGAAGAGCATCCGATTTCTCTTTTTTGCTTTCTTTCATCTGCCGCCCCGGCTATCGGCTGAGGCTAGCGAATGTCGACTCTCTTTATGGTCAACCGACACGATGTACCGCAGGTGACTAATAAGTTGAGCGATGGAGGATGGGATTCATGGTCGCATGGATACATTAGACGAGCGAAGTGGGTGGATGAAGAGGAAACTTGACTTGTTCATGTATCCTAGAGGGGTCTGGTATTGGGCCAGGGAAGCCGGCACAAACTCGAACCCAGGCATTCTCCTGGCTGATTTGGATCATCTCCAACTAGCGGCGGACTACGCTCATTTCGAATGTTTCGATTTCCAATTGACGGGACCCTTCGATATGCTAAAAGAATCTAGCGTCATGCCTTGTACAAAATCATAATAGTAAGTCCAGTATTGACAGATGTCTGATTTACGCGCCAGATGAGTACTATGTATGTGATGGTCTAATGTAGTGTACATCGTCGACATACCCAGGTGTGAAGTAGTGTAGTACTAGGTAGTTCGTGGCCCCGGGAGCTTCCAGGGGCTAGCAACCCAGCGTTCTAAAGCATATCTCAGCTCTCAGTCAGTCAATGGCCAGCAACCTCGAGACTTCATTCCTCCTCCTCCTCTCATGGGATGTGAATAATTGTCTCGCATTATCCAACAGTTTTGTACAGGCGAGTTGTCTTGCATTGCGCCTACTGCCTCGTTTTGCGTCTGTACGCTCGAGTCGGGTCACTATTCTGTAAACGTTGCCCAATGAGATTATCATTGCCCATATCCCACTATGTACCACTCTATTGGCAGCATCGTCATGAGATAGATTGCTCATATTATTGCTTGCATTCCGTCATACTATATAATACAGTTCCCCCAGCAGCACCCTAATAACTGTTGGTTCGGGTAGACACGAGCATCATGATCAATCAGCAGCCAGCCCGTACATGGTTCGCATGATCGAATTTCCTTCTGCCGGTGCAACTCGTGAAAAGAAAAAGGCTTGTTCCAATCTGTTTCAGACGTCTTTGTCCGAAATTGAACTATGTATGCCCAAGTCATGTCAGGCCCTAGGATTCGAGGTTTCCACATGCCTACCTGCATCCTCTCAATCTACGACTGAATGAGTAGTACAGTACATTTACATACCCTAGATTTTTCTGTTGGTTCAAGGTATCTAGACGCCCGCTACTGGGGGAAGTTGACAGCCTGACACACCCCTTTTTTTCCTCCGTCTTCCTCCCCTCCAGGGTCGTTTGAGTCGGTCAGCTGCTTTTTTGCCTTGCCGTGCAGCTTCCATGCTACACCCATCTGCTGCTTTGTTGCTGCTGTTACCGCTGCTTTTCTGGGGCCCCTCCATTAATGGGATGGCCTGTCGCTGTTGTCTGACCGATTACCTACTTGTAGGCTTGGCCTGAGTTGCGACCATTCCCTAGTTAGCGAGCCCCTTCCTCTAAACAGGAACTGAACCCATATTACTTCGTTCTTCCCGCCGACTCTTAACTGCTGGCCCCATAACATTAAAGTACTTTCCCCCCCACGACCATTGACACTGCGAGCTCCAAAGTCCCCCAGTACCTTTCGTGCCCCGGTGCAGTCTTACCTCAACTCGCAACCCACTAATACTACTACTACTTGCTCTTCTGCCTCGACTTCTCCTCCTCTTCCTCCTCTTTTTTCTCTTTCTCTCTTCTCATTCTTCTCTCTGCTACTCCTGCCTGCTTGCCTTTACCCTGCCTTGCTTTGCCTCGCGGCTACCAAATACATTACGTTGCATCATCATCGTCTCAGCCCTCAAGACGTCCAACCCACCAAGATGTCTCGAATTCAGGATACCGCTACTATTCACCGGTCCGACGATGAGCTCGACCGTGACTGGAAGCCAAACGGCCGCCGTCCTCAGTCGTGAGTCGTCCTGTAAATTTATTACCAGCCCAACTATACACCCAAATACAATCGTTGTGTCTGGAAATGCCATGCAACGAGTATGAGGGGTGTGATATAGGCTCCAAGAGAATGCAGGGACATGGCTAACCAGCATTGGCTCCAACAGCACAGTTGCCCGCTCCTTTAGCGCAGAGTTGATGGACATCTTCCGTATTGAGAACAGTCTTACCGACCTCGACGACAAAGTAGACAAGAAGTGAGAACCCCCGACGCAACTACCAAAAAACCAAGGGAAAAATAAAAATTTTGGTGCCGTTGCTAACGCCCAGATCGCAACTCTTTTCAGGAAGCAAGAAGTCAGCTCGCAAACATCTGAGCTTGAGGCTCTTGAGCGCCGCATTCGCGAGATGGAGGAACGCCTAAACCGTAACAAGGCCCACGCCACAACCGGGGCCAGTGCCGGGGCTCAGCAGCAATTACCGGTTCGCCAGCAGGGCGCCCCGGCCCCCGTCCAGAGAACATCTCGTCCAGGTACGGCCAAAGCCCAACAGCCAGCTCCTCTCCACGGAGGCGCCATGCCGCCCACTCCCACAGCCAGCGAAGGTGAATACGAACTCGTCCCCGAGCCACGCCATCCCAACAACCTGTCCTCCTCTACCCATACCTACAATGACTCTGAGAGTGGCCTCGAGACTCGAAGCTTTGCTGACATGGTTCTCGTCTCTAAAGATGGTGATCACGACTCGTAAATTCTTGTCGGCGTGACACGAGTGGCTACACGAATTTTGTGTAAAGGAGACGCCTGAGAAGATTTGGACCAACGCATCAAACAGCTACGCGTGCGAAATACGGCAAAATCAACATATCCTGGGATTCGAGAGCAAGCTTTTACAAAGTTGCGCATTACGAAACGACATGCCAAAAGTCACAAGCTCAAACGAGATTGGATGCGAAAATCATCCGGATTGGGACAACTTCGACTCTGCATCAGACGGCACATGAGACTATAAGTCACGCAGACACCGATTAAAGATTTTATGAAAAGCCCCAGGACAAATACCCACCCATGAACAACAGCTCCCGACCATGGGAGCAAACCACTATAGATACCCTCGTTCAGAGATTGGAAGCGGACAGAACGAGCCCAATCCCTCCCGACTTCCGGCGTTTTATGGCGCCACCTCGCAAATTTCTCGACGGCACGCATAGGGAACAGATTTATTTATCTTTTTTGCATGATTTATCGATTTTTTAGACATCAACGATGGATGCCAAGGGATTTTCTTGTTGCATCGGCGTTGACATTGGCATGGCATATGTACGCGAAAAGACAAGGCTCACAAGATTGAGGCTTTGTACAAATGAAAGAGCAGCACGAGGGAGAAGGATGATGAATCAAGAGGCAGATGATTTTTTTTGATTGGCAATTGATTTGCTTATCGAGGAGTGAGATCAATTCACATAGATATTATACCATTTGGTGTCTTGTTGAACTTTGCTTTTATTGCAGTTTTTTTCTTGCATTTGGGGACTCGGTTACCCAAGAATGATTGTGCCAAAATAATGAGAATAATCCGTGTACACCAATGTAATATAACGAGTCAACCACTGTCTTTTGAGACACAATTCGACTCCAAACTTGGTTTATCCAGAAAAGGGTCTTTCTGCAGACAGCCAGAGTAACCCACCAACAATTCGATATTCCACCATCGGCTTAAATCTAGTATTGAGCTTGAACTCGAGGAAGCGGATATAGTGAGTGGACTGGCAAAGGACGGGCGGGTTGATCCATGATGGGGATCCTGCTTGGGACAAAAAGACGCCGGCTAAACTCTAACGGCACCTGGATTTTGCTGTTGCCAGTCTAAGATGAAACTGTGCTTGATGAAGAACAATGCCGGACAAGTCAAGCGTGTTGACTCGTGTCCTCTATCCCTGAAGACTGCAGGAGATGTCACGTCATTACTTATACTGAGATGCAAAGCTTGACTCAGATTTGTAGCATTGATCTAGAAGCAAACTAATCTAGGTCTCTAATCTAGAGCATCCGCTTCATCCATACTTTCAAATACACTACGCGCTTAGTCTTTCATGGAGACTTTATCATTTTTCCCTTTTTTCTGTAACTAGATGAATTGCAACGAGAATGCATCTGACGCCAGCAAATCGTCCACTAGATATAGACAATTTGGTCCTTGGGCTCTCACAGGATGATCTTTCGGGTCTTGTTGGCCATGATCTCCTGAGCACTGCGAGTATCTGACCATTTGCCATGTCCTGCCAGGCCTCGTGGTGTCATGGGCGGTAGAGACTTGGGCGCAAAACCAATGCGCTCTTGAACGAGGTTCCAAACCTGGAAGCCAGACTTCAGAAAGACATCGCCAAGAATTCCCTGAAGTGAGGTGAAGCCTCCAAGGCTTTGGAGACCGGAGTAGCAGTATCCTTCCGGTGAACCCTTGGTGTCCAGGACTGCATATGGCAAATACTCCCCTGGGACCTCACCTTGAACAACATTGTCGTCCTTGTCCGTTAATTCCCAGATGAAGCTCGGGGGTGTCGAGTTGCAAGGAAGAATCCAGCCGTACTCAGTGTACGAGAAGTTAGCCAGGGGAACATGGTTCTTGTAGTACGCCGTAACAGCTTCGTCGGGTGCATAGAACAACGTCGAGCCTGTATCCAGGATAACCGTGGGTGGGTCGGAGAATTCATAGGAGTAGTCAGAGCTGTCCTTGGCGGCAAAGCCCTTGAATGAGACACCCCAGAAGCCATCACTGCTGTCAATACCGACATACTCAATCTCAGAGTCGTGAAGGCCGCGATCAATAAAACCAAAGTTGAAGGATCCATCACTGCTGTTGTGGCGAAGATCGGTGGTGAAAATAGGTTCTTCCAGAACTTCTGGTAGGAAATCGGTCAGTGACTTTTGTTTTGGCTTGGTCTCAATGATCTTGCTGAAGGCGAGGCCGACCAAGCCTGACATTTCCTTCTGGTTGGAGAACTGCGTCGAAACTTGCTTCGCAGACTCGATAGTCATGTCCTTGATGATGAGGTCTCCTAGGGCAAAGTTGTCCTTGTACACGACACCGGAAGAGCTGGAGAAATCGCCGTACATGATGCTCCAGGTGCAGTTTGGAATCAGCTTGGCAGTTGTCGAGTTATTGATGTCGAAGATTGTCTGTCCCTTGACGTTCTTGGTAGCAGTATCATTGGTGAAGACCCAACTGTCGACAAACAAGTATTAACACAGGTCCAGGTGGTTGACAGATTTAGGTAACTCACGTGTCGGCAGAACCAGTGTCAAAGTCAAGGTAAAGTCTCTGCGAAGGGGTACCAATATCAGCTGGAGCAACCCATTCGAGGTCACCATTCTGAGAGGAAGCAGGAACACGGCCAGCTATATCGCATGTTAGTATTTGTTCTTATGTGAACTTGAAGTTATATTTCGATTTGGGCATGACGTACTGTCTCCAATAGGCAATTTCTCTGCATAACGATTGACGGCGATCTTCAGACCATCAGGAATGGGAATGTTGTACTTTGACAGGGTTCGGTGGTACTCCAGAGGGCCGTTGCGTCTGCCCTTGAACAAACCATCGGCGGCAGAGAGGGTTGCAGTCTGATTGGCGATCTGGCGAACCGGACCAATCATGCCACGAGCAGGGACGGCAACAGCAACGTTGATAAACATGGCAAGCACTGCGACCATCAGGCCGACCATCTTGAGGCCAAACATGCTGGCTCAAGGTTGAAAGCGAATGTCGAAAGAAGGTCAGATGACGATGAGAGAAATTGGCGTTGACGAACAACAGTCGGCGACGAAATGATTGGATGGAAAAAATATGTCGCCGGCACACAACAAAAGGGAAAGACGAAGAAGTGATCGCCGAACAGAAGGTGATGACGACGAGAAGAAAAGAAGAGTAAGTCGTCGAATTAGGAAAAGCAGAAAGATTGCATCTGCAGTCGTTGACGGACGAGAAAGGAAAGAAACGTGAAAACGCAAAGAGAATAAAAAGATTGTGCGTCGTGCAAACCAGGAAGCTTGGGAAATCTGGAACGCCGTTGCCAGTTTCCAAGGGTCTGTGTTTGTTTGGTGGGAGGTGGGAGGACAAAGTGGAAGGAGCAGGACGCTGTAACCGGCAGGCACTTTTATAATGTCTCGGGGCGTGGTCAAACGACTGACAGCTCAAGGAAGGCACCTGAGCAACGGTTCGAAAGGCACTGACTGACTGACTGACTGACTGGATGGGTGGGCAACCGGGTAAAATGGCCAAATGGAGTTGAAGGACAGCTCAACTAACACCGAGGTACCTCTGAGTAGATAGATGGAGCTAAACAAGTAGCCAGGTCGGTTTATTGACAGTGTTGAGTTGATAACTTCTATTTTCCCCCAGCGTTTGAAAATCGGGACTATGGTGCGTACCTGCTTCCTTCACTTTTACATGCATGTCTGTGTGATGTCGGCTGCCCGAATTCAGTTCAGACCTTGTGGGTAAAGTAAACGGGAGGTGGCTTATACGATCGGGTCCATGTCTGGTGGCTATCTCATGCACGTCCATGTTCTATATATTGAAAACCTCATTACTAGGCACCAGTTGGCATGTCTACAATGCGGCCGGATGAGATTGCCGAGTACATATGGACAACAGAAGGTATGATGGCGTTGTTGCGATATGGTACATTCACACACTGGCCTCTTGAAATATGTTGGATGCAGGGCCAACCGCGCAGGTCTTTCCAATCCAGCTGCTCAAATACCATGACCAGCTTCATGAATCATTGCAGTGAAGAAGCGAAGGAGATAGAGAAAGGGAGCAGGTTTGCTCGCCCAGAAATGATAGATTCCCTTGAGTACTATGCTACACTATCTAGATTGCGCAAGACTATCTGATGTACCGCCAGCTCCCACCAGAAACAGTTGCAAAATGTTCTGTTTACATGTATTATCTACGTAATGCACTGCGCCGAGCTGTACGTGTACAAGAGTAGCATTTCCATGGTTAGCCTGTTCCAAGAATGCGTAAACGAGCATTCGTAGATGAATTGAAAAAAAACAACAACAACGGGATGGTGCAGAAAATTCCCACGTTACTCAGCAACTACCCAACTTTGCCAAGATCAAGGACGAACGGAGGCGACAGTGGGAGGCGATGGGGAAGAGAAAATTTGTTATGAGTTTCAGTTCGAACCCTCTGCCGCGGTCGAAAATAGGGGCTTGCCGTGGACAAACACTTTTGAGATGCATACTTCTGTCATACGTCTTGCGCAGCTTTCTGCGTTCTCCTGGCTTGGCGTGTATCCATGTGTGCAACAGGAGATGTCTATGGCTCACCAAGAGGCCGATGCTAGCTGTCGTATGACTTGTGTGCAGGAAGCAGGGCAGTGCTTAAACCTAGCAGTGGCTTCCCGTTGACAGACTCTTCCATGGCTCTAGACTAATCAACACTGCCCAGTGCCATTATGAGGATGTGGAATTGATTAAGATGTGCTCAGTAATTTATATCCGTGCACCATTCACAGCTGCCACGTATTAGGTATTTACGGCATACAATTCAGCTTCATAAGTATTGTTCACATCTAAAACATTTATCATTTATACTTGGCTTCAACTATGTCATGCAAGGTAATCAGAGCTCATCCCGCTTATGCGTCTCTTCTTTTTCCACTTCCTTCTCTGGGACGTCCTGAGTAAACCTTTTGAGCAGCTCCTCGAGCTGCTCGGGTGTCGGTTTTTCGTTGCTGTCTCCAAATCTAATGTAACCATCTTCGGCCCTGATATCAGGGGTTTGCTTAGCATTGGCGCCTCCAGTCTTGGTAGAGGACGACTTCTTGGTCTTTGTGTTCTTCTTTGTGCTGCTCTTCTTGCCCTTCTTGGAGTCAAAGTTGTTCACAGCCTTCATGGCGAGATCCATGCCGGCCTTTTCCAACTTCTTCGTCCTCTCCGCGATATCCTTGACGAGCAGAACTGGGTCGGCATTCTCGCCTAGTTTGGCTTGCTCAACCAACTTCTGCTCCAACCACTTAAAGGTAGACTCGGAAAGTTCGGTGATTTCCTTCAGGTCGTTGAGTGTATACAGGGGAGGGACGGGTCCACGGTCGTCGACGGCCGCAGTCGTAGTAGTGGTGGAAGAAGTAAAGTCGTCATCCTCCAAACCATCAAAGTCTCCAGGAGTGGCCGAAGCCGCCTCGGTAATGGTCGACTCGGCAGAAGTAGTTGTGCTCGAGCTGGCCGAGGCGCTGAAAGCTTCAGCCTCGGCAATCTTCTTCTTAATGCTGTCAATGAATGTAGCCGTCTGGTCCAAGGAGTCGCGAAGTGACTTGACTAGCTCTGGCCGCTCTGCGTTCTCCGTGATTCTCTTCTCCACTGGTGTCACAATGTCCTTCAGCTCCTTTAGGCGAGCCTTGAGCTCATCTCGGGGGGCATCAGCACCATCTTCATAAAGCCAATCACTCACGGCGCTGGCCTTTTGCTCCAAAGTAGATCGCTCAGCATCGGTTGAAGCCGCGACAAAAGTCTCACTCTCGAGGAGGTCCCGGACCTTGTAAGTGAACCCTTCCAATTGGTTGAGCGATTCCTCTCTTGCACGACGAGCCTTGTCAGAAGCCTCGAAAGCCTTGATGCGGTCCTTGGCCTTTGTCATATCGGCCTTGGGCAGTTGTGGTACGCCAGACTTCTCGAGAGCGAACTGCACGGGGATCACAACAAGTGTCTTCTTGGTGACAGCGCTGCCCTCGGCGGCGTCGGCAGATGATGCCGTCGTTGCAGCCTCAGTCGATGTCGAGCTCGACTCCACAGATGAAGTCGTAGCCGTATCGGTAGAAGCGGTTGTTGAGGCAGATTCGCTGCTCTCAGTGCTCTCTTCGCCCTCACCAAGGGGTTGCTGTTCCTTCTTGCCAAATCCAAATAAATTCTTGACACCGTCAATGACCGAACCTTCCTTTTCAACTTCATCAGCCTCACACTCGACAGAAGCCTTGACCACCTCTACTTCACCATCCTCGGCACTAAGACGGAGGTTGAGCTTGAAGTGAATATCAGAATCAGCGCATTGGTGAGTGTCCTTGAGTTGAGTAACAGAGGCTGTGAGGTTCTTGGTGGTAAGAGTCTTTGTATCCTGGTCCACAACGCCATCTGCCGAGGGAACTTGCTGGTAGAACTGAGCTGTGAAGTCTTCATGGTTGTTCAGTGTGATTTCCTTTGCTGCGGCGCCCAGCAGAGATCTTTCGGTCCAGAGACGCTGATGTCTTGTCTTTCCGTTGGAATCTGTCCACTTGTAACCAGCAGGGTAGTTTGATCCGTCTGTGATTCTAATCTCCTTGACACGGAAGCTGGGGCTGAGATCAGCAGCCCTGAAGCCAGCACCAAATACAGCAGCCTCATCAGAGTTGACGTTGCTACGGAGTTTCTCGCTTCCGGCAATCTTCTCCAAAGCCTTCTGCACAAACGGCATTCTCGAAGCTCCTCCGTGGAGAACAATGGAGTCGAGCTGGTTAATATCCAACTCTGCTACCTCTAGAGCCTTTTGCACCGTAGCGGCGACTCTAGTGGCATGTTCCTCGGCCAATGTCTCAAAGGTAGCTCTTGAGATCTTGTACTTGAAGTCAACGTCGTCATATAGACCCTCAAAGCTAGTTCCCGTTTCTTGATTTGCACTAAGGACGTGTCGGACCTTCTCGGCATCCTTGACGAGCTTGGCCATGGCCCGTCCATGGCCCTGGACGTTCTCAGCAGCAACGGAAACCTTCTTGGCGGCAGGCGTCTCCACAAACTGCGAGATCATGTCGTCGACAATAAGGTAGTTGAGGGAGTCTCCACCGAGAGTTCTGTCCCAGCCACTGCCAAGGACCTGCACCTCCTGAACGGTCTTGTTGAACTTGCCAACGTCTTTGACGGTGCGGCCCTGGAACTTCATGACGGTCGCACTTGTAGAGCCAGCTCCCATGTCGAAAACCATGTGGTATTCGGGCTTGCCTCCTTCATTGATCACTGGGAATTGTCGGCTTGTGGCGTAGTTCAAGCCTACAGCCAAACCATCGCTAATGAGGGACAAGACCTTGAGCCCAACCAATTCGGCAGCCGTCTGAACGGCACGTTTCTCCTCGATCGTATAGAAAGGTGGGACAGTAATGACGACCGAGCGAACAGATGTATCGGCGCCAGCCAATGTCTCGGCGTTGCGCTGAATGCTCTGGAGCTCCATGGCCAGCAATTCCTCCACTAACCAAGCATCTTCATTGTCTGCGAATGCCTTGCTCTTGAATGCAACTGTGTTTCGTAGCTTGTGGGTCTCGGGTTGAAGTGCAGGGTGCTTCGAGAGATACTCCTTGACCGTCGCATCGTCCACAGGGAGACCGAGGAGGGTCTTCAGATTCGGGTAGACATCACTGGGGAATCTGGCAGAGATGGCCATGGCGTCGGAGCCATAGAGTCTTTCGGGGTAAGCGCCAGCTTTGGGACCGCCAGATTCGGGCTTGAAAGCGACTGCAGAGGTTTCCTTTCTCCTCGAGTCTTTGGTGAGAACGATTTCGAGGGGAATGCCAGGCTTGACGAGGGCAGCCTTTATGTATTCAGTTCCGAGGTCCACACCAAGGACAGCTTGGACGGCAAAGACATTTGTCGAGAAGATGAGGACCACACAGGCGACAATCCACCTCGGGGAGAAGAGGCGCGCCATGGTGGGCGGTTGCGGGAGGGAGAGTTGGCGATGTGTCCGCCGGTCTATGGAGTTGTGGGTGCCAGTCGGCGCAATGCAAGCTCAGCAAAATTCTATGAACAATTATCTGGGTATCGGAGAAGAAAGATGAAACAAGAATATTGAGAAGAAACAACGGCAAGCTTTGTTCGGAATGCCAGCCAAGTAAGTAATGAGGAAGTCGAGGTACCGCCTACTGAGCAGGCTCCTTGCGTAATATATCCTTGCGTGGGTGGTAGGTAGGAAGAAATAATCTGGCCTCAAGGTCAAAACAGAAAGGACCAGCTGGCTGTTAACTTTCTGGAGTATTCGCCCACTTTAACGTCAAGCGCATGTGTTGAGGTGGATGCCGGCCAGCCTGGGAGCTCGTAAGAGGCCAGATCAATTGATTTCGTCCCCTAAAAAGCCACCTTCTGCTCTGTGATTGGCTGGGAGCTATAGGTCGGAGCTTGAGAAGGAGGTTAGCGGCTTGCAGTGGCCATGCCAGGCAAGTAGTACTACGGTAATGGTTGACCCCTGTCCATCGAAGCCTGTAGACGACTACAGACTGTCATCTTTGTTGTAGGACTAATTATATCATGTTAGATGTCATGAAAAAGTTGTTTGAGTATCGTAGTCTCGGTCGGCAAGAAAGTGAAATGAGAAAATGAAAAAGAAAACGGCCAATGCAGGCAGAACTATGCAGCCTTCTTACTAACAACGGTTCAATCCAGCTTATTAGGTTAGGCACAAGTACCGTGTAACTTGATAGCTGTTTTTTTTTTTTGCCAGCAGTATTTCATTTGGCAAAACATTAGCATGCCAAATAAGACTGTTTGAACACATAGTTTCTCTTATTCTTTTATCGATATTAATTTTATATATTCCAAGCATCGATAGATCGCTCGGTACAACATGTAATTGTATTGTGCATGATGTAGCCATAAGGGCCAGGTACACAGGCGTGGCATGTAATTTAGAGTTAAAACAGCCCGTGGCGCCCCACGTGCTTTCGCGACAGAACCTTGGAACGCGGCACACCTTCAGCACTTTACCCAAAGCGCGTCTCAGATAACCCCAAAACATTGGCGTCTGGATATTCTTCGTCTTTGGTTCGGCATCAAATATTTTAACAAAGTCCAGCTTGATCATGGGCCATGGCTCCCAGAAGAGTCATTGCCGACTCCGATGACGACGACGAGGATTTCAGCCCCATCAAGCTGACGTCGGGGCCTGAAGATACATTCCAAGATGTGCAACCTGAAATGGAGCCGCTGAGTCCTCAGCACCAACCTGCCAGCCCATTGGTCCGGCAACATTCTTTACTGGCTGTCGCCAATGCGCAAGATGATACCTCAGGATCTACGAGTCCATCCTTCTTTGCAAATATTCACGAGGTGCATCAGGTCAAGGGAATACAGGCTCAGCAGTCGCGACTTGTTGAAAACATTGTACGCCAGAGCCAGAAGGCCAGCCGCAGCAGTGGCGATGTCTCTCTGCCAACCCAAGGACAAGGCAGGGGCAGAAAGGCAGTGGCTCATGGGAGCTCTGCCGCTACTGATGTGACGAGTCCAGTTCCAGGAGCCAAGTCTGGGCCCAGGAAGAGTCAGCTGGCCCAGATCAGTGATGCAACAGAGCTCACAACTCCCCGGAAAAGTGCAGAACGGGACGAATGGGATGTTCCGAGCAGCGGAGACGAGGGGAAGCGTCACAAGAAGAACGAAAGATCGTCTGGCCCAAGCACAGACGACTCGAGCAAAATTTATGTGGCCCAAAGCAACTTGTCAGCCAGCCAGAAACGTCAGTATCGGAAAGTGCAAGTTCTAGATTCTCACTCTGGCGAATCAGCCATACCCGACTCCGTGGGTCAGATGCAGCCACCATCAAACTACAAGTCTAGTTGTGCAACAACTGTTGCTGTCTCGACGCCCAGCAGATATGCTTCTTCTGGACCGCGGCTCCCATACGAGATTGAGCAATCGGCTGATGTTGGCAAACCAAGTGCCGCAATCGATTTGACCTTATCATCACCAGATGCTATCACTGTTGGCGGCGCGGATCAGGAAGGGGACCAAAGCCCGGTCCGACGATCGTCCGTCAAGAGAAAGAGGCCCGTTGTTCGGGACGACGACGACGAACTTGGCCTAGACGAAAACTTCTTCGAGCAACCATCTAGTGATCCTGACTCGGACTATGACACGGCTGGCCGAAAACCCACCAAGAAGGCTAAGCAGCCAGCAAACTCGTCCAGTGCTGCTGCTAAAAAAGAACCCAAGAAACGCGGTCGCAAGAAGAAACTGCCAGTCGATGATGACGTTGTCATTGACGATGAAGTGAAAATTGTCGAACCCTTATTAATGACTGCCCCTCCGACAATCCCAGAAATAAATTCTGCAGAGGAGAAACCGAAGAAGAAGAGGGGCAGACCACGGAAGTCAGAAGCTACCCAACCAGCCGGTGCATCAATCGAACCGCTCATCGAGAAGGGGCAGCCAGTACATCAACCGAGTAGAAACTATGCACCGCCCGAGAATGAAGAGGGCGAGGATGATGCCACGGCAGAGAAAGAGAGTCGGGGACAATCAGCAACGGTTGACTCAACTGAGGACGAGGTGGTGACACAGACTGAGGACAAGAGAGAGAAGGGTCCCAGTGGGAGCGCGTCTCCACTTAAGGAAACAGATCGCAATGTTCTGGGCAGGTCACAGTCTACAGTCTCGGATTCCGATAAGTCAATGAGTAAGTCCATGGCATCTTCACAAGCCGGGAAGATGTCTTATCGTGTAGGACTGAGTAAGAAGTCACGCATCGCACCATTGCTTAAGATCATCCGAAAATAAGGCGCGTCACAGAAACGGTGCGAGTAGAAAGAGATGAGTGTTAAAAAAGAGGACATGACATGACTTGAGGCCGGCTACAACTATACCCCTATCTGCAATAAGTAGCCCTATACATACATGATGTCAAAAGAGTGGCTCTCCTAGATTGATCCAGAATAGATGAAATCAGTTTTGAGAGGTGCCTGAGTCACAGCAGAGGCCCCTCCCGCCCTTTATCGTCGAAAACTGCTGAGTAGCGTTTACTTGGCCAATGAGTGGCATTGTACATTTTGTCTCTAAATATTCTAATACTATACCCCAATCATTCCAGAGTACTGGGTAGATGAAAAGGATGAACAACAAATGAGGTTGCACCTTGCAATAGCTAAATTGAGATGGGATGGGGTCAGTGTGGAATTCTGGGGCAGTTTCGTATTTCAGCAACTATTGGTAAAAGAATGGCATCATTCCCTTAAAAGTATACAAGAACTCGGCAGATATTGCGAACGAGTATTTTCTGTTTCAGTATATCAAGACCATTGTCCCATGGCGACAGATTATACAATGGCGCTCGAATGGCCTCGACCGTATGGCCAGATAATTGGATGTTGAGTCTGTAGGTATGTAGCGTCATGCATAATCAATGTGACGAACCAGCAGCGAACCGAAATAAGCACGGCGGAGATGTGATCCACTTGCCGGATCGGGTCGCCCGCCAGCTGCCACTAGGAGAGCTATGAGACCACGCATCATGTAAATGAGAAGCTCACCTCACCTCCAAAGTAATACATACCCCAATTGCATCTATTGGAGACTACTTTCAATTCTCTTCTTCTTTTCTCCTACGTACATACTTGTTCAGTCTCTCGCTTGTTTTGTTTTCCAGCTTGCTTGCTTTTTAAGCAATAACTATTTCCCCCTTGTCAAAAGAAGAAGAAAAAAGAGAACCATGCCCGCCGAAACCCGCGGCTCCGTCCGCCAGCGCAAGGCGGCAGCCGTCCGGGCAGAACAGGAGCCGACACCGCGCGTCGTCGAGCTCAACACCTCCGACGATGAGGAGGAATTCATCAAGAACGGAACGGGCCCCTTGCAGCAGGAGCCCCGGCCCAAGCCCACCCCAAAGGCCCGCGTCAAGGCCGACGACGACGAGTACAGCCCCTGGCTCGATGTGCTGCGCGTCCTCACCTTCCTGGTGCTCGCCGGCGTCGGTTTGAGCTATCTCATCTCCAACGGGACCACATTTGGCCTCGATAAGCTGGCCAAGCATCCGCCAAAGTACTTTAGAAAGGACTGGTGGACAGAGCAATTTGTAAGTCTATGGAACGCTGAAGGAAAAGAAAAAAAAAACACCATCCCGGAGGAAAGGGGGAACACAAAAGATTGGTGCTCGGGGGAAATGGGAAATACTCTTGCTAATCATTGGAATTCCGTTCTTGTTTAGAAAACGCCGCTCCAACTCACACCAGCCGAGCTATCCGCCTACGACGGCAGCGACCCAGAGAAGCCCATCTACCTCGCGATCAATGGCACCATTTACGACGTGTCAGCGAACCGACGCACCTACGGACCGGGCGGCTCGTACCATGTCTTTGCAGGCGTGGATGCAGCGCGCGGATTCGTCACGGGCTGTTTCGCCGATGACCGGACGGCGGACCTGCGCGGCATTGAGGAGATGCACATTCCCCGCGACGACCCGGAGGTTGACTCACTATACACGGCCGCGGATCTCGAGGCCCTCAAGGTGCGCGAGCGCGCCGAGGCCGAGCAAAAGGTCCGCGACCAGCTCTCCCACTGGGTCAACTTCTTCGCCCGCAGCCCAAAGTACCCCCACGTCGGCACCGTTAAGCGTGAGCCCGGCTGGCTCGACAAGGAGCCTCTCAAGCCTCTGTGCGAGCAGGCTCAGAAGGGAAGGCCGAAGAGGAAGGCGCCCGAGACAAACTGAGAGATGTCAATGGAACATATTGCCTATACAAAAAGAAAAGGAAAAATGGGACGGGCAGATTTGAAATAGTACTACAAGCGAGCCACGTTTGTTTGAAAAAAAAAAATGAAAAGGAAAAGGAGAGGGGATGGATTTGACATGACATTGGATCCTCATCATATTCAGGGTCTGATAGACCCATGGTTCCCGGGTGAGGAGCAACTAGCCGGGCAATTGTGCTGTAGATTCATCAGACTTGAGATTTTGGACGGCCGATTCCACTGTTACGGTTTTCAAGAGCTTGTTTTCAAATTACGCTTCTGGTAAATCATTGACAAAAGCGTGCGGACAAGATCGGTGCATACGCTGATGAAAAGACGTTCAAAACTCAAGCCTGTACTGATACGGCGCGGCGGCATGCAACCAGCTTATCTTTCAGAGATATCGGGGGGATGGAATGGTATCGACAAGACATTGCAATCAGAATTCAGGACAACGATGACATGCAGAAAAAAGGTGTCTGAAAATAGGGGTATATTATTATATCTCAAACAAAAAAGAATAAGTTTCTCCAGAGTAAAAAAAAAAAACAACACGATTCAAGCCAGATTCCAGAGTGCACACGGGGCACTAGATGCAGACCACATGTCCCAAGGGCGGAAATATAATACAAGTAAAAGATCCGGACCCGACAGGAAGTGAGTGCTGCATCTTCCTCTGCTCTATAATTCTCCAGTCTGGAGACATCAACATCCAGAATGCTTCATGCAAAATACACGTCCTGCCGCGTGCAAACAAGCGATGGTCTCCAGTGCGGTTCGCGGAACCATTTTGGTTACACATCGTTCTTGCTGCTTGATCGCGGCCGCGCTATGCTTGAGCATCCCTCTCCCTCTCCCCTTTTTTTTATATTGTCGTTCATCATCATCAAGTTCTCTCATCCCTCATCTTATGGAAGAGTCAAGATGAGAAAATATTAAGAGACTTCCCCAAACTCCATAAAACACACCCACTCCTTCCTTCCCGACCTGGGCTTTGGAGTCTCTATGCCAAGAAGAAGGCGGCGGCAGCACCCACGAGCAAGGTAAAGGAAGTCGAAATGACAACCGAGGCGGCGCCGGCGGTGCTGACGGCCGACGAGGTCGAGCTGCCGCTGCCAGTGGTCGAGTCGGTGGAGCCGCTGCCCGAGGTGCCGGTGCCCGTGTTGCCCGAGTTGGTGTTGCCTCCCGAGGTGGAGCTGGACGGGGCAACGTTGGCCGTGGCGGCCGAGGCGAGCTTCTTGAACTCGGTCAGAGAGCGAGTAGCGTTGGCGGCGGTGCTGGTTGTTCGTTTAGTATTACTTCTTTCCTTCCTAATATAAATTTCACTCACTTCTCGTTAATGACCATGACCATACCAGCCTGGCAATGCTTGCCCGTGGCGCAGTAGAACCACAAGGGGTTCGTGTTGGCGACCATAATGGTCCAGGTCGGGATCATGCCCGTGGATGAGCTGGCGGCGACGGGCATGAAGCCGCTAAAGGCGCCCGTTTGGTTGGTGTGCTCCGAAATGGGCGAGCAGGGCGCATCAAAGGTCGACTGGGCGACGCTGTGGTTGCCGGCGCGGAACTGGAACTGGACCATGTCGCCCGCGGGCACCTGAATGTTGTCGGGAGAAAAGATGAGTGAGTTGTTGTTGACCGTGGACACGGAGACGACGTGAACGGTCTGGGCCGAAGCGAGGCCCAGCAGGGCGGACAGAGCTAGTACTGAGAACTGCATTTTGACGAAGAGATTTCTGGTGAACGTCGAAAAGAGAATGTCGTTGTATTTTTCGAAAATAGTAAGAAACGGTCGGAATCAAGAGAGCGTATTGTTTGTATAAGCGACTAGCGCGTTGGCTTCGAAGGGCTGGCCTTGAAGTAGAGAATATTAAAGCTTGAAGTGAAGTTGAAAGAAGGAAATGGAAAAAATGCCAGAGACGTCTCGAGTGATTACTGAAAGGAACCAGGAAAGAGGGAAAAGAGAAACGAAAAAAAGGCCCCAGCACCAGAGGGACGAGATGGGCAGCATGATTATAAGAGACCGGAAGACTGTAGGATCGTCTCATGGTGAACCATACCCTAGTGTTTTGACGTCTGAAGATGGTCCGAGGTGACAGGGGTGCTATTGGGCGCAAGGAGGGGAGGATGTCTGGAGGCACGAGATGGTCCTTGAAACACGTTTTGACCAGCAGGCCGACCGGCTTGTAGATGGAAAGATGACATATAGTCCTGCTGGTATTGCTGAAAGGTCCGAACGGGCATTTGCCCTGCCGAGATTAATGAGTCTCTTTCTTGTCATACTGCCGGGCGCGGACGCTGGTCCAGTATACATCTTCCTTGCCAAGACTTCTGGAGGCTAGAGAGCTAGAGAGGGTGGGCCAATGATGAAGAACCGTTGAAGATGGATATAGGCACATGCACCTAGAAAGTCAAAATATGTGCGGTTTCTACGTATGCCAAATAGTCATTGGATTTGGGTAAGCATTACAAAATCTCGTGATTAGCAATATTGAATTGCTCAAAGCATGCGCGTCGCTCTCTATCGCTTCTGTTGATGAGACAAGGCCTTGTTATTGAGCGTAGTGTATACTTCTAGTGACTGCCAGCAATATTGACTGGAGCCAAGACGGCCTCTTTTTGCCGGGGGAAACCCCAAAAGCGAGCGACTGGGCTGCTACGTCTCCCCCAGATTCTGATCACTGTACCTAGTATTCTCATGAAGAAAAGAATAGAGAAAAAGAACTGGCAATGGAAGTCGGAAAAGACGGAGGAGACCCTAGTCCAGGTTCAATTCGGTATCCATATAAAATCTATGGTTGATTTAAGGTTGAGCGTTAAGCATTTTACAGGGATTCCAGGGCATCCAGGGCGGCCCAGGAGGTGGGAATGGTGTTAGCCGCACGGGTCGTGCTTCAGCATTGTAGCATACTGGGCCTTCTGAAACCCTACCGGTTTCCCATCCCATCTCAGCCCTCTCCTTTGCCCAGCGCGCAAAATCTCGCTTTGCCATTTGCTGAAAATTCATCCGGCGCTTGGCTGCATCTGGTACCGCAAGCGATGAAGGAGAATGGAAAAGCTGCTGGATTGCTTGCAGAGCCTCCGGTTCAGAAGTATGTACAGGTTAGGCTATTGCAATAGATGGATCCATCTCGCAGACCTGCACCACCCACCATCAGAGGCCACCCCCCGGTCCGTTGTAGCGCGCTTCTGTAATCGGTATAGACTCAGGGCAACTCCTACATATTGTGGTCCTATGTTCCCACGCAGAGCCGCACACAGGCTACCATCACCATCGAAAGTATAGACCAATCTGGAGTTTTGCAACCGTTGCACTGCCTTTGAAGCGAGCCTCTACCAAACCCTGTCACTCCTTTGCCTCACCAAGGGTTGCCTAGTGCACGCAGTGGTCGCAAGAATGTGACCAGACGAGGTTGCTGTCACTCTAATTCCATCCTGACTTTCCGGGAAACAAAGGGTGAAGGAACATGGAAAGCTTGGCTACTGTACCCCGGACTTCTATCTAGATCTAGCCAACGTCAAAGGCCTCCGAGGCAGTGCTTCTCATCACTGAACTCAGACGGCTGACTTTCACCCGAGTAATGGCGAACCTACAGGTAGACAGGGTAGCCCACTAGACGGGACTGGCATGTATTGCTCGCTCCAAGCAGTAACTTAGATGCCCACACAAGACAGCACTTTTCTGAATCTCTTGAGATGTTATTGAATGAATTGAGGCATTCATATACTAACTGCAATGCTCAAGACACACACTTATTCCTTCATGCTCGACTACAATGTACAAGTTGCCGTTCAGCCGATTTGCCAAGAATGATCAGCTTGAAACAATGACACATGGGCAGAGTGCGGATTGACTGATGTGTGATTCGGCTCCAGAATATCTTGTCCATCATCCTCCGATGTGGGTCAAAAAAGCCGTGCAACAACTCCAATACTCTCAGGGTTTCTTTGTGGACTGATTCTGGGCCATGAGTCTTGTTTCACTGCAGCCTCTCGTCCTTCCGAGCACTGTCCCACGTGCACAAAGTTCTTTATGAGCATGGTTCCTCTTCTAATCATCCGATCTCGTATCCGCTAGTGCCAAGACATGATACACAGCAAGCTCATGCAACTTGATGTGCAACCAGATTCCCTACTCCGGCTGACATAGATGAGCTGCTCATGACCTTATCGAGCCTGGCTTCATAGTAGAGGTCACATCTCTTCCGGATCTACAACGGCCTCCAAGATCTGCCTATGGAAGATCTCCGTCCCAAAACATCTTAAGGGGGCCGAAGAATTATTAGTGGCTATGTCATCCATCAATGAACAAGATGTGTATCTAATGTTGACTTCTCGTACACATAAGCAGTATAGTGTTTCTATCCGAGGTCGATGCCATGACAAGTTTTTATAGTTCATCGTGTCAACACCCAGCGACTAGATTATCACGGGATCTAGGATCTGTTGCCCGCACTGGTGTCTGTCGGGGTGACTTCATCTGCTCTTGCTTGCAGAGAATCGTAGGACGTTTTTCATTTGGTTGGTACCTTTAAAAATCTGACGACACCAAGTCAAGGGAGTGCAGGTCGTACCGTCAAACTGAGAGGTATGCAGTCTTGTTGTTGCTGATCTGAACTGCAGCTCCTCTTCCGATACTGTGGGAAGCAGAAGCTGAGAGTTTGTCCTTTGCGGTCCAAGGACTTTGTAGCAGAATTCCATGCTATCATGGCCAGAACCATACGATCTTAAGATATGGCCTCAAGCAGATACTAGATTTGTCCGGTATCTCAAAGCGAACCAGAATTTTGCTGCTCAACCGTGCAGAGCACTGCACAAGGTCATCGTCTGGGGGAAAGACTTTTACAGATCCAGCAAGAGCTGCGGCGCAATCTTCTCCAAGTCTTCCACATCAAGGAACGCGGCACTCCTCTCGACAGCAGCACGAGCAATGGCCTCGCGGACAAAAATGTCCATATACTTGGCAACGGCCTCGTTTGCGTCCTTGCTAATTCTCGAGCCGTCCTTTTCGAAGAATTCATGTAGAAGCCTCGTGAGGAGCTCAGGTGGGATCGTCGCCTTGGGCTCTTCTTCCTCTTCTTCCTCGTCCTCATGGTCGTTGTCGGCTGCACCCGCGACCGAGTCTTGCGTTACGTCCATGACATCTTGGGAGTCGTCGAAAGGGTCAAGATCAGCTTCGTCTATTTGTTCTTGTCGCTTTGCCATTCTCTGTGCTCCGGAGGTGCCCATAGACGGACGATTCGGGGCTCGCGCAGCGTTGGATGCCGAAGTGCCAGAAGCTTTTGCCTTGTTTGTAGATCCTGCAGGACGTCCACGAGGCATGGTGACAATCTCAGGTAGGCGTTCCTACGTGCAACTTGATCGCTTCAGAATTATTGGCAGAATAAATAGGTGCGACTTTGGTTGTTCTCGCTTTTGCGGGACGTAGAGATAGACGCGCAATTCGAAGAAATGCGCGTTTCGCGTCCCAACGCGTTTATTGGACTGCAGCTGTCAAGCACCTGGCGGCAAACGGATATTAATCTGTACCAACCTCAATACATCACCACATTCAGGAGGAGACATAACATTGCAGATGAACTTTGATGGCGATCAGTAATGGGCTTCGCAAATACTTGTGCAGGCAAACACTCATTCTCATGAAAAGCCAATTCAAGATTCATTGTAACCACGAGTGTTCAATTGCAAAGAGAAGTCTATCGTAACCATCGAAATGAACTCCCTCTGGCTGAAAATGAATCCGGAGATGTGCAGTTGCGAGCAAAACGAATACATAAAGGAATTGCCTAGAGTCTAAATTACAGCAGCTGGACATCTTCGTAAAGGCCGCCCATGCTGCAAAGGCCTCCGTGTTCCAGAACGCCACCGACAATTGTGATGCCTGTAACAGCCTTTTCGCCGCAACATCCACCGCCAAATGACACTTTTATCAACCATGGTCCGCGGGTCTCATCATTACATCATCCCCACCAGTGATCTTAATCGTCTATATGGATTGGGTATTAAGGTGTTTAGCCAGAGCCACCCTTGAAGGCCTTGCCGAAGAGGATGACCTGGAGCTGATCGTAGATCGACAGGACACCAGCACCGGCGACACCACGGAGGATGTTGGCACCAGCACCCTTGAAGAGCGACTTGATACCCTCCTTGGCGACAATCTGGCGGGCAGCATCGAGAGTACCGTTGTACTTGACGGCCTCACCAGAGGTCATCATCATACGACGACGGATAGTGTCAAGAGGGTAGGAAGCGATACCGGCACCGGTGGTGACACCCCAACCAAGAGCGAAAGAGGCCAAGAAGTTGTTTGCGAGAGGACCGACCAGGACGACGGGCTTCAGCGAGTCGTACATACCGAAGTACAGACCACGGTAGACAACGATACCAGCGACGGAAGGAGCGAAACCACGGTACAGACCAGCAATACCGTCAGAGGCAAGAGTCTTGCGGTAGACATCGACGAGACCGTTGAACTGACGGTCACCACCACCCTTGGCGTTCTTGGCGTCGTTGGCCAGACGGGTACGGGCGTAATCGAGGGAGTAGACGAAGAGCAGGGAAGTGGCACCAGCAGCCTGAGGAACGAATGTCAGCAAGTAGAAACGATAAGGGGAGACATTTCGAAGTAACTTACACCACCGGAAGCCAGGTTACCGGCCATCCACTTGGCGTAACCGTCCTTGTCCTTCTTGTAACCGAACATAGCCTTGAACTTGTCACGGAAAGCGAAGTTCAGGGCCTGGGTAGGGAAGTAACGGATGACGTTGGCAGTGTTACCACGCCACAGGGACATGACACCCTCGGCCTTGGCGGTTCTGCTGAAGCACTCGACGATACCGTCGTACTTGCGGTCGAGACGACCGACCTTAAGCATCTCATCCTACGTGGTTTGTTAGTAATTGTTTGTGACCACGTGTTCATCCACCGCGGCTCGAAATTGGACGCCGCATCAATGAATGCTATGTGGACAAGTGCTTACCTGGTTCTGGATAAGGAGCTTGACACGCTCAATGGGAGCGGCAGCAGTCTTCGAGACGGCGGCGGAGACACCACCCACTGTGGGATCGGATTAGTCAACTGTCAGGGGATGCGGAGTGCTCGCTCGGGATATGCGACATCGACTGCAGCTCGAGCTGGCGATGTCGATTCGACGAGGAAATCTGCTCAAGGAGCATTGCGGATAGACGTACTCAAGAAGTCAGCCACGAAGGCTATAGAAGATTGATGTTAGCATTGGTTCTGATGAAGTTTCTGCGTATGGGGAAAATTTTCTCAGCACCGGCAGCAGGATCAACAGGAGCCGCGAGTCTACTCCGAAACCAAGCCCGCAAAGACGCAACAGGTCCCGATTGAGATTCTGATGGATCAATTGAGGTCCGCAAACGAATGCGATGGATGATATCGAGCAAGACTCGGGCAGGCTGGTGAACGCGCCGCGAGATGCGTGGATTGATGGATACTTGATACGAGGGATTTTCATCGGGAGAACGTACGCGGCATGCCCAGAACGGTAGGCTTTTCTTGCGACATTGTGACGCTTTTACTCTCAAAGACAACCTTTGATTTCAGGAGTGGAGAGTTGATGAAGGAAAGGAAAAGACGCTGTGCTAAACGTCGAGCTCGCGATGTAGAGAGGAACTGGAAGCTCAGAAAAATTGATTCTGGCCCCGAAACTCTTTTTATGGCCCGTGGCCCGTGCGCTTGCCCACTAGCGTGGAATAGTCCAGCGCGCGCGAATTTTCCGGAGCACAACTCGGCAATAGCCTAGGCCCCGTCCAGTGCACAAATCGTCTTTGGCCGGACAACAGGATATGCTTCTACTCGTGCAGACCGTCTGCTGCTAGTCGTACAACGGGATTCTCTAGCTGCTGCTCACCTACTATTGGATCGACTCGTGGATCTCCTGAGAGGACACTTGCACATGAAAATAGTGAAAATGCGCTCAGTCCTTCCTTGCTTTTTGGGTACAATTGCTGCTACATTACCACCTACCTGGGGACCTACCTACTATGTATCTTGACCAAGCCTGACCTAGTCCTAGTCGACGCCAGCAGCTCGTGTGGATGCCGCCCATGACAGCGCAACAACAGTGCTCCTCATTGGGATCCGCTGCCTCACAAGTCAGCCAGCCCTTTCGCTCCAGCTTTCCCGTATTTTCACGAAACGCAGCTGCGACATAGGAAAATCACTCAAGAGAAAACAAAACAAGTCACCGGTACAGGTAGGTGATGATGCTTCATACAAAAAGTCTGTACATGAACACACACCGCATCACATTTTTTAGTCCCTGTCAGCATTGTTACAAGTCGGACGAACTCTTTACCAATCACCAAGGATTCTTATCATGCAAAAAAAAGATTGCTGAGGTACACGGAATCGCCAATAGGTCCGTCAATCCCTTGGTCCTGGTGTCGTGTGGCCAAAACCTCCCAGTTGAATGACCAGCAAGCCCATCTCGGGTAGGTATTTCCTAGCGCCTCTGCGGGTCTCTGCGCGGCCCTCTCCAAAGTCTCCAGCTTACAGTTTCAGGGGTCCCCGAGTCAAGGTGGCAGAGATTTTTTTTCTCGCCATCTCGGTTGGTCTCTTTCGGAGACTCCATTCCCGTTAGTTGCATATCTTTAGCACACAAATTATTTTGCCCCAGATGCACGAGATACGGCAAGATAGGGAGACGGCTTGGTATAGATTCTAGAATTATGTCATTTCTCCTGGACGGGTGCTCTCCATGTTTCTCGATCTGTATGAAACCATCTCGCAGTAATACCTCTAGAAAGCCAATATGCGTTTTGAATCGCTCAGCCGATAGATATTACAGGCACAAGTGTCTCTTATGTTCTCGACCTGCAGTGCACAGAATCCACCATACTGGGACTGGCTCATGACACCTGATAAATTCGGCTGAGAAGCTTGAGAAGCGGGAACAAGACAAGTCTAGAGCCGCCGGACAGTGTGATGCTATTTTGGTTATCGATTACAGCATAAAGGCGAATGGAGCCATTGAGCCCGGTGACATCAGTTTGCAAGACAGCAATTAGGTTGGAGGCACGATCATATCCTACAGGCTAGGTATAGAGCGAGCTGCCAATTGCCAGTGACTGCACATTTCCGTTCCACCTGGAACAAATCGACGGCACTTTGCGTTGAAATCATACACAAGCAAGGCTTCTGCTCGGTATCCAGGCACGTGCTCCCAAAGCAAAGACGTGAGACCAGCACGCAAAAGTGGCAGCGAGACTGCCTCGGTACAGACCTTGATACCGCTGGTGGAACAGTTCAGTCTCTCCAACAGCTCATCTGCTTCGGGCGTAACAATCAACGGCAAGACTCCATGGTAGGTTGATGTCATACATAGGACCATGCAAGACTTCACGAGACGAATCACAACTGACAATCGCGCAGTATTGGATATAGGTTGTGCAGAAGGGTCAACACTTCATTCTATTGACCTCACCCTGTCGAAAGCAATAACGGCCTTGACTATGAAGGCTGAAACCAGTCCTTATGATGCTACGCCGGAGATCAAAATGCCCAGAACCATCGAGTTCCCTTTTTTTACCCTCGATCCATCTGGTCGCCAAACCGTTCCGCTTTAGATCGACGTCACGTTCGTTTCATGGTATCGTGAATTGTGTGGTGAGATTTAGTCCGAAGCACCAACGGCGCGGGCTAGAAACATGTCAGCATGTTGTGTGTGGGCGAGCGCACGGGAGACATACTGTAGATCTTCATCTTGCTGTGGGTGACAACAGACTTGATCTGGCCCTTCTCCTCGAGGTCCTTCAGGCACTTGCGTGCGAGGGAACCGTTGATCTTTAATCTGTCGACGAGGGTCGAGACTGTGACGAGGCGGTAGGACTGAACATCCTTGTACAGCTTCTCAGAAGTCTGCTTGTCGAGCAGGACGGCGTGCTGGGCCTTGTCCTTGACTACAGTGACAGTCAGTCAAGTGTCTTTTGAAGAATGGTTGTCGTCATGACGCATCGCTCGCTCGCTGGCTGCCATGCAAAGGCCGCCGTCCCTTCCACCACTGGCGAGCCCCTCGCTAAGGCCGTTTCGTCGACGAAGCGCACAAGATTCGGAAAAAAGTGCGTTTACTCACCCTTGCCCTTGGACCACTTCTTCTTCTGCTTCTTGGCGCCGGTAGCAGCGGGAGCCATGTTGACGATCTGTGGTGTTGACTTTGGTGGTGGTTCGAATCGTCAAAGGTGTGTTGTCTCCAAGTCAGAATGATACTGATGGGTCGAAATACATGAGACTCAAAGGTTTACTGGCCACACCAAAAATTTCGGGCAAGCGCAACCCTAGACTAGCGGGGTCTGATTGGCCACATTTTGCTCGAAAGTGGGGCGGCCGCACCTTTGTCGCCAAATTCTGGCTAGGGCCGCAATCACCAAAAAATTAAGAACTTCGAGACCGACTTCCAACGACAACACCGACCTTACTAACACCGCAGTCACAATACCAGTCAGACACATTTTTCGAGCGCCAACTCCCAGCCAAAATGTCTGACAACGGTGAAATCGAAGTTGAGGCCGTCCAGTCCTCGGTGCTCCCCAAGGACGTGACCTCTGAGATCGGCTCCATCAAGCTGTTCAACAAGTGGTCCTACGAGGATGTCGAGATCCGCGACATCTCCTTGACGTAAGGGCGCCCCCTTCAGAATCGACATTGCGAATTTTTTTTGTTCCTTCCGGTTGCTGCGCTGCGCTGCAATGCCACTATGCAAAATGGCGACATTGCAACCAGGCAGCGGGGGAGAGCATTTAGGGATTCTTGTCGAAAATAAAACACCACGTCAGAGAGCATATTGGAGGCTAATGGAATCTTTGTGTGCAGCGACTACATCCAGATCCGATCTCCCGTCTACATCCCCCACTCTGCTGGTCGCTATGCCGTCAAGCGTTTCCGCAAGGCCAACTGCCCCATCATTGAGCGTCTCACCAACTCGCTCATGATGCACGGCCGCAACAACGGAAAGAAGCTGATGGCTGTCCGCATTGTCGCTCACGCTTTCGAGATCGTAAGACCGCCTACCCGAGCTCGTCCAAGCTAGCCGCGCACCATGATACTTGAGAGAAATAAATTGTTCTAACGCCCTCTAGATCCACCTGATGACCGACCAGAACCCCATCCAGATCGCCGTTGACGCCATTGTCAACTGCGGTCCTCGTGAGGACTCCACCAGAATTGGTTCCGCCGGTACCGTCCGCCGACAGGCCGTCGATGTCTCCCCTCTCCGCCGTGTCAACCAGGCCATTGCCCTGCTCACCACCGGTGCCCGTGAGGCCTCTTTCCGCAACATCAAGTCGATTGCCGAGTGCCTGGCTGAGGAGCTGATCAACGCTGCCAAGGGTAGCAGCAACTCGTACGCCATCAAGAAGAAGGACGAGCTGGAGCGTGTCGCCAAGAGCAACCGATAAATGTTTTCTTTGCATTGGGGGTTCACAGGCGTGGAAAGAAATCTGGACTTTTATTTGCCGATCACTTGCATTTGCGCGTTATGGTCAAGGGCGGGATGCGGATTTACGACATTCATGTCACATAGGGCTCATAAAAGAAAAAGGCTCGGCTCAGGGATGAGCAAAAAATGATCTGACTACCCAAATAACGTCTTTGAGAAAACTCGGATGTGACGGTAATGCATTGAAAAGCCTGTAAATAGGAGTCAATGGTTTTGGAACTATCTTGTACGCTCTCTCCTCAGCTTGTGATGAATCAAGTCCGGCCTGATGCCTCCCACCCCATACCTGTCCCGTCCCAGCTCCAAGTGTCGAACCAAAGTTGCCCGTGATGAGAATTCCAGGCTTGACTCGGCTTCGAATTAATCAAGGGCTTTCATCAGCGGGATATACAAATTTCGACCACAATGTCAAATTCTGTATTGTGTCATTCAGTTCATTGCTTGCTTTCTCATCCTACGCTAACAGTAGCTGTTTAGGTCCATAGCTCAGCCATCGCATCACGTCATACCTTCATACCCTCATGCTCTCGGATTGTCTGGCGTACTCTGTGCACATGCCAATTATTGAGCAACATGATACTGCTCCATGAATACGACCCTTTTCTTGTGCAAATGCCGAGTGTCCTGAACCCATGATTTCTCAGCGTCATACCTCAACTGTGCATCCCAATACTTAAGGACTCCATCGTCTTGCAAGGTTCTTTCATGGCCTATGGTTAAGAGCGTTCCATGGCGGCCGCGTTCAGAGGGTCATGCACAAGCCTTGATCCACATAGCATTGCCGTAGGCAGATTCCGGAAGTCATCATGTTTGTGCGATCTCATCCATACGCACGCTTTTCTAGAGTCAAGATCCCGTAACCTTCATCGGTGTCTTCCCTACTAGGCGAGTCGAAGGGGCTCCGGGAGCTGCGTGAGCGTAACCTGGCGAGGCGGGAGCGGGAGGCGCTGGAACATGCCGACGTGACGGATGCCTTCCTCCCACCACTCGCCCATGCGTTCGTCGACGACGAAACCCCACTTGGCCCAGACGTCCTTAACGTCGTCCTGGGCGTGGACGCAGACGAGGCCGCGCCAGCTCGGAACGTCATCAGCACCGCGGGCGGCGAGGGCGTTGAGTCCTAGATTGCTGACCGACGGGTTGAAGTAGCCTGGGTGCTCCATCAGCCACTGACGGGCCGCGGCCCAGAGCTGGGCGGCCACGTTCATCTTGCGGTACGGCTTGAGCACGGCCAGGCGGCCCAGCTTCATGTACGGCTCTTGACCGTCATGGAAGGTGGTCGGGGCGTCATAGCCGTAGGGAAGCATGGAAGTTCTGTTTTCTCGTCAGTGATTGTCTCCCAGACTGGTATGAGTGAGGGCTCGACTACTGGGGTGTCTCATGGTGAAACACATCAACTCATGGTTACTGACCTGCGTCTTTCCTGGCTGGCGGTCAGAGTGTTGATCTCTTCATTCTGCAGGACATTATCCACGTAGCGGCCGCCAGGCTGGGGGTGAGGCGGGTGGGGAAAAGGAACCGCGCGCAGGGTGCCAATGGGAACCGAGCGGGTCTCGGAGCGCTTGCGCTGGATGATGGCGCCGGTTTCCGGGTCCTTGATCTCGTGATCGAGAATATGGTTGACGCTGGTATAGATGACCCAATGCAAAGATCTGCCGTCGTCCTTGTCGTGCTCAAACTCGAGGGGGACACCCTGCTCCTTGACAAAGACCTCCTCACGGACCTCCATGGCGTCCATAAAGGCACGGGGAATCGAGGGATCCTGCTGGTCGTGAGGCTTGGAGCGGTCGTACCTGTCAAGCTTGGTGGGCTCAAGGCATGAGATGAAGGGAGTGCCCGTGTTGGCCATTGTTGAAGCTTGCTTTGGGTTCTTACGTGGTTGCAATGGTGATGGACGGAGATGGTTGTGGTAAGAGCTGAACGGGATTGTGACCTCAGAATTCTGGATCAAAGTGATTCCAGATTTAGAAACCAGACTGAGAGTAGTGAGAGAGGAAAGGGTTGCACCTATTTCAATTGAACGTGGCGGCTTGAAGTTGGGAAAGTGGAAGCTGTCGTTAAGTTTTGAGTGAATCAGCTCTGGCCAATGACAAATGAGCGGACCCACGATACGCGTTTCCGGAGCCGGACCTCAAACGGAGTCGCAAAACGGGAGTCGCAAAACGGGGTCTCACGGAGCTTCACGGAGCTTCACGGAGGATCTGGCCGCTTTCCCCGTGCTTGAGACTGAGTACACACTTTTTGTTGTCGGCCTGCCCTTGGCTGGGTTTAGGAAACAGTGATTGAGGAGTGTGCCCGAGTCTTCAATGAATAAGGATTCCCTTATGCTGTGAAATAAATCCAGGAGTGCCGCACTGCAATGAGTTTACTGCCGTTTGTTGTTGTTGTTGGCAGAATCAATAAGTTGCGGGAGGATCTATTAGGGCTAGTCATTAGAGTCCGGCGCTCCGGGGGCAACCGCCACTCCGGAGCATGTCCGGCGTTGGCCCGGACCGCCAGGCGATCGCCGGCTGCGGCACAGTTGGCGGAGCTATGAGACCCAGCTGCCATGACGAAATTCGGCAACCACTTTGCAAAGCCATTGACTGTTTCACACATTCAACGATTTGCGATATGGCGCATCCTCTTTTTGCTACTTCTCACAACACGCCTTACATCTGCGTCGTAATCTGCGCTACACCTCCATTCTCTCAGATTGGAAAAGATGATACTATAAAGCTGCAACAATCATCATTCACTGTTTTAGGTGAATTGGAGTTATAAAATAACGGCTGTCCGGAGAAGAAAGGGTTAACTTTGTTCAATCTAGTTATCATGACCTGTCCTGGTCAGATGATGACTGTACTTTCCGGGACTACAATGCGTTATACGGAAGATCCGTACGTGGTAGTTGAATAAGATCGTGTGAACTGCCATTTGCTCAGTGGGCTGAAATGGAATGCGAGCAGTAATATCAGGATGATTCTGTGCGCAACTCTCACACAGTAGCATCAATTGCAGAGCTTGAGTAATGGCCTGCTTGGGGATACAAATCTCATCGATTGAGTATAATAACATAATAACATCTCTGTTAAAATGTGAGATGATATTGCACAGCCTATCTTTTTCACAGACTCGTCTTTGGCCGAACCCCTTTTTTGCTTTTTTTGACATGCGTGGCTTAGATTGTCGCGTAACGTAAGCCCCCCCTTATGGAAGGTGTAGTGGTTGACGGACGCATTAGACGGCACCTAAACTGCCAGGCAGATAAAACGGGCCCCGCTGACATGGCCACAAAGGTGCTAGGCAGGCACCTAGTCACGCCTAGCTAGGCGTTGCGCGTCGCTCGCCAGCGCATTAGGTCAGGCGAAGGAAGCACCAAAGAAGTTTTGACTTCAAACCTCACCTACACTGCTGTTGGAGAAGCTCCGAACTGGATGCGACGACAGAATCGATCCGGACATTGTTGCTGCCATCATCGATAGATGGCGACATAGTTGGGGGAATCTCAAACTGTGTTTTGACAGCTTGTCACTGCACCAAGAAAAACAATCCATTCTATTCTCTCTTTCACATCAATTGCGGCTCGAATTGGTCGCCGGGACCGTCCACTGCAACCACAGTCGATTGTCTCGATCTGTGATAGCAACGACGTTGCTCTTCTACACTTGAATACTCCGTTACCCGAAACGACTATTCGAACGCTCATTCATACAAGATGCCGATACGCCTGTCCCCGCGCCGGGCACCACTGCTGCTCGCCAGCTTGGGTATCTTTGCCCTGTTCACGCTCTTTGTTACACTTCCAAGCTCTATCCCTCAGGGTCCAAGTCTATCCAAGACCCTGGCCGACCATAAGATTCCCATACCAAAGGTGTCGAATCCATTCTCCGCAAGCATACTGCACCCCTTCAGGCCTGCGTCACATAAGCCGCCGGAGCAGGCAAACTCCACTTATGCTGGAAGTTCTTGGTACTCGAACTGGAACTGGCGCTCTCCATTTTCCTCGTCCGTCACTCTCGATGAGAACCGATCGCTTCTCCCGCAGCTGATGGAGCGACCCCCCATTTACTGTTACTATGATCCAACCATCCCGAGAGAAGAGGCGACCAAGGATGCAGAGAGCGACCTACTGCTCACATGGAGACGTGCATGGTGGGCACAGGGTTTCAAGCCTATAATCCTCAGTCCGGCCGAAGCTATGAATAATCCTCTGTACAACGAGCTGCAGCTCATGGATCTGGAGCCGACTTTCAAGACGGATATGATGCGTTGGCTGGCATGGGAAAACATGGGCGGCGGTCTGCTGGCTCACCATCTCTTGCTTCCCATGGCAGCTCGGGATGAACCCCTGCTTTCATTTCTCAGGCGAGGCGAGTACCCCAAGCTTACGCGTTGGGAAGGATTCGAGGACGGCTTGTTTTCTGGTCCCAAGGCAGAGATTACAGTTGCCGTCACCACTGCATTAAGACATCCAGAGCGAAAAGATGCCAAGGATTTCATTGCCGCCACACCCGCCGAAACCTTCGATGTTGACCCCAAGCACGACGGTCTGGCATTCTACAATGTCAAGACTATTGAGAACAAATATCCCCTCGTTGCTGAGCAACTCGGGGCTAATCGTGCGACTGGATTGCAGAGTCTGAACTATCTCATCAATGCGCATCTCCATGTCGCGTGGCAGGATTCGTTCCCCAAGGGCGTGGCTGTCTTGAAGCCTCTTCCCCGCCATACCTCGACCATGATTGAGCCCGCTCTGGACTTGGCAGTTTGGCTTACCTCGTGTCCTGATACGCCCATGCCGGCATCTTGCCCTCCGAATCTTCCAAAGTGCTCACCTTGTGTGTCGTCCCATCCGATGAAGATCTCTACTCCTTCGCGTTACCGAAATACGACTGGAATGTATACCATCGGCACAGTACCGCACCCCTACACAATGGCATCCCTCAATGCGTTGAAGAGCGATATTGATATTCCATGGGTTCGCCGGAAGATGGTCCGAGATTTGTGGTTGGCAGAACTCACAAAAGAGCACTCCGGCACCGGCGTCTCCGGTGCCGCACGTATTGTCACATTCAAGGAGGCCGTAGCCGGTGATTTTGCAACCGCACATTCTGTATGGCTTACGGCTGAGCGGGAAGCTGTCCCTCGCGACTTGGACTGGTACTTTGGCTTTACCCTTCCCGTCAACGGCACAGACAATGGCCAGTCTGAGACGCCTGTACCCGGTCCTGAGCGCCGCCCCAAGCCGGAGCATGATCCCGCGGATGGTCCTGTCCCCACCGAAGAAGACCTCGCACAGGAGCCCGAGTTGTTGAAAAGGGCCCGTGAAATGGGCAAGAGCGAAGACCCAGCCCATGTCGCTCTCCGTAACGCTATCGAGGCTTGGAACCTGGCGGACACGGAAGCCTGGAAATTCGCGCGTGCATTCCTGGCAAGGTCGCGTGTTGAGCGCCTCAAGTGGGAAGAGGAAGAGAGAGGATACGCAGGAGGTGCGGGCAGTGACAAAGAAGCCAAACGCGGTGGATGGGGTCGTTGGTCCGAGTAGAGTTCTTGCATATAGCATTTGATTTGGCAGTATCAACAAAGCGCATCGGAATAGAGAAGAAACATAATACTAAGTGTACCAAAAACCAAAGGGTCTAGTTTGTTGGATTTTGTTCGCTCCGGATGGCATGGAGTTTTGGGCGTTTGCGATCAAGACCAATAGAAATATTTATTGAAAATGCACCCATTCGTGTGATGCCCACTCTTGTGTGCTGTAGGATGAGTGAAATGCGGTTCACAAGATTCTGGCCAGAATGATACTTGTATACTGGCGCAAAGGAACCAGCTTCGTCACCACCGCAGGTCTGCAATGGCCTAGTTAATAAGCAGCATCAGCTCTGGAAACGACATCGACTATACAAGGTAGCCAGCAAGAGAACCCGGTTTCTTGTTTTCTGTCATGTTGGATTTGTAAAATATTCTCTCAAAACAAATTCACTTGATGGCAACAGAGGAGACATTATATTTGTGATTATATGGTGGATACGTTGCATCTCGAATACCTCCAGGCCATAATCATCACCGTCCGGTCCATGCTGAATGGTGCGGCTGCGAGACAGCTCTTCGTACGGGATGCAGCTTCCTTAGCAGTAGGTGCACACTGCCATATATTAGCCAACGATGATCGCGATCAAAAATGGCAACATCATGTAGTTTTTGGAACCTGAAAGTGAGAAGCTACACTCGCCTGACTAGCTGACTTGGTCCGGGAGACTTTGCCACCAAAGAAAATGGCGCTTTACTGACACTTGGTTATCATGATCTCTCTCGGCCTCTTGGCCAAGGCTGTGGGTGAGACAAGGCCAGACATTTGATCAATCACAAAATGAACTATAGTTGTAGGGGTCATCGATCTGAAAGAGGATCACAGGGCGCAATAATTGAATGAGAAACTTGGTGACACCTTTGAAAAGATGTTAAAGCATCTCTAGAATCTCATTTTGATAAGATTTCCGAGTTTAATGTGCAATAATATATATGAAATATGGACACGCCGATCATAGAGTCACATTGAAACTTTGTATTGCGCGATCATTGGATTGAGATACGGCATCAACAAACACGACATGACCAAGATTGGCCGTAGGTAGTTTGGAAAGCATGCAGAATGCTATACGATAGGAACAAATCAAAAGCTCAAGAATAATAGAATTTGAGAGGCTTCAAGATAGTAATTGTTGCAAACTTGAGGATTCAGATTCACAGACTGTTGAGAGTCTGAAAAGAAATATGCATGTTGAAAACAGTAGTAATGAGAGAAGAGAAACTGAATGGAAGAAGAAGTTCCTGGAGTGAGACTCGAGGCCGGCAATGCTTATTCGGCCCCAAATGTCACTCAAATCTAAGCGGCAATGGCGGTATCTCCGCCCATCTCGCCACTGAGTTCTCTGGAGGTCGGTCCTCGGTGAGTGTATCCGGCGTTAGCCTCTGCGACCGCAGATTGACCAGCAGTTGGGAATCTTCCATTCTCCTTGGTTTGAGAAGACTCGCTGTAAGCACGGAGAGCGTACTTGGCAGCTTCAACGACCTTTTCCGCCTGCTTCAAGGCATCTTTCAGCGCAAGTGCAGTGGGATCTTCGATCGCTTCCTGGCCGCTGCTGGCGGAGGCGGCGGCGGCGGTGTTTCCATTTGCAGACAACTTTCCGCTGTGACCGGCTCCTTGCTGCTCAATCAGCTCACGAATATGGCCATTGATCCAGAGACCAGCCAACTGCTGAGGCGTTATGTCCTTGGCGCCTGCAATTCGCCCCCGGCACGTGGCTTTTCCGCAGAAACAGTCAAACGGCTGAGCCATTTCCCATTCCGTGGACGGATAAAAGAACTGGGATAACGTGAGCAAAAGCGGTCAACATGTGATATACCTGCCTGGGATCGACGAACAGTTAATTCCTCACCCACTTGGAGGCCCTTGGGGCCTACCAGGATGTTGAAGTTTGCAGTATCGAAGATCTGATAACACGTTAGCTCTGATGACACCACATTACAGGTCCTCCATGGTAGTGCGCAATCCGAAGGGCGGGCATGGGCATGTGAAGAATGCGTTGTCAGTGTCACGGTCGTGGTTTCGTACGTCCCGAGCCGCTGCAGGAGTGGCTTCTGCCAATGTCACCTTCAGCAGGGTCTAAACCGGGTGGGCGAGGTGGCACTTCCAAGCAGGACTAGGGCGGATGCTGTATAATAGAGGAAGACCGGGAGATGATTACTGGGAACCACTAACTAGTGAGGGCTCGCAGCTGTGATTCAGGTAGAGCAGATCGCTGTTCAGGTTGAGATGCTTGTTCTTGTCCACCTGGACCGTGGCGTATGTCGGTTCCTCGGCCCAAGTGCACGGAGGAAAGTCCATCTTGGCAAACAAGCCGAAGGGCGGCAGTGTCACCTTGGACAGGCTCTTGGAGGTGAACTCATGATCATTGATGATCACCTCCTGGATGGCAGGGTGAGAGGGCTGGTGCCAATGGGGCTTCAGAGGAGAAGACATGTTGTCGATAAAGTAAAGTACTGAAGATTTGCTGTTGGGGACGGCAGTGTTCTTCCGCATCATTGTTCAGTCCAGTGCCAAGACGTAATTCATATCGTGCATAAAGGATGACTTACATGTTTCAGTGGAGAGGCCTTGTCCTAGCTGGGCCGTTCGTTGCAAAATGTGGGTTGCCGTTGTTACAGCGATGGGATTGTTGTGCAATGGATACAAAACTCTGGTCAGCGGCAGAAAATAATCGAAAGGATTTCATATAAATGTCGCACAAAGGTGAAGAGAAGGTTGTTTAAAGCGACGAGCGGAAATCTTGACCCCTCGTTGGTTTGTCCACTTAGTCGGCATCATTCTCTCGGCTTGTGTCCAGGCTCTGGACTAATGTGAGTGATGAGCGACGCGATACCATGTGCTGCCGCCGCTCGGGGTAACGTCTGCGGGGTATGGGCATAGGGGAGCCACAGTGACAGGCTTGGGGACATGATCTGCCCTATCAGGACCGACGACACCGCCCACTTCGGCAACCAGCAGCACTTTTAGCTGGGGTCAAGTGTAAATTTGAGCTCGAGTCATCCGCGGCTATTATGTCGAGCAGAGCAACGATGTTTTGCAGATGCAGCGCCTAGGATTTGGGCCAAGGCACAGCCGATTATGGGCCCATCCCATCCCATCCCATATTCATGGCGCACAAACGAGAGAGGCCACGCCTCAATCACGGCCGCCTGCCCTTTTGTGATCAAGCATGGACAAAACAGCAATGACAAGGGATGACAACAGAGAGCAGGGCAAAGCCAAGGTGTGCTGCAGAAGAATACCATCCTTGGCATGCTGAGAGCAAAACATTCTGCAGCCAGCTTCTAGGATCCGAGTGCTTGTGCTTGCCTCAGCACAGAGCTGGAAAGGTTCGAGAAAGCTTCGACGTGCATAGAAGCATGCAACACACGAACATGGGGACAGCGCACCCCCCGACCATGGATGTGCGTGCGTACTTATTAGTAGATGCCTGGTGCCTTGCGTGGCTGTTGCTGGGTGCTGCTTCGTCTGACCTGCATATGTGACATACATAGAAAAAGAGGTACATGGACATGATGCCTGCGCGCTCGGACAAAATTGGACCCTTGTTGCGACTCGCGATGAGAAAGAAAGAACAATATCGCGAGCAAAAGCCTCAATCAAGTCGCGCTTCATACGAATCAGGGTCAGAGATTAGAGGTCAGTGACTCTCGGTGGCGGTGGTCCAAGACGACGACGATGATGAACCAGGCTCCGTTGGTCTGTATTTGAAACATTTGTAATGGCCTATTGGTACCGGGAAGACTTCCCCAAAAGGCCGTGTAACCTCCGGAGCACGACTTCGGAATGCCACTTTGCGACAACTCAGGAGCTTGGAGTGAGGGAAGAAACAATCTTGCTCATGACGGCAATTGAGATTTTGGTGGCAGTGACATACCAAGCGGCTATCCAACTGACCTGTACCGTACATCAAGGTACCTGCATGTAGAGATCTCAATGTATGAACATTGAAGGCACCGGATGATGTGTGTCGTGTCCAGTGTATAGGAAGGTATCGTTACAATGATACAGTCGCATATGTCACAAATCCTCGCTCCGGCAGCTGCCGCGACAGGAGGGTTCGGTTTAGTTTGTTAGCATGGATTGACGGATTGCTGGTACATTACCTCAAGCCACATTACATACTGCCTACTAGGTAGCTGCGAGCCTATCTTGAACCATGTCAGTTAGTTACGTACAACAAACCAAACTCTCCTATTTTTTTCCTTCTTAACTGCGTGCTGTTCATCAAACGATACCACCTATGACATCTTGTTTAGTCTTCATTCGATGAGCCTGGAAATTTCGGTAGTCGTTCTAGTCGTTCGATGGTTCGTTCTAGCGAAACGAACGACGGAAGTAGCCATTAATTCTTTTCCTTGTCGCCGACGAAATATTCCCTGGAAGCTTATTTTAGTGCCCGCTTAGCACGTTTGACCGCGGATCACAGAAGGGTATGGAGCCACGAACGAACACCTCGGTATCTGATCTGAAGAAAGTAGGTACCTAGTAAGGGAGGTATCAAAGGTAAAACCTCTCTTGTCCAGCCAGCAGCATAATCGCTTGACAAGAGGATTCAAATCATCATTACCACAAGAACATGGTCGGTGACACGGTCAGAACATTAGCAAGGGAAAATACGTTTTGCATCCTTCCTTCTTTCGCTTGGGTGGAAAATGCAGATTCCTATCCGTGTCATATTATTACCTGTCATAACTCCACATCTTCCGAAGTAGCAGTGAGCGATGGCTCCCCACAAGAGGATCCAAGATTGGTTGGCTTGGTGCTTGCCAGACGTGCCAGTTGATCCAAGCGGCATCTACCCGAAAACGTGGCCATCGAAAACCAGGCATCTTCAACGTCCGGAGAGGCGCGTGCACACGGCACAACAAGCCCGCCGCCGCTAGGAGCGTGGCATCTACATTGCGAGTGAGTATTTGCGCAATCTTAGCATCTCGTTCCAGAAGGTCATTAGAGGCACGGCCCGGCCTCTTGTTTGGAATCCCTGCTCGCAATGACCTCAGTCTACGAGACTCGTCACAATTCCCTCTCGACTGCCATACTCTTCAGAAAGCCTGAGCGCTGAGCTGGGCCGTTTACTACTGGGTACCAGCTCTTTCTTCTTCGCGTCCAACTTCCCCGAAGAATATCACCGATCACGATCCAATAAAATAAAATAAAATAAAAAAAATTGCCATGGACATAGTGTCGCCACCCTACCGTTCGAGGATCAAACGATCACAAGGTTTCATGCCTATTGGGGCCACATGGGGAACTGTCCAATATACCCTCTTGTAGCCCGCCGAGGACCACTGAGCATGAAACAGTCTCCCCATAAACGGAAGACCTCTTCGTTATCTGATCCGCCTGTCAAATTAAGCTCGAACAAATTCGAGCTCCCGTGGTGGGTGTGGGGGGGGATTGCCAGTGCTGACAAGTAGATAAACTCATCTTTGAATGTGATATATCAAGACGGTTGCTCTCATGAGCATGACAACCATTCTTTCCATCTCGTCTTTACTAAATCCTCCCAACCACTCAGTGAAAAGTCTGCAACCACGCTCACTCAGTGGCATTATCAAGCTTTGCTCGTTTCCTTCTACGAAGCACCTTGCCGAACAACACCATGGCGTCGTCTTCTACCAGTGGCAATGCCAGGTACGAGTTTACCTCGCCGGATGCCGTTGATCATCACGCACCAAAACCGCCACCACGTCCAGAGCCAGTCCCTCCTCGTCCGGACCCCAGCCGTCATGCCCCTTTTTGATCCTGACTTCTATTTTGGGCAATATCTGGGAAAACTTTTGGATTGTCGAGAATATACGAGGAAAACGATCAAAGCAAATTTCGGGCCTGGGCATCAGCTCCACAGTAAAGTAACCCACCCTAGCCATGAACGATTCCGTCTAACCGACCCGACTATAATTTAGCTGGCCCCAAATTACAACAATACGCCATAACTCTTTTCCCCCTCTTATCTCAGTACAAAGGATCAAGCGGCTGAATCGTTTTTTCTTTTTCTCTCCCGAGAACCTTACGCCTTCCTTACTCCCCGAACCGTGATGAACTTCCGGTGCGGATCGATCACTCAAGCCCTTCTCCTTTTCTTTTGCCAAAGATTTGTCTTTTCCCCATATACCATGTATCATTATTCTGGTCAAAGGCAGCATGCATGTATCTTACGCACAATACACGAAGTAATCTACCATATCGTTGCTCAAAAATTAGTGATACATGTCCACACTTCTTTCGAATGAATTTCAGATGATTTGGTAAGGATACCCTTTTGTATGGGAAGCCAGCTTGTCATGCAGTTGCCGGCAAGACGTTTGCAACTCGAGGAACCTATCACACATGTTTGCACACAGTAGTTGGATTTTTTTTCTCATGTCATCCCTTTTCTTCATTTTTCTTCTATATGTCTACATAAAGGAGCGTTGGTATATCCATCACCCGAGATCCTTCTTCCAAATAACAAGTGAGAAAAGCACAAATGGTGTATTTCTCGCCTAAAATACAATTGATACCTCGGTCACGGGCATGACTGTAATTAGTAACCCTTGAGGTGAGGTGAATACTGCCGCGCAAGTCTCTCTAATTTGTATCAAAGATTGAGCCACCCTCTTAGTTGCTGGGAGCAGGGCCGGCAGGGGCGCTGCCGCTAGGAGGGGGCGGAGGGACGCCCGAGGGGACGCCGGAAGGAACACCAGAAGGAGGAGGTCCGGTGGGACGAGGAGCGTCGCTGTCCTGGCGAACCTTGACCTTGAGAGTCTGCGAAGGAGGCAAGGCCGAACCGCTGGGAGGAGGCGGGGGAGCAGAGGCACCGCTAGGCAGAGGAGGAGGGGTGCCAGAGGGAGGGATACCCGAGGGAACGCCAGAGGGAGGCGGGCCGGTAGGAGCGGCGTTATCCTGGCGAACCTTCAGAGTCGGGGAAGGAGGCTGAGCGGAGCCGCTGGGAGGAGGCGGGGGAACGCCCGAGGGGACACCCGAGGGAGGGATGCCAGAGGGGACACCGGAAGGCGGCGGGCCAGTGGGCTGGGGAGCATCACCGTCCTGGCGGACCTTTAGAGAGGGAGACGGGGGCTGAGCAGCACCGGCCGAACCGCTAGGAGGAGGCGGGGGAGCAGAGACGCCGCTGGGCAGAGGAGGGGGGGTACCCGAGGGGGCAGGGCCGCTAGGAGCACCGCTAGGAGGCGGGGGCAGACCGGAGCCTTCCTCCTGACGCTTGGCTGCGGCGGTAGGGCGAGGAGCATCCGAGGGGGGAGGGCCGGTCGGCGCGGGGCCCGAGGGCGGGGGACCGCTAGGAACACCGCTGGGAGGCGGAGGAGGAGCAGAACCCTCCTCTTGACGCTTGGCAGCAGCAGCGGTAGGACGAGGAGCGTCAGAAGGAGGAGGTCCAGAGGGTGGAGGACCAGGAAGGAGCAGGGCCGCTAGGAATACCGCTGGGAGGCGGGGGAGGGGCAGAGCTCTCTTCCTGGCGCTTGGCAGCGGCAGTAGGACGAGGAGCATCAGATGGAGGTGGTCCAGATGGCGGGGGACCAGAGGGTGGAGGACCGCTGGGAACGCCACTGGGGGGAGGTGGGAGATCCGAAGCGTCCTGGCGTGCAAGCTTGGCAGCAGCCGTAGGCTAGAAAGTTCAGTTGTTAGCTTTTGGTCAAAGATTATATAGATTATATCTGTGCCATCATCACTTACAGCAGGGAAGTCTGAAGGAGGCGGGCCAGTAGGAACTCCCGAGAAGTCTGGGGGAGGTCCACTGGGAATGCCGCTGGGAGGGGGAGGAAAGTCGCTCTCTTGACGAGCCATCTTTGCTGCCGCACTGGGAGCGGGAGGAAGGTCGAAGCCAGAGGAAGGCGGTCCCGTAGGAGCAGGTCCCGAGGGAGGAGGTCCCGAAGGAACTCCAGAAAAGTCGGGAGGCGGCGGCAAGGAGCTGCTCTCCTGGCGAGCTGCAATGTCAAAGGGGGCAGCAGCCACAGAGGCAGCAAGAACTGCCACGGTTGTGAAGAACTTCATATTGAAGAATGGAGATATCAGGATCTCGACGGTGAGAAAAGAATGTCGAGCAGCTAGGCTGACTTGACGAGTGGCAGCCGGCTGCTATAGTTCAAAAATGGAACGATGGAAATACAAGCGAAGAAGGGATGGTTTTTTTTTTGTTTGTTTTGTATTGAAGCTGTTTTTTTGATGCTCTGGAGAATATTTCGAGTCGGGAGGATGAGAGGACTCTCGAGTCTTCTTATAATCAGAATTGACGACGTGATTTGAGCAATGACTCTCGTCATGGTTGTATGATGCCGCAAGCCATTTCTTTTTTCGATAACCCTAGTCGCTTGCTTCATTCGTCATTATCATAACGTTATACTTAGCCTCAAAATCATCCCCAGCTGAGGGTCAGTGGGTCCCTCAGGTTCGCAATATACTCTAGACGACAGACGAGTGCTCCGCTGTTCTCAGACAAGCGCTGGGTTGACGATTGCGTGGAGGGCAAAGTCTCAGCTCAGCCAGAGTCCCAGACTCCCAGCCAGAGAACGGACGGTTGGTTGTGGACGGTTGACTTCAGCTCTGAGCGTCAAGCAACATGGGGACTTTGTTGGCTTGCTTTCTCTCAGATCGTCTCCATGGTCCCGCCAAGACCCAGTGGGATCCCTCAATCCGAGTGGGCTTTGCTCCAGAGAAAGAGCAAGACAAGCTCACGATATTGGTGCCGTCGATTTACTGGGTGGACCCTTATGCCGGCAGTCATTGTCACGGGTCAGGGATGTCCCAGTGAGCCTCAACGGGCCGCCATGCGCCCTGACTGGATGGCAGAGACGGTTCACGGCAAACGACCAAAAGGCGAATTGCAATGTGTACTACTTTGGGCTGTGCTTGCTGTGCTGTTGACAAAACGCCGCTATTGTTCTGGCTTCTTGTGGAGTCTCCGATGCCGTATGCTGTTTAGAAAATCCCCGGTTGCTACCCAGTGCAAAGGTGTATAAGCCGTACTATAATCCAGTCTAGAACTTAACCCATGTATAGAACCCACCCAATCGGACGGTCCACCAACCAGCGAGCCAGACTGGTTTGGGCTACGCGCAAGCTGTTCCAAACGCGGTGACGCGGCCCTGCGTCAATTTGGCCCATGATGAATTCATGGCATGACACGCTGCTGTGGCTATAAACGCTCTGCCCACGAGGCTGGTTCGGCTGCATTTAGTATCTCCCCGCAAAAAAAATTGCTTCCATTGCCAAACCCCCGGCCTAAGGCGGTGCTAAGTATAAACCATCTCCTGTAGATCCCGTGTTTCACCTTGCGCTTGCTCAGGGCCAGTTTCACAAAAACGCCTTCAAAAGTTCCTTCGTGGAAAGAACACACAATGAGATGATATGTGCCCGTCGTCCCATGTTTCCTCGTTGCTTCTTGTCTCGAGTCGTGTGTACATCAATGGAGAGGCTTACGACGAGAGCAGCCCGCTCTCAGCCGATCGACGGCAAGCTCGCATGTGCTGCGCATGCCCGCTCTTTTCTGCACGCGTGTTTAACCAGACTGATCTTCATCTGATCTACAATATTGAACGCGCGTGTGGCTTTTTACCAAGCAGCGTGGCAGGTGAGTAAGCCAGGAACCAGGAGCTGATGTGCCATTGTTTGGTTTAGACCGGCCAGTAAACTATGTATTGGGCTGCAGTGGTGGTTGGCTGGCTGGCCCATCTCGCTTCTCGACCCTACCGGGAAAGAGGAATTGGGTACCGTGCCGGCAGACCATGGTCCGTTGCCTTGTCGGGAGCCCACCTGCCAACCTCCGGTGCCCCGGTGCCGGTGCTACTCTTGCAATGAACTCATATCCCGTCACTCAATCACAAATCGCGCGAGAGCGCCGATCGGTGGGCGTGTCTCCATCGGGGGCTCATCCAAGGCAAATTCTTGTTCGAGAAAATTATGGAGCCCATTGTCGTCACACACTGGCCACCAAGTTGTCGTTCGCCCTGTTTGTTGTCTGTCGACACAAACTTGAGAGTGTTACCAGCCAATCCAGCTTCCACGTTGCCCCGACCTTCTTGTTTCTGTTCCTGACAAAAACTTGCCTTGCGTATTCTTTCGACGGGTCCTGCGATGACGATCATTACGCAGACCGCTTGGGGCGCACGGTATCACCAAAGGTACCAACCAGATGTAAACAGGCTGCCGATGATCATTTGAAAGAACTTGCCTGCTGCAGTGTGTGCGATATCGGATGTGTTGGCTGCTAGTGAAAACATGCTGGCAATCTATTATAACTCACAGGTGGTCTCACTTTAGATACTGTTACACAGTAATTTACATCACCAGAGCAGCCAAGGATTACCCTCAAGGTTGATGGACTAAGCAATGCCACAATCTTATTGCTTGTTGATCCCTGGCTTGTGAGGCTGGTGTGCTGTCTTGTGGGTAGTATGCTTGACTTTCAGATCACCATGGGCATATAGACTGAGATTACCACTTACTGGCAAAATCCAGGGCCAAAAGCACCTCTCGAACATTTCTACATACCTTGGCCAATTCAAAATCGTGGTCGTATGGTATAAATTAATGATTATTCATTACTTTGGACATTGGCATTTTCGTACTTTCATATTACTGAGGCACTGAAATTCGCAATCGGTATGTTTCATGGGACGTCAAACTGGTTGGTATATTGTCTGCAGAATTGTTTCCCAACCCTTATTGGATCTCAATGTGTCCAGAGAACGCCAAATGGTCATACATCCTTGAAATCATACGAGGCCAATTCGAACGTACTTTTTTGCGCCTGAGAAGTGACGCTCTGACTAGGGATAGCCGGACGTTACCTCAACGTCTAGAGGCTCTGTTTCCTCCAATCCATAGGGAAGTATGAAATTTCGCAACTCTCGTGCATCCACCGTCTTTTCGTCGTGTTCCTTGGTTGAGAACTGACGCATGAACGACGGACGTGCAACAACATGCACGTGTAGATGAGGCACGGACTGGTCGGGCCAAAGATGAAGTCCATAGTTGAAGTCATCAACCTTGAGTTCGCGGGCGACAGACTGCAGGCAGTCCCAGCGGTTGGTCGACTCCGTGGCTCGATCTTTGGCTTTCTGTACCTCCTCCTGGAACCGTCGAGGGTTCGAATCTCTGTCTGATTCAACATCCTTGATCTGTACTTGTGCGTTTTCATTGATAGCATTGCGTTGATGCTCTACAACTTGAGTTCGAAAGGAATGATTGGCACATTCTACGCCCCACCTTGACTCAAAGAGGCTAATGATATCGTCAATGATATTGCAGTTATCTGGAGTCAATGATACCCCGTTGAATATCTGCGCCCTGGGAATACCAAGAAGATGGATGAAGGACATGCCGGCCTTTTTGGGATCCTTGGGGTGCTGTTGCGTATCAAAAGAGTGAAGGTTGCCAATGATGAGGGCCTTGTCGTTTTGTGCAAACACCACAGGGTCTGAATCCAGCAGCTCGTCCGGCTGGAAACAGTTGGACTTCTTGATCCACTTCTGGGCATCTCGATACTCGTGATATTGATCCCCGCGCAGGTACGCATCAACGTCGGCCTGTGCCTCTGGGTACGACCAAAACAAGTTGTATTGGTCCCGGATCTTTTCGACTTTGTTGGTGAAGTAAACGTCTTTGCTGGTAAGTGTCATCTTGTCTGATCGGGGTTCGTTGCTGATCTGCTTCAATAAGGAATTGTGCTATATGCTTCTGCGTCCTCCTGCCAAATCGCACCGTTAAATACAGCGCAAAGTTGGACTCCGACACACGCTTCTCTGACTTGTTGTGATTCATTCATGGTGAGGGTGGAAGCGCTGCCTCATAGACCAACTTGACGATTGTGCATTGAAGAGTAGCGACTCCGTTAGTTGTCGAAACGTTGTTGTGTCAATAGGGCAGGGATGAAAACAAAGAAAAAGGGAAAAATCTGGAAATGGCGGAAGAGCAGACAAAGAGCCAGGACGTTTTTCATTGACAAGTCAGCTAAGCAATGGATGGCGCAAACACTAAGGGGGTAGGCTAACACGGTGCTCTTTGTTCGCATGAGTAATGTATTTGATGGGTCTGAGGAATGGCCTGCTGACATTGTCAGAGAGAGCAAACTCGACATGGGGGGAAAAAGAGCCAAGGCCGGCCGGCATCTAACGAGCCAACAGGCGACACCCAACAGTTGTCTATTTGTCTATTTGTGACTTGGGGATTGTAGATTTTGTGCCTCGTTGTTGTAGTCTCATTTTTCTTGCACCACATGCAAAATTTACCAAGCCACGAGTCACAATAAAGTTGCATGCCATAAGATGCATGAAATCCAAATTTGAACCGTGCCCACAAATCGGCTAGCCAATTGAGTGGTGGCGGGCTGGCGCAGCTAGGCAGCCATTTGCTAATACCCGAGTGGAGCACAAGAGTATAACATCTCTAAAAATTGTGGGCATATTTCCAAACACCTGGTTGGTCTTTCTGCTGAGCCGCCATTGGAGATGCATGTGTAGATTTTGGCTGCTAGGTATGGGGCAGACAAGAGGGAACTCTGCATGTCCTTTTTATCTTCCCGTAAAGGCGACCCATCCTATGCTGTCAAGAACCGTGAATCAGTCTTGTTCCCATCTGATTGCCCAGCAAGGCATCAAAGTAATCCGGTGTATTCACATCTTTACAGCCTCGCAGCCTTGCCCTCGCCAATTTAGACCTCTCTCTGTATCTCCATCAAGATTCATTGCTTCATTCCGGTCTCCACACCCACTGTCAATAAATATCGGAACGGACTAATGTCTATAGACCTACCAGAACACGCACACTGCCTGAATGTTCCTCAGCACTGGAACTGGAGTCATTTGGTGTTATTGCATTGACATGTTATTTCCTGACAGGATGTGTAGCTGGAGAAATAGAGTAATAGTGAATTCAAACTGACGAACATGGTACCGAGTGCGTTAAGGTATTTGCATTAGACCATTGCAGGAGTCTCGTCAGAGTAAATCCTCGGAGTAAAGTAAAGTGATTGAGGTGTCGATGCAAGTGCAGACGGTAGACTACATTGGCCATCAAACAATGGCAGCTTAATGACGCAGGTCAAATGGCATTGATTGTAGCTGCACAGAGATCGACCACAGCTAGTGTGAGAAGCCTTCGCAAGGACAATCGATAAGTCAATGGAATAATCAATAGGTGATGCCTGCCAAGTGGTGAAAAAAATGGGATAATGGCAGAATGGAATAATCAAACCGCCGCCTGCAAACGGGGCCCGGCAGAAATCAAGACTCTACATCTCCTGACCCGGCGCCTTCCAATTTGTCGATTTTGCAACTTCCAACCCACAACTTCCTTCACCTTCCCAACTTCGATCCGAGTGCTTGCAGGACTTGCGCCCGCCGTGTCGGTCCAGATTGAATTTGGTACTTCTGTTCTTATTTTTCAAGAACCCATCGTTGACAGTCTTGTCCTTCTTCGTCGCCATCAACATCACACTTTCCATTGCCAACTGCTGTCAGAGCACTTGCCCTCTGGCTAAGTGCTGGACAGACGGGCTCATTTCTGTCGTCGGAGCTCTTGCGCATCCAACCTTTTCTTTCACTCCGACCGCCACATCACTCCATCGTCGACATTGACAACATCGCACCAAGCGCCTCGAATTCCTATCCCAATTTTGCGACGAGCCGTCAGAGATCCACCTCGGGATCTTGTATGTATACTGTTGCTGTTTGCTCTGTGTACTTGTCGACGCCGATTCTTTTTTTGGGTGAGTTTTGATCTCTGCACAAATTTTCGCCTACCTGCCAGTTTTCGACTCATCGTCGTCAACGTGTCTTTTCGCGCGCCTTCACGTTCACGATAGCTTCATTCTGCGCCTGCATCTTTGCGACAGCTTCACTCCGTGCAACTGCCTCCACGATGGCTTCATTGCGCGCCTTCAAGTTCTCGCTTATGGAAGCCCATGCCAAGTGGCCCAGCTACAAATTCAACAACAAAGTCCAGACTCTCAGCCTTTTCATTATTCACAATCAACACACATTATTTTCACTCCTCAACTTCAGAACCATCACTCAACCATTCTCAACCTATCCACCATTCACAATCACCACTACGTATCCCCACAACACTGGCATTCTCAACAAGACCCGTCTCCAAGCAGCGGGTACATATACGTTGTTGAGAGTGTCTTCCACCTCTGCTCGCGTGTCTGCACTCCCCCAAGGTGCATACTGCTCGCCTGCTCGTTTTCTTGAGTGCATTCTCCAAGCATCTCATATTTCCAAGGGCGAATTTCGCCATCGAACCACCATATACCTTCCTATCTTGACTGATTCTGTCCCTTTACCACCAACCAACACCATTATTCAAAGTCACACACATCTACACATTTACCCATACACACTCTTACCTGAGTCAAGCACATCTCTCCAAAGCTATATACGTTCTCGGCAGTTCACGGTCAAGCAGAGGTAGTCCACTGCCTCCGTTCGAACTACACGGAACTTATATGGTACACATTCAAGTTCACTGCCTCCGTCCGAACTTCCCAGAACATATATGGTGCATCTTCACGTTTACAGCGAATTTCGCCATCGACCATTACCCATACCTTCCTTGATTGCCTTGGTCCTCTGACTATCACCTTTCAACCACTCCTCAAAGCCACATATACGCCTTGAACCGTTTAGGTCAAAGCACCTTGCACTCCTGCTTCCGCCTGAGCGTTCAAGGACGTATATTGTGCGTCTTCACGATCTCCAAAGTCCATACTGCGCACCTTCACTTTGACAACGAAGTCCGTCGTTAAGCATACCTTCCTCGACTGCGGTTGTTCCCTCCTCATCACCCTCTCCCTTTACTCAAGGCCATACACATCTTACTAAGTTCACAAAGACCAAGTGATATTACTACTTTCGTCTGAACCCAAAAGACCTTACCTGACAAACAACTACAATATTTCCTTGCATCCGAATTTGGTTCTCACCATAATACTGTCTGTGTTGGTCTGGACTTAGCCACTCCTTTCCAAATCACCACTGCCTTCCTTCCGTCTTAACTTTTATTCCGTCTGAACCTTTCCCACTCTTCAGACCACCAGATCTCCTTCTATCTGCTATCAGCGTTCATTTATCTTCCACCAATATCCCCTGGTCTAGCCCTATCCGATACCCGTATCCTTGACCATTATCTGGTCTACCGCAACCATGATGACGAGAAAGGAGCTCATCAGACGCTTCTACTCGAGGCTCCAGAGCTGGCAGCATCGAGATGTTGCTGTTCGAAAGCATGGCATGGCCGAAATCAAGAAGTTTCTCAAGAATCATCCTGGTTGCGCTCAAGTTTGGGTTGATTCTGTCCCGGAAGCACATCTGACTGAGGAGGCAACTATGTCTTTGCAATTGCCTCGTTTTCTACAATCTCAGCTGGATACGCAGGCGTACTTTGCTAACGCTGTCAGACCTTCTGAACAGGTTTGCGTCACACTACGATTCGCCGCCGCACATCTTTCCACTTCTCAGGGCTGTTCGTTTCCGACGCTGTTCCGTGGAGTTGAAAACGACGATAACCAGAGAAGCTTCTGCGTGTTTGCCTATCTCGACATCGAGATGGCCTCTCGAAAATATTCGATTGCCGAACTGATGGAGCTCAAAGGCGCAAATGTCTCCAGCGTCCTCTTGGATAAGCTCAACGGCAACACAGACATCCGTAAGCGATTCTTCATTAGCGTGGTGCTCAAATACACATCCATGGTTGATATTTGCGCATGATGGAAAATGACTAACAACTACTAGGTGATGTTGTTAGACGCAATTCTACTACAAAGCCCCACCGTCCGAAGCGAGCAGATGACGGAACTCTGTCATCGTCTACCGACAGCGAGGAGCAGATTGTCTTCAAAGGCAAGAGATTGAATCGTCACCCTATCAACAATCTGGATGGCGAAACCCAATGGAGTTACAGAGGCCGCAACGCTTCCGAGCGCAACTCCAATGAACCCATTGCTGCTCCCACCGGCCTCGATGCTCAGCAGAACGAAGGGTTTCAGCGCTTCTTCAAGGCAGTCGTGTCGCCTACTCACGTACGTGTCACCGCTGGAGGACGCATTGTCCCCAATACCCGCGGAACAACTTCTCCCTCAGCAAAATGGGACTCGGAGAGAGCGGGCCATGAGAGCGATTCGAGTGATTTGACCAAGAAGGTCAACCAAAGTGAGACTGTTGCCACTCACAGCATCAGTGACCAACAGCCAACCCCAGCTACAGTCATCCCTCCCATGATGCTACAGCCCATGGCTCATCCGATCTATGCTGGTATCTCGCCCATGTATGCTCCCATGCCGGTCTTTCCCATGGCCAATGGAATGCCTATGCCTTACGGTCTACCTCAATCCCAACTACAGTCTGGCTCTGATGTTAGCTCGACACCTGGTCTTCCATTCCGAAGCGAGAAGCAGGATGAGAGCCAGTCTCGCATGGCCAATCCTGTAACCGACCAAGAGGACCAGAAGACCAAGCCAGGCCCCATCAAGATCTCACCGCCAGAGCAGTTCGACCAGAATCGACCTTACTTCCTCAACGGAAACGTGTACTACCCTGGTAGTGGTCCATTGCCTGTGCAGGGCCAGCCAACCCCGATTACACCCTACTTTAGTGGCGTGCCCGTTCATCCATCGGTTACTCGCATTGCCTCGACCGGTCAGCCATCTCCTATGCTGCCAATGTCTAGCCCGTATGGATTGATGTCGCCAGGTTTTGTCCCTCACGTGGGTGCAGAAGTCACAAACACTCCTCAATCAGATGCCAAGTCTGTTGCAACACCACGTGTAACCACCACAAAGACTCACATGACCTCCATCAAGCCGAGCCAGATCACAAACAGTCAGCTTACAACACTTCGTTCTCAGCTCAAGTATTTCGAGGACCAGCTCCAATACAACAAGCATCAGATTGACGAAAGGGCTACTCAGGATCAGGTCCAGTCGCTTCGCAAGACCATCGAGAGTTTCGAAGAGACTTACAAGAGACAGATCAAGTTTGAGCAGTCTATGCGCTCGGAAGATGAGACAATTGAGACCACCACGGGCTTGACCCAAGGACCACCCCCAGTTCAAGTCAGAACTCCCTCGACGCCAGGCTTCAACAAGAACTTCCCGATCGGCACCTCGCACATGGATGCAGCGAGATCCACTGAACAGCTACACTCACAGACCATGATCGATCAGCTCCGTCAGAAATCCTATGCTGATAGACGCCTACGAGTTGGTATCAACTGTTCCAGAAATACGGATACCAGCGAAGCCTTGGGAGCTCTGGAGGCACATCTGATCAAGAGCAAGAAGACCTCTCTTCCCACAAGAGCAGCAATGGCCCCCATCTTTGAGCCCAAGAGCGAAACACCTTCTGTGCAAGACCCCAGCGACTTCACTTCTGTCACTGATGCAACTCTCGCAGTCCAGTCTCCTTGGGAGCAGCCCAAGATCCCCACTCCGTATCTTGTAGGCCAATTGCCTGTGGGCATGAGTGTTGCAACTGCTCGCCCATCAGACTATACCTATCTCAGAGAACTGAGTGATGAGGAGAAGCGTGCCCGACATGTATACTGGGGCGGCATTTCTGTCAAGGGCTCTGGTCTTCCCAAGTTTGATGGCAAGGATTTCTACCCTCCATCGCCCGTCAAGTCACTGGAAAACTCAATCCTGACAACTAGACCGGATACTACTCGCCGCACCGAGAAGTCGGAGGATCCTTTCAATATGGGTCAGGCTATGGATATTTCTCGAACTGCCAAGAGTACTAGAAAGATCAGCCATGCTGTTCCTATCATCAACCCTGAGACTATGGCTCGCGAGAACGTGGATGTTACTCCCAAGGCTGGCACCAACGCCGGCATGCGTGGCAACATGGACGCAGAGAAGCTGCGCAAGGCTGTCCGTGAGAAGCCACAGTCGTCTCCTACGAAGACATCTATGGCAACAGTCAATGAGGGAATGCAGGCTTTCAATGTCCGTCGTGGCTTGGATCGATCAAGGTACTAAGATTCTTTCCTATATTCGGAGGCAAATTACTTATAATGCACAGCAAGGGTTCCAGCAACGACCTCTGGCAGAGTATGATGAAGAAAGGACCGACCAACGGTCCTGCTACTATCAGCTCAGTCTCGTCAATGACTGCCAATGGCTATCTCCCGCAATTCGCCGGCCACGCTGCTGCATCTCTGTCGCCTGCCATCACAAACGCCAATAATTCACTGTGCAACTTGCCGGGTATGAAGGCCGACAATGACAACGCCACACAACAACCCAAGATGGAGAAGATGGGAGAGAATCGTCCTCCGACAAACCACGACGAGATCATCGCTGATCTCCACAAGCGCGTATTCCGCGAGGCTGAGCAACGTGGTCTTCTCAACTCTACCTGGCATTAGGATGAACATGGTCCCTCCAAGAGTCGTCGTATGAACCAGTTTCTCACGACCCGTTATCGTTCATCTTTAGCGCGCGATGTCGATGACAAGTCATTTTTCTTTCATTTGATATCTCATCATCGTTTGTTTTAGCCTCACCTGTACAACCCAGGGCAACAGGTTTAAGGGCCAATGATATGCGATGGCTTTATGCAATTCATGTTTTATAAGCAAGGGAACGAGTGCCGATATGAGCCAACGTTATAATACCGAGATGGTACCCAGTATATGCTTCCAGTATTTCGATGGCAAGAATGGCCGAGGTCTCCTCTTTTGATGATGGGAGCATCGAGACAGTATCTTCAGATAGATGAATACATTTGATCAAACAATTTGAGCAGAGACAGTGATTTTAAATTTGAGAGACAGTTTATTGAAGAACTAGTACATACCTTGTTGTGAACGACCTTGTGTACTGATATGCTTGACAAGATGGTAGTACTAGTGCCTGAGAAGTCTGATAGCGGCACGTGTGCTACCATCCTGTTGTGATTATCTCTTGGTCTGATCCCACGGTTGGTAAGTCAAGACAACATACCATCAAGATTGACATTGTCCAGGGAAAGTTCTTGGGTGAAGCGTCAGATTGATGTGTATTCATTGCAAGTAAAACGGAAGGCTTTCATATTACAGGGCATCAAGTTGTTGGGACACCATACAGTCCAAGGACTTGTTATAATGTGCCTCACCATCAAACTTTCAACATCACAATGATATATTCCGCGAAAGTCTGCAGGCGAGAGCGAAGGAGCGGTGATTCAAGTTTGCTCCCCCACTTGGTTTGCTCTTCGCCAGTCGTATACCTCGGAATCCATTGGTCTTGTGGCTAACGAGGAGATATCCTAGCGGTTGTCCTTTTATGGAGGATAGATAGGGAAACGAGTCACTAGTGGAATGATATTTTGTCTTACCTTTTATGGTCGTTGTAGTATACAATGCTGGCTTCGAAGTTGGGAAACTTGCGAGCCGGTTTGGCACTGATAACTCTGGACGGTGGAATGGGAGAGTAGAGCTGATCATCATCACGCCGTGGCAATAATGGAGCATGTCAAAAAAACAAGCAAGGGCTTCGGGATAAACCTCCCATGGAGCATTTCACAGCTTGGTAAGAAGCAAGCGAAATGGCCATTGTGTGCGTGAAACTGTTCTCTTTTGGTGCAGTCGTGCATCTAAATGCTGAAACCCAAGCAAGTCCCCCCATTCCGCTTGGCTTCCCATCCACGATGAGAAGGGGCCAAGGGAAGTGATTCGCAAGACGCCAGATGTCCCTTATCGACTTCGGTATAAATGCCATGCCGTCCATGTCATTGATTTTCAGAACTCGTCAAAATATTTCGTTTTCCGTTTTCCGTCCACCGGTTTTTCGTCTCTTGATTCGTGTCGTTGCTCATCCGCTTCTCAGATCGTGCGAATGTCTTGAGATTGTTCGTTCGTGTTTGTAGGGGGGTTTAGATGCTGTCGAGTAGTAGAAGAATGTCCGAGAAAGGGACATTTAAGCCTTCTGCTGCTTGGCGCGGAGCTCACGGCCGACCTTGATGCGCTCCAGGATGGACTCACGGTCCTTGTCGAGCTTGAGCTTGGTGACGACGACCTTGGAGGGGTGGATGCCCAGAGGAACGGACTGGCCGGAGGCCTTGTCACGGGTGACACGCTCGACGTGGATCACGTACTTGAGACGGTAGACGGAGGTGACCTTGCCCTCACGGCCCTTGTTGGAGCCACGGACAATGGTGACCTCGTCGTCCTTGCGGATGGGGATGCTGCGGACCTGTAGAAGGGAAAGATGGAAATGTTAGACTGGGGTCTTTCTGATTGTAGGGGTGTCTGCACGGTCGTGCGTCGTTCAATGTCGAGTAGATGAGGGCAATTCGTTTCTTACGTTGTACTTCTCACGGAGCTCCTTGGAGAGAGGGGCAGACATGATGTTGCGGCGGACCGACGAGGGAGCGCCGAAGTGAGCCTTTCTCGACTTGCGTCGGGAGCTGGCGATACCTAAAGGCAATCAAATCATGTTAGTAATCGAGTTTCTTCTTTGCCGTTACAGAGCGACGACGAGCAGGAATTGGGATCGTTTCATACCGGATGCAGCGTGCTTCGACATTTTGGCTGTGGGTTAGTCGGGTCTGGTGTGGTGTTGACGGGGACTGAAGTCGAAGAAATTGGGCGGGCACGAAGATCGAGGAGGGAAAAGAGAGACTTTCAAAAGACCAGCTCGGCTCGAGATTTCGGGTCCTGGCGCAAAATCAAAAATTTCTGGTGGACGTTTGTGGGTTGTAAATTGAAAAAGGTAAGGCGCCTGGCCCTGGCTACGTAAAATTGTGGCTGACAGAAACAGAATGTGGCTAGTGTAGTTGGAAAAGCACGGACTCCGAGCTGTCCCACTGAGCTCCCAGTCACTTAGTGGGGTCACCGCCGGAGTCTTTGTGCGACGTTGAATGATGCCCCGCAACTTTATCAGTTCATGCTCAAGCAGAAGAACCAAGATGATTCGAACAGAACCGAATACATGAGCATTTATTTGGTTTGACTCTAGCTCCATTTCTTGGCAATCAGGGACGCTTTCACAGGACAATCAGAACATGATTGCAAGTATATTGGCAGGATCTTGGCTGCTTCTGAACGGCCTGCGTGGCTGGCAGCGGAACAATTCCTCAACCAGGTATCGAATTCCGTTGGATGATCTGATGTGTTGTTTGGTCATTCTATCTGGGTCACATCCATCCTTAAGGATCATAATCGAGTAAAGCGTTTAGATTGGCAAGGGCAAAAGCGTCCCAGACATTCTGCCAAATGTTCAAATACTTATTTTTCGATCGAGCATTGTACAAGGGCATCATGGATCTAGATTAGCAAATATCACCATGATGCCCTGATTGCTGGTCTCGCAAGCTCCTTTTCCATCCAGCTCTTTATTCCAATCTCGTGACTATAAGCGAGTCAAGTGTTTGGCTACTGTCCCTGGTATGCATATTTCGAGTCTCCGCTAGCTGGAAACCCATTAGCTGTTACCATGCCGTCAGCTAGTTATAAGACCAGGGTTACCTGCATCCATGGCGCCCGTTCAAGCAAACCATGAGGACCTCGGTCACGACCCACGAATCGTCTTTGCGTACTCTGTATTGCCTTGTTCGCTTCCGAGTTGCAGCCAACTGATAGTCTGTCACCATGGCCGGGGATCACGGATCGGATACTGTGGACACGGCACATCATGTCTCACCTCCTCATGACGCCACAACCGAAAGCGCCTCACTAGATGATGATAATCATGAGCCCGATAGGTCTCGGGATTCTGCGCTCTTTGGCGGCCAGGATGAGATTATCAGTCAACTCGAAGTAGATTCAAATCGGTCCGATAATGACTCCTCGCTGGGATCCGAAATCACCTCGTGAGTTGTGGTGGTGACATGTCTACAAGCGTGGGCTCACATTGTAGCAGCATGTCGACTTCGTTGAGGAGTGAAGACTATGAATTCAGATATCACCATGGAAGGAGATATCAAAGCTCCAATGACGCATATCACCTGCCAAATGACATTGTATGCTGGCACTTTATTACACCTTTGTAAGCTGTCGTTTCAGCAAGGCCCGAGATGACCTAACCTTGTCATTGTCATATATACAGCAAGAAATGGATCGTCTGGAGCTGCAACATTTAATATGGCTGGAGCTCTGCGGCGGACGTCACAACCTCGCGCCCATTGATCAAATCAACGTGACACACGTCCTCGACGTCGGCTGCGGTACTGGCAACTGGACCATTGACTTTGCCAACTTGCACCCCGAGATCCAGGTCGTGGGGACCGACTTGTCGCCCATCCAGCCCGAGTATGTGCCCGTCAACTGCACTTTTTACATTGACGACGCTACTCACGAATGGTCCTTTCACCAGCGCTTTGACTACATTCACGTCCGCGCCCTAACCATGGGCATCGCCGACTGGGACCGCCTCATTGACCAGGCCTACAACTTCCTGCAGCCCGGCGGCTTCCTCGAGCTGCAAGAGTTTCATATCCCCATTGAGTCGCCCGACGGCTCCATCCGGCAAGGCAGCGCCCTGTGGCGCTGGGGCCAGGCCATCCAGCGCGTGTGTGCCCGCCTCGGCATTGACTCGATGGGGGCGCTCAAGCACCCCGAGCGGCTGCGGCGGCGCGGCTTTGCAGCCGTCGAGGAGCTTCACCTGCGGGCGCCGCTCGGGCCCTGGGCCAAGGGCCAGCGGCAGAAGCGCCTGGGGTGGATGGGCCGAAAGGACTTGTACGAGGGCATTGACGGCATTAGCAAGAAGTTATTTGTCATGATGGGCGAGGGCACCGAGGACGAGGTCGACAAGTTCTTGGAGGAGTGCAAAAGCGAACTCATGGATTCGTCGGTAAATTTGAATTTCCCTCTCCATCTATCCCGTGACTTGGGCAGAAAGTTCCGAGTAAGTCTTGTGAGCGGGCCGTGTCACTGACTCTGAGCGTACAGATACATCCATGTATGCCCCTGGACGTGACTTGGGGACAACGACCCTTTGAAAGCTAAGACATCCTCGGGAGTCAGAGCCATTGAAGATGATTGAAGCGCTTTCAAAGATGGGAGCCATCATAATTGAAATCATTTATTTCTTGGCTGTATTAGACTTGGAGACGGCTTGAGTCGGCGGTAATCATGACATCGAGGTATCTATTCAGATGGACAGTAATCCACCGAACCACTGTTTTGACAAAACGAGATGTGGATTTGCAAGATGGAATGAGTATGTTTGAGCATTGAATATCTCAATTCCGCAGTAATAATCATGACTAAAAACGGTTACAAAATCACAATCCGTACCACGTGGCGACGGCTACATGCCGTGCCTGTGCCAAATCTTGACATGAACTCTGATGATGGCTGCTGTTCGTTGATATATTCAGATACTATTGGTTCAATGTTGCGTACCTAGTATAAATCATTCATCTTGACTTGTGTTATTAGTTGTGTATTAGTTTGAGTAGGTGAGTATTGCCACACATGCAGATTCATGTCTACCAAAACCAGTATACTCCAGGACGCCGTTAATGCCAATTGTTTTGCTTGCCCTCGAGCGTCTACCGCATCTCATTCATAACCCCCCTTATCATGCCTGCCATCAATCCCTAGTCATATGTACACGTATTTCTTTCATTAAAAGGGCATATAAAGAATTTCATGTCTTTGTTCTTCTGCTGCGCAGCGTCTCTCGTGACTCCTTGGAAAAGAAGCCTAAGAGGACTTGACGACAGTAACCAGCTCAGTGCCAAAGATGCGATCCCAGAACTTGCTGGTGACGCCAAAGCCGAGCTCGTAGTCTAGGAAGTGGTGAGCAAGGTGGTACTTCTTGAGCTCCTTGTACCAGAGAGGGAGGTTCTGGTGGTGCAAAAAGTAATGCGTGAGATCGTAGCAAATGTAGCCAAAGATTCCTCCGCAGAATACGGCCGTGGCCATGTGCCAGTTCCAGTAAAAGATGGCATGCGCAAGCTTCCAGAACGGTGTTGCTAGCACGACGAAAAGCGTAGGCGGCATGACGAGGCGATATCTGTCCATGGGGAGGTAGTGGTGAACACCGTGAAGAAGGAAGTGCAGGGTAATGCCGACACGGTTATCGGGGAGATAACTAAGGAGTAAGGGTTAGCAAATACACCATCTGATCATTTCGGGACAGCAGACTTACCCGTCAAGATGGAACAAGAATCGGTGAAGAACGTATTCCACGAGAGACCACAGGAAGAGACCGAATCCAAAGCATGTCGCAACCTGGGTCCAGCCAGTGAGTCCCTCGTGTGAAGTGTATGTGCCGTAGGCGACTGGCGGTAGCCAGACCATGGGCACCACCCACCAGGGCGTCAGACTGAGAGGCTCGAGGAAGTTTCCAAAGAGCGGCGCACTGGCGCCTCCCTTGAAGTGTCTGGGGCGGTGAACCTGGTCGAGGTAGAACTCCTTGGTGAAGCCGCCCCTCCAGACCTGCATCAGCATGGGCTTGTTCAAGTCAATGAACTTGTGCCTCTTGTAATCGGTATCGTAGTCGGTGTCCTTGCTCAGGTCCTCCTCGCAGCTCATGCCCGTTCGCGGGTGGACGAAGGGCGTAACCTTTTCGTTGATCTGCACATCGTTGCCATTGACCTTCTTTTGCAGATCGTGATCGACCGCGATCTTCTCATTGACGACGAATCCCACCAGAGACTCTTCCAGAATCTCGTAGGCCGAGTCGGAGTGCGTGTGCGAGTCCTGGTCCTTGAGGATCTGGGTGATGTCCTTGCCTGCCCAGTCAAGGATAAGCTCGGGTCCGCCGGGATGACCCTCGAGAAAGTCGGTCACGTCGTAGACATTTGCGCCGATAGTGACATAGCAGGACTTGCTGCTGCTATGCGACTCTACCTCGGCCTGGGTCAGGGTTGGAAGGGTGCGCGATGGCATGGTCGCGATATGGTTTTTTTTTTATCTTGCTGGCTTCTGCTTCTTCCGATTCAGGACGACAGGGGTATTTTCAACAGCTTCAAGCCTTTTTAGGTTTTTACAGGCAAGGAGCCTAAAAACAGTTGAGAAACTCTGAAGTTGAAGGAGTGGAAACTCAGGATAATAATGTCTAGAACCTGACAAGGAGAAAAAGAGGAAGAAAAAACACAACCACGGGGCTTGGTCAGCGTAGGCAAAATAACCAAGAAACCAAGCAAGCGCCTTTGGGATTTGTTTATTTGGAAAAGATCTAGGTTAGGTGGAGTTTTAGGGGTTTAATGAAGATGCTGGACACCGATCGACAGAGAGTGGCGCTACCACGTACTTTGTAGCGCGCGGAACTGCACGCTGCCGTGGCGCGTTGGGTGGCCTGACTGTCGTGCAACCCCCCGTAAGGGCCCTGTAAAGAAAAGGATTCTCGCTACCATGCACCTACCTATTACCTAAGCGGACAACAATGCTTGAAAGGAGACGGCGGCCTCGAGTGCATTCACCTGGGCAGTCGACGGACGCCGAAGAAGCCGAGATTGACACTTGTGAAATTATTAACCAAAGCAAATCCCGGCCTCTTTTTTTTTTTGGCCACGGAATGCATCAAAATCATGATCAGTTTTCTTCTTTTAAGTCGGACCTGGTGGCGTAGACATCTAAGTGTCATTAAGGATGCCAATTGCCCAAAGTATCACATTAACAAATCCAAACCCCGAATATGTATCTTATAGAACCAGACTCATGTTAGGGATAGCAATTGTAAGGTCTCTAACCACCTGCAAGGGTAGGTGACCTTTGCTTGTATTCTTATTATCTCGTGTTCCTTAGGCATCATCAAAATGCCAATGATTTCCAAAATAAATAAATAAATAAAAACGCCTTGTGCCATGCAACGAACGCTCTCCGAAATGCTAAGCGCCTCCTTCAATCCAAACCACCATTGCCATGCTGTATAAACCTACGCCATTGTACGTCCGTATTTTTTTCCGAAACCATGCCATTGACTTCGTTTGACTTCGTATGCCTTATTCACATCCTTCAACTGAAGACGTGCCAGAACTGATGTGCAATCATGACTCCCAGTAATGCATTTCCAAGCATTCCGCAATTGACATCTTGCCCGCCGGTCGCCCATATCTTCCAAACAAGCGCCAGCGCCGCAAAGACTTGCGCATATCCCAGAGTTGCCCACGACAAGGAAAAGACAGTTGGTTGCTTTCCATGCCTCACCTGCGCATTAACTAGCAGATCGGCCGTCAACCTTATGGATACGATGAGGCATGCGCAGATTGCTCCGAGTCCCAGTGTCGGACCATATGACTCCTCGGTTCCCAGTGCAGTGACCCAAGACCAAAGCGCGCCGAAGAGAACAACCAGTTCAGCCATGCGCTCCTTGCTATTGTTTTGCAATGTCACGGGGGTGCCATCAGCGGCCAGAATGACATTTTTCGTGCTCTTTCTAGCTGCTGCCCTTCGGTCCTCTGGATCCGGACTGATACTAAAAGAGCCCATCATATTAGACAGTCCATCTCTGGGGTCATCTTTGGGACCGGGCGCATAAAACGATGCATCTTTAAGAATGAAACCAGAGTCATTCTGCTGAGAGCCCCCGCCCAGGTCAAGCGTTCTGCGTGGACTGGCGAAGAAGCTGTCCTGCCTCTCTTTGGGGCTCTCTCGTATAACTGGCTTGGGAGGATTTCGTAGCCTTTGTGCTGGAGTTGTAGGTGCTGGCGGTACTTTGTACCAGAACGCACCGGGTTTGGGATCAATCGGTGTATCATTGAAGCCCAGCGGTGTATTGGCGAACCTTGGATTCGGGTTCTTGACCTTGTAAGGGTTATGGGTACTAAAGGCCCTGTGTTGGGAGCCAGATGGCGACCAATCCATCTCGTCGCCGTTGCGCGTCGGTTGGGTTTGAACTCCAGGACTGATGGGTGGGCTAGAGAAACTGAGTGAGCCGAATCCATTGCCCACTCGGTCCTGGTGATGGCGTGATGGTGTACCAAAGGAACCATTCTGCACAAAGCTTCCACCCCTGCTCACGCTGTAATATGGACTAGCAGTAGCGACCGTTGGCGACGAATCGATGTTGTTTATTGCAGCAGGTGGTGCATCTAGAATCTCGTCCAAGACTCCCGCCATGTCATTTGAAGGCCTTTGTGCTGGCTCTGCAACTCTCGGGGACCTTTCTTGGTACGAAGCAGCTTGTCGTGTTCCAAACAAGCCGAATAAGGAGCTGTTATCCGTTCGGATAGCTTTTCCTGCAACATTGTACACCTTTGGTGGTATCAGTATTACAGCTTGCCGCGACTTTCGAGGGTATACTCACATAAAATACCAGCCAACCGATGACGAGATGCGCGCCTAATTGCGCGATAGCTGAAATTTCCTCAACATCATTGTATTGGGACAAGAAGAGACATGCGCATCTGATCAGAATAATGACAAGCTGGTATGTATACCACTGCCGGAATCCCAGAATATGCGACGTAAAGCCTCTGATGGTCTGCTTGAAACGCGGGTTCCAGGCAAAGGCCACCAGACTCGTGTTAATGGCAAGTTTGATGAAGCGGTCGGATCTGGGTAATACTGCGATGATCCAAGCGCAGGTTTCGCGCAACACTGCCACCACAAAGTTGTTGCCACTTCCATGACCATGCTCGACAAAGACGATGCCCAGTGCCACAATATGCCACAAGGCCTGAAGAAGGAAGCCAAAGTGCCATATCCATTTTCCTGCCATGTCCACGTAGTCGAGAGCGGTGCGGGTTCTTGCCTGGTGTCGGCGCTGTTTTGTCCGGTCGATCAGCCGCCGCATGTGATCTGTCTTGGCGGTGTAGCTGGCTTTTCTCAGCTGCTCCTCGACCTTGGGCTCGCAGTCAATGCAGACCTGGGGGTATCTTGCTTCCAGGTCTCTCTTCCATGTGCGATAGCCTCTCATGCGCGCGGCATATTCAGAATCATTGGGGTCGTCTGGAAACTCGTATTCCTTCAGCGTCCTTGCAAGAATCTCTTGGTTCCGTTGGCATGTCGCGCAAAATATGGAGCTCGTCGAGCTGAAGACATCCATGAATGATTCTGGCGGCGGCGAGCCGAGCTCCTCGAAACTGAAAGACGCGTTGGGACTAGTCGCGATGCGAATCGGTGCGGCTGGTTGCGCGTCTGCTGCCGTGCTTGATGCTGGGGGATCTGTGATTCCTCCATTCTGTACGCGTTGTCTCTTGTTAGCGGTTGTTGCGCGATTCCATGTGCCTTGCGCAGCCATCATTTCTCTTCTGCTGATGCCGGCTTTGCCCTCGGAGGATGACGTACCTTGTCGAGCCAATTCCGTGCCTCGCAGTATCTGCATTCGAACGATTTCTGCCCGGTGAAGATGATATCTGATCGGCGACCACAGTAGAAGCAACTGAGCAGGTTTCTCGACCGCGAGCGCAAGGTCGGCACCATCTTTTCTTTCCTTCAAGCCCCCTGAGCTCCAGGGGTTCCTGCCGTCCTTTTCTCTGGTGGCGGTAAATTATTTCATTGATGCAATGCGCGTGGAATAAGGCGCGTTGGATTGGTCCAGTGAAGGCGACACTAAAATCAGTGCCGGTTGGTGTGTTTTCTCGAAAACAATTCGAAGCGCTGAGAACGCGACCTAGTGAGACCACTTGATTGACTTCAAATCCATCGGGCCGCTGCAGCGATTGTTGACTTGACCTGCAACCCCGATCCAACTTTCTGGGACCTTATCGCCTTATCAGTAGTATCGATAGTGGGGGGGTCGCCTGAATAGCAAGGAGAGAAGAGAGGAACAACAAGGAACGCAAATCCATGTCCATTGCCAAGCCAAAGAGTATAACAAGAAGAGCTTGTGGCCCACCAGCGCGTTATTCCCAGCGCGGGTATTGCAGTAGGTACTGGAGGCCTGCCACCTGTCGCTCAGTTGTCGCCGCTGTTTGTATGCCACCTTGCTTCAACCAATTGATCACATAGGGGGGCAATCCCCAGAGCGCCGACTACTAACTAACAACTACTGCCTTTCTACCTTGTAGGTTTATTTGCACATCAACATCTTTGGTCGCCGAGACATACAAAAAGGGACTTCTCAGCTGTAGTCCAGGAATGTTCGTGAATATTCCACTGTACATGAGTTTTTTTAGAACCTCTCTTGTTGAATTTTAGCTAATCATGAAACCAGGACCAAATATTGTGTGTCTTGGTGGTTGAGCTGACAAGGGGCCAAAGCTTCATGACTTGTATCAGCTCAATACAAAAGAAGCAGACAAATTTACATTGGAACCTTCTAGTCGCCGAGTTGCCACTTGTGAATCACGCAGACGGATAACGCCTCAGTTGGTTCATCCTTGTGAGCTTGGGAATCGACCGCGCACTCGGTTGACCGTCTTCCACAAAGCAGCTCTTGCCCTCTTGTGTCGCGGGTAGGCACTGCAAGACAGTCGCTTTCTAGCTGTGCGGCATTATTCTGCGCTTGGTAGAAGTGAAAAGGTGGAAGATCTAGTGATCATACTCAGGAGCTGTGGAGTCAAAACGACGACGACATTTGAGAGTGAGTTACTATTGTCCATCTAAGTCCCGATCACCAATCTCTAGTCGAGATTCCAATATCCCACATAGAACAGCTATGCCTTGAGGATACTGCGGCACAAAGTTCATTTGGACCTACAAGACACTTTTCAATAGGCAGTCAGAGAAAAGGATATCTGATAAGCAATTCGCTCAAGGTAACCGCTTTCGAAGACGAACCAAGTGTCTCTCTATCCCCTGAACTTCCACGAACAAGGCACTATAGACTCTATGAATTGATACCCAACTCAGGGGATTCAACCCCTGCCTCGTTCGAGGTAGACGCCGTCGTGTATAGGAACAAAAGGGTGCAATCCAAGACCTTCAGAGGCAACATATTCCTCAGCACCTCTCAAGATAGTGTCCCGGGCCACAACACACATGCTTGTCGCTTCATCTACAAGCTGGAAGCAGTACAAAGGCTCGCTGTCGTCGTTGGATCAAAGAGTGCCGACCAGTTGACGAAGGTATAGCCAAAGTAGCATAGGCACAAGTCACTTTAGGGTCAAACCATGACCGACGATATGGATCTCCATCCAAGCAATCTGCCCAGAGCTTCTCTGGCAGAAAGCTCCGCTACCAGTATTGACAATGCTGCATTCCCGAGACTTCGAGCAACTTCAAAACTCTCCAGCACCCACGCAGCTTCCACTCATTCTCCCCCAACCCAACAACAACAACAACAACAACCGTCACCACAACCATCACCACAATCATCACCCACATCTAGCGGACCACAGAACAAGTCAGAAGAAAAGCAAGCAGCCATGGGTCCGACTGAGGAGGCGATCGCCTCATCGGTCTATCACCATGCCGACTACTTTGGCCCCATCGTGTACAGCGCTGGCGAGACCATTTTGCCCCCCATTCTCCTCATGCTTTCCGCCATCTTCTTCTTCTTCGCCGACAAGGTTACCATGGTTGTCAGTAGCCTGCTCACCATCGTCTTCATCCAGCAGTACAAGGTATGCTTGAAAATCGCGATTGATTTCACAAAGTGACCATGCTCACCAAACCTCAAGCTGCTCAAGTACCAGTACCTCTCCTACAAGCAACGCCGCGAACAGGATGACGACGGTCCCGGATACGGTGCACCCTTCTTCTTGCCCGTGTTTCTCAAGGCGATGCATCTATTCAACCTGTTTTTGGTAAGTATCTTGCCCCTCTTCCTCTCATCGTGATAAAGAAAAACTGATTCAACCAGTGTGCTGCAATATTCTTCGTCCTACTTGCCTGCGGAGCTGCTGCCATTTCTCCCAACTTGGCTTACTGCCTCATGGTCCCTCCTTTCGTCCTGTCCCAGTGCATCTACTGGCCTGTTCATGGTTACGTAGGTATCTCCTTGTCTGTCACCTGGAGAGCAACATTCTAATTATCAAACATAGAACCTCCACCGCAACATCACCCAGTACCGACCTATCGATCGCGCCGACATTCGCAGATCTATCCAACAGGCTACCCGACGCCGCTGGTTCTATAGCCATGGAGATTTCTTTCTCATCTTTGCTGGCTCTGGAGGACACACAACCGAGATCCTCAGCTTGATGCGACTGTTTGAACCCTTTGACAAGTCCTTCTACCGTCGTTACATCATCACCAGCGGAGACGAGCGTTCTAGCGATATGATCAAGCAGTTTGAGGAAGAACGCGCCCAGCGAATGGGAATGGTACGCCAGATGCCAGGTGTCTACGAGATTGTTTTCGTCGCCCGAGCTCGATACGTTGGTCAGAGCTGGCTCACTACGCCCTTTACCGCTCTCTGGTGCATCTTTGACTGCTACCGCATTCTCAACATGGGCCGCCCTCACGCCATGCCCGGCGCCACAGTCGAATATCCGCAGACCATCGTTTGCAACGGTCCCGGCTCATCGTCAATGTTCGTCCTCGTCTCGCACCTGATGCGCATGTACGGTCTGATGCCGGCCAACCGCGGCATGACCGTCTTCGTCGAGTCAATCGCCCGCGTCTGCAGCCTAAGCCTGACGGGCAAGATCTTCTACCATCTGGATCTTGCCGACGCCTTCGTCGTCCAGCATCGGGGCGTAGAAGACGTCTACCCCGGCGTCTTCTGCGAGCCGATGCTGGTGAAGCGGCTCTACCCCCCTGGGGTTTTGCCCTTTGGCTGGCGCTGAGGGGGGAGGGCGCAGGCGTGGGCGCGGGCGGCGGCGGACGGGTGGTGAGGCCCTGAGGCCGCAAAATGGATTGCTTTAAAAGTCTCCTTTCGGAGCCGCCGGGGGCGCCCCCGGCGTAGATAGATCAGTAGAAATGAGAAATGGAAAGATATTTTCGAGAAAAAAACAATCTCTATTTTCTTTCCTAACGATAATAAGAGAGAAAAAAACTCTGAGAGAAAATCTAGTTAAAGAAAAACTTTAGCACGCCACTTCTCCGATATGCCGGCCTTCTTCTGCTTATACGTAAAGCAATTCACCTAATGTGACCGATTCTGTCATTTCGAGCTTTACTCGCCACTATTCAACGGTTATCAATATCGATGCTATGAGTGTCCACGTCCTTAATCTCTGGAAACAGGATAGCCACGCCTTCACCAAAGATTCCCATGCAGAAACATGTACCGAACCAATGCTTTGCTACGAAAGAAACCAAAATCCAGCAATCTCACATGGGTCATGATCATGGCCCGGGTTTTGATGGTGCTGCAGTCTTCCTTCCCCGTGCTCAACAATAGCAAAATGGTGAGTATATCCCTCTGCCTTGGAAACATACGTCTCCTTTCCAACAAGCATCCGTACTTTGCTCAGATTGAACTGTGTTGTTAGTGGACTGCTTCTCCCGGGATACTGTTCTGATCCGGGAACGGGGGATTGACCCTGTACTGTCGTGTGGAGCGCAGTGATTCGCTACAAGTCGTTGGATGATCACTGCTATCTCTTCCATGCTTGCTCCTGCGTTGCCGGCCTCTCCGATAGTCAGAATTGGAATCTGAAAAAGACTACGCAGGAGAGAGGTACTTCCTTTCGTAATGCGTCTCCAGCGTTTAGGGCCATATCATTTCTCCTAGCGCCAAGGCCATCATTTTGCAAGCTGTAATGTGTTCTTCGAACGAGGAGCATACATAGATTTGGTCGACTTCTTTTGCACACGACTCAGGGCTATTAACAAGCATCTCTTCCGATCCAGCATAGCCGTCCGCTTGAGGGCCGACATTACGTTACTTTAAACGTGCATCTTCCAAATTCCTGGTAGGCTGTGGCCAATGAAGAACTTGATGCTTCCAACTTTATCATTGAAAGAACTGTACTCTGAATACGGCAAATTCAGACCAACCACACCGCAGGTCACTCAGCTCTCCCAACAAAGATTAAGGAGACATTGATATGCATCGTTTCTTTTGTGGATTCCATCTATGCTGGAATCTAGCTGCCTGAAGAGGTCATGCCATCTCATCCTGGCGAGATTGTACAGGTTTTACAATTGTACATTGGATATAATAATAATACACGTGCTGGACTTTTACCTTGCCAGAGTCTCGACAGCTTCGGACAGCTGATCCAAATCGACGCCTTCCAAATCCATAGCAGATTCGTCCACATTCGTGCTGAGCATGTCGGCCTGCTCACCACGAATCCTGTTGATTTGCTTGGTAGCCCACTTCTTCCACCTCTCGTGCTCCTTGTCCTCGAGTTCCATACCGATCTGCAGGTATGTCTTGCCAAAGTAGCCTCCGACCATGCGAGCCTCCTCGATCGCCACTCTCCGCTCAACGTCCTCTTCGTGACGGAGACGGTAGAATTCTTTTCGCGTCACGTCGTAGGCCTCGTCTACGGTCATGCCGAAGGTGTGCATCCGCCATAGTTGAACTTGAACGACACTGTAGAACAGTTAGCGCCTCGAAATCCAGGCAATATCAGTGCTCGGGGGATTGGGGGAAAGCTCTCACGATTCTCCGCTCAAGGGAATACCAGGCTGTCTGAGGCCGGTGCTCCAGTCTATCCGTTGCGCGTCCTTTCCGTCCATTTCAGTAATCATGCGCGGCCTTGCCAGCTCCCAAGGATGGTCTTTGTAGAAACGGCGTCGCAACGCATCCTCCTCGTACACCAGCTGCTGGGGCTGGAATAACCTGCTGGCTTTCTTGATCTTGCTCGTCTTGGGGTCGTAGTGCTTGTGTTGCGGCGGCAATGGGCGCGTGAGGATCTCCGAGGGCGGATTATTTTCGACGACCTTGTACCACACGGGCTGGGAAACCTTGAGATTCCTGTAAATGCGGTGATCCATCAGAGTAGTCACCGTCTGGTAGATGCGCGCAGGCTTGAAAGCCCGGACGGCTGGTTTTCGCACCATGGCTGCGGTTGCGGTGGAATCTACTTGGCCAGTCGGTGACGGAGTCCTTGGGCCGCAAGGAATCGGGTTACAATGACCGTCCCAATTGATCTTATGTCGACGACGTATGTGGTTGTCGCTGGGGAAAAGGTTCCAAGAGAGCTACTTGCTGCTCTCCGGGCGTGTCAATGATCCGGCCGATGAACTTTTTAGCGGCGTCGCACCGTGGAATCCATGAACCTAACGGGCCGGACAGGGGACGTCAAGCTCAATGGTCACTGCAATTGGTGCTTAGAAAGATAGGTACGGAATACTTCTTACTTTTTAGCGTGGGGAATTTTCTCCAATTGGGATTCGCTAGGATCCCTGATTCGCTGACCTAAACTACCTAGTAAATACCTACAGCTCCGAAAAAGTTGATTCCTATCGCGATCAAGTCTTGGGGGGCCAATCTGGAACTTTTGAAAAAGCTCGACGACGACGACGACGACGACTACGACAGCTAACATCCGCTCCTTTTCTTCACCTGCCTTATACACCCGCGCCGCTCCATGTCGTCTCGAGCTTGAAGAAGCATGTGTGATAACCGGAACACAATGCGGGACAGGGACAGCTCATGAAAATCCTCGGTCGAATTGACGGGTCGATATACGGCGCCATACGATCCCATAGCTCCGTGTCGCGAGCTATCCAGTCTGCTGCCCACGGCCAACATGGCGCCAACCACCACAACCTCATTATCGCGGCCGTGTCGAGCCTTTCGTGTCCGTCCCGTAGTCTCAGACGCACCAGATCGGAAAGTGCAGCTCCGGTGTGCGCCGGCACCAACATCTCGAACTCTGCCTACTCGACCATAACGACCCCAAACTATCGAAGACCTTCGAACTCCATCAGCTTCACCTCACATACCCCCCAAAAACGAAACCAAAATCACACTAGCTCGGCTGCTGCTGCTGCTGTTGAGCCATATTGGCCCGTCACTCCATGCACCCTGCCTAGCAAGTCCCGCGAGGAACTACTCTCTTTCCTGGACTATTATGACGAGGTTACTGTCGAAGAGCAACTAGAATTCCTGAGGGATCCGTACCGGAGAGGATATGCTCCTGCCGCAGTGCAACCGCTGAGACTATCCGAGGGACCCCATGACTATTTCTCTCCCTCGCCGGAAGAATTAGAGATGGGTGATCAGGAAGTGCAACAGACCCTCAGCCGCCTCCGATCCGCCATTACCCAGAAGCTTCTGCGCGCAAATAGCATTAGCAACGACGATATTTATGATGTGTATCGATCCCTTCCCGAACCTCGAATGCACTACCTGAGTGGGCGCCAGAGGCATGCTCTGTTCGCCGCGCTTGGCGCCACAGAGCGGAAGAACGCAAAGGATATGCTTCGTTATTTTGCCGTCGTTGCCGATGTAAAAAATGCAGGCTTTTCGCTCACAAGGACGGAATGGAACACGGCATTGTCCTTTGCCAGTCGCTACGTGGGTGCTTCGAGTCAAACAGAGACAGAGGCAGCCCTACACCTGTGGCGAGAGATGGAGCACGATGCAGGAATTTCGGGCAATGAGGTCACCTTCAACATCCTCTTTGACGTTGCTGCAAAGGCGGGCAAATTTGCGCTTGCTGAAATGACCTACCAGGAGATGATCACTCGGGGCCACCATTTCAATCGATATCATCATGTCAGTTTGATCCACTACTTTGGTCTCAAGCTGGACTCGAGCGGTATGCGCGCCGCTTACAAGGCAATGGTCGACAATGGGGAAGTCATTGACACGCGTGTGCTCAATTGCGTCATTTCCGGGTTTTTACGCTGCGGCGAAGAAACCTCGGCCGAGTTCGTTTACCACATGATGAAAAAGTCGGATGATAGGTCAAAACTCATACCTCAACGCGACTACTCATTCAACAAGATGGTCAACAAAGTACTTCTCATGTTTAGCCGTTTGAGTCGGAAGCATCCGGATCTTAGTGATGGACCCCAATCTGCTACTGCGTTGACTCCTGACCTGGCTACCTATAGAATTCTTTTAAATTACTATGGCGTGCGGCTGGGGCAGATGTCACAGGTCGTCCAATTCCTGGACGAGATGAAATTCTTCAGGGTACCTCTGCATGGCTCAGTCTTCCTGGCCTTGTTCAAGGCCTTCTCTATACATGGCGGCAATCCGAATACAGCTTGGTCGGTCAAGAGACTTGTGGATGTGTGGCATGCCTTCCTCGACGCCTTCGATGGAGGTGCGAACGGCTTGTATATCAACACATGGATGGCAATGTGGGTGCTTCGGGCATTCGCAATATGTACAGATTCGAAAGAAGAGGTTCTGGCTGTATATGAAGAGCTTAGGGCCAGGTGGCCGGCGGACGACGGGACGGATGCTTTCATGTTAGATTTCTTGCACAATTTAATTTCGGAAAAAGGCTGGGGTCCAAACAATGTCCCCCTGATACCAATGTAGCATTGCAAGGAGTCTTGGTATTTATTATATATAGATGTACAATAGGTGGAAAAGCCCATCACGATTTTGGGCAACGCAATAAGGCGATAATGTCCTTGCGCCTTGTAAATATCTATGCTGTCAAATGAGAAGAAGAAAAATTTAATCACAATCCGAGCCGTGTCTTTATGCGTGATATATGCTAGAGAAACAAGAGACCAAATCAGGTCTTCTCATATTTCATCCACTGATACAATTTCTGTTTCTTTTGCTGTTGAAACGCCACCAGCGAATGCTTCCAAATGAGCCTGAGCTTCGCGCTCTGTCCTGTTTGCAGATTCCACGTCCCCAATTCTTAAATAATGCTCTCTCAACTCTGACGACGTCCTCATGAGTCGATCTTTGGCATTCCAGGCAACCCTGACCTTGGCTGAAGTAAACGCCCCAACATAATACGCTGTCGCGAGTTCCGTCTCCCCGAGGGCCTCGTGAAGTTTGCCCCGTAACTCATAATACATGGTTACTGGGGCACGTGCGGATATGTGGTCAAAGTCAAAGTCGTCATACCCGTCGTGGATCATGGGCCCGAGGGCAACGAGGCCCGTCTTGGCAATGTCGAGCCGGTTCATCTCAAACATGGCCTCGGCGTGCCACCAGCGCACCCAGGGACACCACTCGTGCTGGTCCCAGGTGGCATCGAAGCTGCGGAACTCGTCAATGATGCTCTGGAAAGCCTCGGCCGCCGCCGCAAACGGCATGGCGCCCACGTGCTCGAGGCTCCGGGCCGTGTACAGGACCGAGGTCCGGAGCAGTTCGTCCTCGCGCGGGATGCCCGTCACAAGCGCCGAGAGGAGGGCGTTGAGCATGGCAATGGCGACGTGCCAAAACTGCCCCAGCGTGAGGGACTCGATCATGGTCCAGAGCCGGGTGACGGCGTGCCGGGGCCCCAGCTTGATGCTGCACAGCGAGCGGGCGTAGCGCACAAAGGACTCGGCCAGCGGCGCTCCGGCCCGGCCCAGCAGCAGCACGGCGTGGATCGAGGTCCAGGTGGGGGCCGGCCAGGCGCCGTCGAGGGCCCGCGAGTAGTGGCCAAAGGCGCGGTCCAGCAGGCGAAAGTTGTCCGCGTGGTCCCGGGGCTCGTTCACGCGGCGGTCGTCGCCGTGGTTCTCCGAGGCCAGGCTCGCCACCGCCTGCTGTAGTTCACTCCAGAACTCGAGCCGAAACTCGCCGTCCCAGTCGTACCGGCTTACCGCGCAGATGCCGAAACCTTGGCTCTGCATGCGGCGTTGGGTATAGAGGATCACGTCCATTAACGCGCGGTCCTCCAGTCTCTCGGGTTCTGGGGAGCCGAGTGATTGGGGTATAGCTGATAATAATGCTTCGGGTGAGGATTGCTGCTTGATAGGCAAAGAAGCGGCACCGTCCCAATTCACCGTGATCTTGCACAAGTAGTCTTTGAGTTTCTTGGGGCCGACCTGGCGACCTCGGATAACGGGTAGAACGACCTGATTGCCGCCAAAGGCGTTATAAACAATCTTTGGCACGTCTTTGCGGTTGAGGTTCTTGTGTAATCCCCAAGACTTGAATCGCCACTTGTACATCTTCTCACTATTGGCATAGTTAGAATTCTGTCCGAGGATTGGGGGCAAATTGTTAAGGATCTTTTTCTTCCTCTGCAATTTTCCCTTCTTTTGCCAATTTGACACACTTACGTCGCATTGAAGCCGTGAATAACCTTCATGAGCTCCCGCACCTCTCTGAGCGTCCTGTCCTCATCCCAGTAGAGCCGCGTAATGAGGTCGCGGTGGGTTGCCCAGTCTTCGGCTTTCGCGTACGCCCCCCTCGGCGAGGCGCCTTCACCGTTACGATTTGAAGTAGCCATAGCCAACTCACCACGGCCGCGCAAAGAGGAGTTCAATCCAAATACTATCCTCCTAGGCGACACCTCGGACAAGGGTTTCGTGCATAACCACGCCAATCAGGTGCAGATTCGCCCATAGAAGCGAGGCACTTGGTTGTTGGCGTCCTGTGCGTGCAGGTAGAGTTTGGGGGCCGGGTAGCCCTATACTCCTCCTGCTACTACTATGCGTGACGCTTTGGTTTACTGTCGAGAGGGGCGGCGGATAGGTGCTTCCTGAAGGGGACACAATGTTCTCGTTTTTCGAAGGGCTGTTTTCTTGCGATTCGGTGCAGTCGCGCTCAAGATTTGTACCACAGTCGTCGTTTTCTTTCTTTCTTGGCCATGTGGGAGAGACCATCAAGCAAAGGCAAAAAGGCGAGACAAGGAGCGGGAGACCCGTCGATCAAGAGGAGAGATTCTGGAGAGGAGTGAGTGGTGCCGCTGCTACCCTTGCATCGGTACTTCATTTGCATCGCATCCGCATGGGAGGGTACCAAGGGGACCTGGACCAGGCAGACAGCCCCCCCGAGTTGGGACTTTTTTGGCATGTGGATTGCTAATTGCCCGCTGCCCAGGGTTCTTCCATGTGGGGGGCAAAAACCATCATCTTATTGGTATGGGAAAAGTCTTGGCCTGGAAGAATAAAGTACTCTGTATAGTTGGCAATTTCGACTGTAAACTCAAATGGTAGTGATTCCAGGCATAAAGCCTCGGATGTCGCGCGCGCGTCGTCGGTTACATCTGTGACGACCTTTGTCGTTCTAGGCTTTCGACTTGGCACGGGTACAGTACACGACGCTATGTTGTTGCAGATAATATCCGGGCAGTTCCGCTTTATTAATGAGTTGACCCATATTTTTAAGCCTCAATGTCAAGTCAAGAGAATCATGAGCGGGTGATTCCCACTCTGCTCATGATGTATTTCTGTCTCTTTGGCGTGTTGGTGTTACAGCTTTCGGCATAGATGATCAAATTTACCGAACCGCTGTTCATCGCTCTAGGCTGTGCCTCTCTTTGGGTTGATCCGAGTACACAAGGACCCTGGCCCTTGATCGGCAAATCGTTATCTTCAGCGTCTCACGTTACAGGACAGATACAAAATGCAGATTTCCCCAGAGTCGGCTAGTTTGCTAAATGTCCACGACGCCCAATGGCAATTTTCATTCGTGCGGGAACGTTTCCGTGCTGTGTCTAGTTTGCTTACACTCTGGGGCCCTACGTCGTGATTTAGGGTTTCTCCCGATATCAGATCATATATTCTTATTTTTTGGAGGTCCGTGTCCGCTGACAATTAGTTGGCGCACACGTCGCTTCTTGACATGGCGGCAAGAATGATCTGTAGCAGCCCACGCTTATATCATCTTCTTAACTGCCTATGCTATTCTATCGGTAGTTTTGCAGTGGCCATATATATGCCTCATGCCGAACATGTGCCAAGGACTGCCCGTCTTTTCACTTGAACGATTCGAAAATTCCCCTTTTCAAGAAAAAAAAAAAGTCTATCCATCATGTGTGAGTGATACTTCTTTTGGTATGAATTGGCTATTATGGCCGCAAAACCAGGTTTTGAAAAGGTGTTTGCAAAATATCAGGATCTTAGCGTGGCTGTAGATGCTTGACATAGCGGAATTCCCCACGGTTTGAGGGAATATGACATTTACTAGTAGCTAGTTGAAAGTTGCTGGTAGATATTTAGAAAAGTGCATAGGAATATGAGATATCTAGGCTTCTAGCATAGTTAACAACATCCGGTGATTTACAAGTGTTTGTAGATATTAAGTCAACATGCTTTTGCGAGGTGAACTGCGCTTTCATCATTCCCGATTTATTGTCATATCAAATACCCATGAGCCGATGACAATAAGCAATTGACTATATCTTTGGACTGGACTTCATGAGCACCTCCTTCAAAAATAAATGATACCTTTCTCCTGCCCAAACTGAAAGTCTCCACAGTATATGTCTCACGGATGACCATTTATCTCAAGCCGCCCACAAGTTATATACAACGATCTCCATCCTGACGCATGAATATACAAGGGGGAAAAAATGGAATTCGAAACAAAGATTGTTGCTGACTCCATATTCACAAGGGCAAAAAGCAGGTCAGTCGGGGATTCGAACCCCGGTTACCGGAAAACTCGATTGAAGCCAGATACAATCTGAAAATCAGAATCCGATGTGATAACCAACTACACTAACCGACCGTGGATGGTGGATGCGACGAAAAGAATGTATATCTGATTGTTCAGAAAGCGAGGACCGAGAAAACGCCGGACGACGAAGCCTCTTGACTTGACTGCAAAGTTGAGATGTAATGGTAGGTGACGAGGTTTACCTGGTGAGTTGGCATCTACCTGCACTACAAAGTGTATAGATGTATTGTGGGAGCAGTCGTTTGACTATACCCAGTTGCAAGAATGGCCATTGAAGCGCTCAGGAATGACGATGGTAATATGCCATGAATGCGATATAAATAGGCGTGAGTTTAAGCTTGATTGCTGCACTGCATTAGCCCAATCTTCTACTGGCAAGATATAATGGATAATCATAGATAACCATGTAATAAACATTAATTACGAGGATTACCTGACAATTTGTATCTGTGCTCTCTCTCAAAAGTGTGACTTGAAGGTGGTAATGGACATTTGGCTCAAGATACTCCAGCAAGCAGTCAATAATTTGTTCACTCGTACAGATTTTCAGGTGTGCGGACCTGGTTTCGTAGCCAAATTGCTTGCAGAGGTAGACGAAATCTTGAAAGAGGATTCATTCAGCGAGATGAATTGAATGTGATCCGATATCAAGCCGTATAGTGATACTCTACCATGTGACAAAATTGGCTTTCCTGTTAGTGTTCATGTTAATGCAGACTTACCCATGATAAATAGTAAGCCGAATTAGGCATACCGAATAGTGCTGTTCTGGGCTTGAGTTGATCACAGCCAGATAAGCCGGCACTGCATCCATGGCAATGCCATCAGATCACAAAGGACTCTCGAGGACTTCCTCTTGTCAACTCTCGACAAGTCCATCCGGGACACATATATGAGGCGGCACCTCGGAACCAGTTGTTTTTGATCGTTTGATGAAAGTTGACATATGGAAATGCGTTGTGGCGATTGGCCTCGAGCTCTATTGTTCTCATATATGTACAGCTTCCGTCCGCGGGTCGCCTTGCCCATCTATCACCAACAGCCCCGACGAAGCCCCCATGCGCCCACGCTGCCAAGTCCCATGCAAGCCGCTTATGCCTTGGGCTTGTAGGTTTGCCAGACTGTGTAATATCATTAGCTATCATCCTCCAAGACGTGCGCCAGAAGCCCGGAGCGCCGCGGGGTGGTAGGGGAAATGACGCACCGGCAATGCCGAAGGGGGCGAAGAAGCCGGTGATCATGTACAGCCAGTAGCGGACGGCGAAGTACTTGGTCTTGGTGTTGAAGGGCAAGTTGGAGTAGGGACCCTCGGGGTAGTGGTAAGGCGAGCTCATGCGAGGGCGGGTGGCGTGGAACATGCGGCGGCCCATGATGTTGGCCATGCGCGGGCTGGCGCGGAGGATGGACTGAGGAGACATCTAGAGTGCCCAATTGAGTCAGCAGAGCTTTTGTAGCGGTGGTCGAGCTCGTAGCTACCTTGATTGACGCGACGAGGTGTCAGTTGTGTTGAGTGGAGATGCTTTTGTCGTTGGGTTGAGCTTATGAGCTTTGCAATTCGAGATGAGGTTCTTAGCGGATAGATGAGAATGCGTCAAGTCGAACGATGCCCGGATGATTCTCGGCTACGGAGTATGTACAGAACGAGGAGGTACCTGGGTACCTTAACTCACTGGTCAGCACTTGAGCTCTAGTCCGAGTGAGTGGGTCTCTTTTTGCTTTGGTTTCTTTGGCTGCCTACCGCCTGCCGATTAAGTGCAGTCAAGCTTCTGGCCTCTGGCTTCCGAAGAACTTGGAATTTTTCTGCCGTCGCAAAGCTGCAACCCAACCAGAGTGCTGCAAAAGTCCGCGCCTGCCAACTTTTTCCTTAGCAAGCAGCTCTGGTGTTTTGTACCGACGCTTTGCAAATCGGCGATCGCAGCAGTCCACCTGCGCAGCCAAGCATCGACGATTTGCACCGCTGCTACTTTTTTTTTTCACTATTTACAGATATATTCTTTCTTGGTATACCTTGTGTAAACCAAGTGATCATCAATTTATACATTGCCTCTTCAGCGTACGCGCATCGCCTCTTCGATTGGCTCTTTTTTTTTTTTCCTCATTGTAGTGGGGTGGCAATCGATAAGAGCTCAACACCATGGACGACGACCTATTCGATGTCTTCGAGGACCAGCCCGGCAAGGTCAAAGATGAGCCCCAGTCCTCGCCGCCCGCCAAGTCCAAGAATAAAAAGAACAAGAAGAAGCGCAAGGCAGTCGAGGCTCTGGACAACGGCGACATCGAGACCGAGACACGTTCCGCACCCGAACCTGATGTGGACATGGCCGACGTAGAGCCCACCTCGGCCGAAGACGAGGCTGATGATATAGAAGAGGATGGCCAAACCGTATCCGAGGGCCACCAGGACATCAAGCGCAGGAAGAAGGAGGAGAAGGCAGAGCCAGTCATTACAGACTCGTTCCAGACGGCCGAATCGAGAGAGCTTGCAGCTGCATCAGGCTTCGCCAAGCAAGATGAAGAGTCGTCTCTAGTTCTGTCCCATAACATTCAACATCAGGTCGCACTGCCACCGGATCTTGATTACGAATACGTGCCGCTTTCGGAACATAAACCGCCTGCCGACCCTGCCCGGTCCTGGCCCTTCACCCTCGATCCTTTCCAGCGCCTATCAATTTCTTCCATTGAGAGAGATGAGAGTGTTCTGGTCTCAGCCCACACCAGTGCTGGAAAGACTGTCGTTGCAGAGTATGCCATTGCGCAATGTCTCAAGAAAAATACTCGTGTCATCTACACCAGTCCCATCAAGGCCCTCAGTAACCAGAAGTATCGTGAATTTAACGAGGCTTTTGGTGATGTCGGTCTCATGACTGGTGATGTCACAATCAACCCGACTGCTAGTTGTCTTGTTATGACCACAGAAATTCTGCGATCTATGCTGTATCGAGGTTCGGAGATTATGCGTGAAGTCGCTTGGGTCGTTTTTGACGAAATCCACTACATGAGAGACAAGACGAGAGGTGTTGTTTGGGAAGAGACCATTATTCTCCTTCCTGACAAGGTCCGCTATGTCTTCCTGTCTGCCACCATTCCCAACGCCTTTCAATTCGCGGAATGGATTGCCAAGATTCACAGACAGGCCTGCCACGTTGTCTACACGGATTTCCGTCCTACGCCTCTGCAGAATTACTTTTTCCCCTCGGGTGGAAATGGTATTTTCCTTGTTGTGGACGAGAAGAGTGTTTTCAGAGAAAACAACTTCCAAAAGACCATGCAAATGATTGAGGAGAGAAAGGCCAGCGAAGCCAACGATGTGGATGCCAAAATGCGAGGCAGGGGCAACAAGAAGAAGACCTTCAAGGGAGGCAAGGATGATGCCAATGCTGATATCCAAAAGATTGTCAAAATGGTCATGTCCAAGGGATTCAACCCTGTCATTGTCTTCAACTTCAGCAAGCGAGAGTGTGAGATGATGGCGCTCTTCACTTCCAAATTCAGTTTCAACGATGACAGTGAGAAGGCCATGACACGCAAGGTCTTCTCGAGCGCGATAGAATCGCTATCGGAAGCCGATCGTGAATTGCCCCAGATCCAGAATATCTTGCCGCTTCTTGAAAAGGGTATCGGTGTGCATCATTCAGGACTCTTGCCCATTTTGAAGGAGACTATCGAAATTCTATTCCAAGAAGGATTGATCAAGGTTCTTTTCGCTACCGAGACCTTTTCAATTGGCTTGAACATGCCGGCGAAGACGGTCGTTTTCACGCAAGTCAAAAAGTTTGACGGTACTACTAGGAGGCCGTTGACATCGTCCGAGTATATTCAGATGGCTGGAAGAGCTGGTCGTAGAGGGCTTGACGAGCGTGGAATCGTCATCATGATGATTGACGATAAGCTCGAGCCCGAAACTGCCAAAGAGATTGTCGTTGGTCAGCAAGATCGCCTGAACTCGGCCTTCCACTTGGGTTACAACATGGTCCTCAACTTGCTCAGAATTGAGGCCATCTCTCCAGAGTTCATGTTGGAGAACTGTTTCTTCCAATTCCAGAACACTGCAAGTGTAGCTGGTTTGGAGCAAGAGCTGATGAAGCTTCAGAAGGAGAGAGATGGCATGGCCATTCCGGACGAAGCCACCATCAAGGATTACCACGGCCTGCGCCAACAGATTGAGGCATACACCAAAGATATGGTCTACGTCATTCAGCACCCGAACTATTGCTTAGACTTCTTGCAGCCTGGCAGGCTGATTCAGATCCAGAACCCCAAGACAGGCCAGGACTTTGGCTGGGGCGTTGTTGCAAACTTCACAGAACGTCGCAGTCCCAAGTTTGGAGAAAAGTCATACGAACCACAAGAGTCTTACTTTGTTGACGTATTCCTTCATCTCGACCCCAAGGGCGAGGACTTTACTCCCTTGACCCAGCCACCCTCTGAGATGCCCAACGGCGTGCTCCCCCTCAACGGATCTCAAAACTCGCGCTTCGAGGTCGTGCCGTGTCTATTCACCTGCATAAAGGCAATCAGCCAGATCAGAGTCTTTATGCCCAAGGATATTAAGAACCTAGAAGACATTGAAGAAGTCCGCAAGACTGTCCTCAAATCTCTGTCCGAGGTGGTTCGCCGTTTCCCCGATGGCGTACCCATTCTGGACCCTATTGAGAACATGGGCATCACGGATGACTCGTTCAAGAAGTTGTTGCGCAAGATCGAGGTTCTCGAGTCTCGCCTACTGGCCAACCCCCTCCACGGATCGCCTCTTCTTCCCGGATTATGGGAGCAATACTCGAAGAAGCTGGCTCTGGCTGACAAGATCAAGAATTTGAAGAAGCAGATTGGCAAGGCTCATAGCATTGCTCAACTCGATGAACTAAAGTCTCGAAAGCGAGTCCTGCGTCGTCTTGGTTTCATCAACGATGCTGAAGTTGTCGAGATGAAGGCTCGCGTAGCTTGCGAAATTTCGTCAACAGAAGGTCACGAGTTGTTGTTATCAGAGCTTCTGTTTAACCGTTTCTTCAACGAACTCAGCCCCGAGATTATTGCCTCTATCCTCAGTGTTTTCATCTTTGAGGAAAAGGTAGAAGCTGCTACGCTCAAGGACGAGCTACAGAAGCCATATTCTCAGGTACAAGCTCAGGCCAAGATCATCGCCAAGGTCAGCCAGGAAAGCAAGCTCGATGTCAACGAGGAGGAATACGCTCAATCCCTCAAGTGGCAGCTCATGGAGACTGTCTACGCCTGGGCTCAAGGAAAGCCTTTTGCAGAAGTTTGGTAAGTATATTACTCCGAAACACTTGAATACGGAATTACCGACCAAGCTAACCCTCCCACAGCAAAATGACTGACGCCTACGAGGGCTCCCTTATCCGTCTATTCCGACGTCTGGAGGAGCTGCTGCGCCAGATGGCCGAGGCTGCCAAGGTTATGGGCAGTGAAGAGCTTGCTGAGAAGTTCAACGCCAGTCTCAAGATGATCAGACGTGACATTGTCTCCGCACAGAGTTTGTATCTGTAAAGGAACAATTCCCATACGAATGTCCTTTATCATAGTTACATCTCTTGTGTGTGACAAGGGCTCTCTCTTTTATCTTGAAGGGTCTGGCAGGCTTCGTCGGTTCTCATTGCATATCTTTGGCGTTGTGGGGTTTGGATGGGAAAATACCATTAGGTCTCGAGGGAACGAGACTCAGCACTGTTGTTTTACTCAGCATGATATGTTCCACTACACAGCTCTGCCCAGTCTTTGCATCTTGCTTTCCCAACCACACTGAGCGTCGGTCTTACCTCTCTTGGCATTCTCGGTATGTAGAAACTTAGATAGACCACAACAGCATCGCTGCTAGGTTGGCACGGTGCACCAGGCATTTTCTTCGCGTCCTCTCTTGCGTGGTGATGTGACACTTTTTTCTTCTTCTTTTTTTTCATGCAAAGGACCAATAAGTCTAGGGAATGATTATGCAGTCAAACACGACATGGGTTATAAAGATGGGAGCAATGTGAGTTGAACTTGGGATATACGTCCCGTTTATCCTTCTATGTACTGCTTCAATCCTCGGAGTCGCTCCTTGGCCGTCTCCAGGACCTCATCTTCCTTGCAGACGGCAAAACGCATGTAGTCCTCGGCGATCCAAGTGTTGGGTTCCGTGTAGAACTCGGTGGGTGGGATGGCGGCGACTCCAACCTCCTGGATGAGGAACCAAGCGAGCTTAAAGTCACGCGGCCGGCTGGCGACGTGTGGTGGGAAAGGATAATCCTGAGGCAGCTTGACCTTGGCCATGTTCACCATGACAAAGTAGCCACCCTCGGGCTCCGAGTACGGAAGGCCTAGCTCGTCAAACACCTCGTTGAACCGAGCCATCTTGGCCTTCATGTCCCGAACCGTCTCCTCCCAGAAGCCCTCGGCCTCGGCCTTTTCAAAACCTAGGATTATTATCAGTAAATCACGTACTTGAACTGTGAACTGCCCGTAAAGAGGTCGCCGGCATCTCGTAAACTCACCGACTGCGCAAGCCTCTTGAAGAGGAGAGACGGATGAATAGCAAATTCGCGTGTGGGCCGCCGAGACATGCTTGATGAGGTGCTCAGGGCCCATGAGCCAGCCTACCCGCCAGCCCGTGGCGTAAAAGTTCTTGCCGGCGGAGCCAACGGTGATGGTCAGACGCTCAATCTCAGGCGAGAGCGTGGCGATGCGGGTAAATGGCACGTAGTACAGGCGATCGTAGACCTCGTCCGAGAGGATAATGATCTCGTTCTTGACGCACAGGTCTCCAATCTTTTGCAGCTCCTCTCTTGAGTAGACCTTTCCGACGGGGTTGTCTATTTGACCTAGTTAGACATGGCTAGCCGGGAGTAGCTTCTTATATCTTAGGGGAAGAACGTACGGGGAGTGTTGATGACGATCATCTTGGTCTTGGGCGTAATAGCCCTCTCCAATTCATCAAAATCTATGGTCCAGTTGGCGGCAGATGAGGTCTTGGTGGCACCATCCTTGGGCGGGTGCATGGGCACGTAGACAATCTTGCCGCCGGGCATCTCAATGTTGCTAATGTACTGGTCAAAGAAGGGCTCAAAGATGATGACTTCGTCGCCGGGCTCGATAAAGGCCATGAAGGCGCTCAGCATGCCCTCGTTGGCGCCCGTGGTGATGGTAACCTCGGTCTCGGGGTTCAGCGGCCGGCCCCAGTGCGGCGTGTAGGCGTCGGCAATGGCCTTCTTGAGCCGCGGCCGGCCCTTGGTGGGGCTGTATTGGTTGCACTCGACGCGGTCCAGCGCCTCCTTGGCCGCGTTGATGATGAAGGGCGGCGGGTTGTACCCAAAGAAACCCTGGCCCATGTTCACAATGGGCTGCTTTGGCGAAGCTGCTGCGGCCTCGTTCACGATGGACCTATTTGATGAGTTAGTTTATGTGTACCTGAACAAAACAGTAAAAAGTCACGGCTTTCAAGAAATGGCATTCTCAGAGATACTTGAAGTCTGAACGAGGCCAACTCACCATACATCTTGCCTCTGCCCGGCAACTCGGGCAGCAGGCTTCAGCTTCTCTGAGAGCCCGGTAGCCATGGTTGTAGAAAAGAGTCGCTGACTCAGAAGCAGTGTTCTAGCTGGAGTGACAGAATGTCTAAGGATGTTTGTGCCGAGGTTGTATGGACGCAATAGTGGTGATAGCTTCATGAGTAACAATACTCCGACCCCAGCTGTCTATTCTATTTCCAGACAAAAGCGATGATCTAGTCCCAGCCCGCAAGACTTGCGCACGAATTGCAATCGACTTTTGTAAATGAAAACGTTCCAACTGCGGGTTTTCTAATGCCTCTGCGATCTCCGGGTATGTTGCGGCCGTCATCGGTCAGCATTCGGAGTCAATCACGCAATTGGTTGTTCTGAAAAGGGCAAAAGCTTGGGCCCGACCCCCCACTGTAGCTTAAAGTCCCGGCAGTGGATATAGAGCCTCCAAGGCACCCATGTAGCTAGGAATAGCGCTTATCGGCGGCCGTTGTCAGATTGTCGTTGGTGATTTGTCCGCCTTGCAGCACATCATCATTCCGTATCCAATATACGGGAATCTCCCATTTTCTGATTCTACTACCTGCACAGTAGCTGGTAGTCGGTCATCACCTTCATTGCAGTCCAGCGAGATGAGGTTCAATCGGTCAAACCCCTCTCCTCCAATATGACAACTCTCAAGCCGCCCCCTCTGGCGACTTCAGCGGCGACGGCGCCCCCTTTGTCCTTGACCATTCGTTTCAGCGCCAGCGTCCCCGATCTGGACCTCGACATCCCACACCCGTCGCAGACCACGGTCATCTCCCTCAAGAACCTGATCCGCGGTCGCTTGGCTGAGCCCAACTCCCAGCGACGCCTTCGCTTCATTCAGGGCGGCAAGATCCTTCCAGATGGTGCAGCTCTGAGCGCCGTTCTGCGTGCGCCCCCTCCGCCGCCGCCGCGGGCCGATGACAGGAATCGTGGCGATGCCAAAGGCAAAGCTGTCGCGAATCGCCTACCGTCGCAAAGAATCTACGTCAACTGCAGCATCGGCGACTCGCTCACGGATGCCGAGCTCAAGGCCGAGGCCGAGGCTGCAAGCCTCCCCGTGTCTGAAGCGCCGTCGTCCCAGTTGGGAGGAGGAGGACTGCCATTGAGTTCGTCGTCGCCTGCAGGAGCGGGCTCCCCGGCGGGCCCCGGCACACCTGCACCAGGCATCACCACGTCGTCTACCCCGAGGGGCTTTGATCGGCTACTCAACGCCGGCTTCTCCGCCGCCGAGGTCAACCAGCTCCGGCTACAGTTTCGCTCCATACACAGCTCGCGCTTCACGCCCGACACACTGCCTTCGCCCGACAGCTTCCGCCGGATGGAAGATTCATGGATCGACGACAACGGCGCCGCGGTGCCTACGACGGGTATGGGCACGGGCTCGGGCGCCGTCGGGAGCGGTGGATTCGACAGCGATGAGGTTGGGCTTCTGGGCTGGCTGGATGCCATGATCTGGGGCGTCGCCATTGGCTTCCTCTGGCCCATGGGCAGTTTCGGTTGGCTGGCGAGGCAGCACGGCATTCACAGTGACCGAGTCAAGGTCATGATTGGGGCCGGTGTATTCCTAAGTCTCCTCATTGGCATTGTAAGGACCATCTCCGGAGAACATTAAAATGACCATAAGCAGAATGACATTGATAAGTCGGACGATGAACAAGAAAAATTGCAATGAGCAGTCAAATTACATGGCATAGCGGCGGCGTTTTTGGGTTTTCATACTTTATTTGGAATTGTACTAGGGAATAGCCAGAATTCAATGATACCCCTATTCACGACTTGGGTCTCAGAGTCCCTCATATCATATTGCCTATTATAAGTCATAAATCCATGCATGAGCGGCGTCATTATCTGAGAGATGCTTGTCGACATTACAGGACGGGACACAACTAATCCATTCATCAAAACTACAAGAAAAGGTAGGCACGGAGCATGAGATCCGTAGGCGAATAGACCCTTCAGTTCAGAGCGAGAACCCGATACATTAGTGGAGGTAGAAGCCCCAATAGAAGCATGTAGGCCTCTATCTGAAATTACCTGTGGCACGCTTTTCACTAGGTCTTGGGAAAATTCAAAATGAGTATATCACTACGCGTATCCACATTGGCTGACTGCCAGCAAACATACGACATCTACGTCCCGTACTTCTTCTGTAGAGTCAGTTCTCTAGCTTTCAAGCTTTGCATTTTGTTCAAACCCATTCATAGTTGTCGCAGCCCGCTTGCTCCATATTTAGTCATCAAATGTTTAATGTTTAAATCGTTATCTCATTACGATCAATAACGGTGCGATAACCTTAGTGGCATGTCAGGAGTTTATAGAGCAGGCAATACTACAATACATTGACTTAGATAACCCAAGGAAATTCCAATACGTGTATTTGTGGTAGGAAATGACTAGAAATAAAGCTTCTTGCAATAGGACGGTCCAATGAAGAAGAAAAAATTCCATTACTTAATGAACAGCCTTCTTCTCTAGTGCAACCATCTGCCTTCCCATATCTTCAATGGTGGACTCGGGGCTCCTGAACTCGAGGCCTAGAATATTTTCGGCATCAGCGCTGCTGGCCATGAACCTCCCTTCTTCCATTTTCCAGTCGTCTGGGGTTCCCTTGGGTATAGTATCCTTCTTCTCCGATAAAGTCTCACGAAGAATATTGGCAATTCTTTGCATGCTCATCTCTCCGGCACAAATCACGAAGCGCTTGCCGCCGGCCTCGGGAGTGCTCGCCGCGAGCAGATGCGCACGCGCGGCATCGCGGACGTCGACATATAGATGCGAATTGGTAGGTGGAACCGGGTCTGTGCTCTTGAGGCTGGGATCTAGGAGCTGGGAGTAGATGTTCCATGTGGACTGGTTGAGATCCTGCGGGCCCCTCGACAACTGGGCGGCGTCGAGCAGTGGCCCGTAGATCATGGGCGGGTTGAGGACCACCAGGTCGAACCCCGGCTTGGCGGTCGTGATAAACTCCCACGCCGCCTTTTCGGCAAACGTCTTGGAGGCCTGATAGGCCCGCACGGCGTTGGTGGTTGTCAGACCTTCTTCTTGTGCAATGGGGTTCCAGTCCCGGCCCGAGTAGACGCGGGCCGGCTGCGTCACGAGCGGATTGCCCTTTTCCCAGTTGAAGACGGCGGCGGTGGACGAGGTCAGGACCACACGGCAGACTGTTGGCGCGATGCGATGTACCCCCGATAGTATTTCTGTCGTGCCCTTGACGGCCGGATCGAGGAAGTTGTCGGCATTGGATGAACCGGTCGCCTCGGCTGCCCTGCGGTAGTTGAACGGCGAGGCCGTGTGGATGACCCAGTCAAAGGGCCGATCCGACCGCAGCGCCGTATCAAAGGCCCCCGTTGCCGTAATGTCGGCTACTACGGCAAAGTCGAGCTGTGATGCTGGGTACGAAGAAAAGCTGGGCGAGGAACGAAGCTGCGATACCTTGGACGAGTTGCGGACCACGCCCCGAACCGAGTGTCCGGCCGAGAGCAGTTGTGATAGGATGTGCTGTGCCAAGTAACCGTTGGCACCGGTCAAGAGGACTCGCTTTGAGCTTGAAGACATTTTGGATTTTAGATTTATTCGGATTCTTGTTTGAAACGACAGTGATCTGACTGAACTGTTCTGGCGGACATTGCCATATATGTACATAGGTCATCGTGCTTGGAATGGCATATCTGATAGTCTGGTACCTGTATGAGCCTCAGACTGACATCCATTTGAATGAGCATATACGGATTTATCACCGACGCCGATAATTAGATTTTGGCCCGTCGCATGTCGTAAGCATGTCATGATGCCTCGAGAAGATTTCGGAGTGAGTAGGTATCAACCGTGCATACTATGTTCCTCATTTTGTGCCCGGACTCGAAAGCCTATGACCGAATACATTCACGGTTTGATAATCAACCTTTGATATCTCTGTTAGACGATAATCTGAACTGGGTGTAGGGAGATGTTGAGGTAAAGACCGATGATGCATCGGCGCTTATAGTAGTATACTAGTGCTCGTTTCAACTCGTTAACGCCGATGGACATTGATCTTTGACCTTGTTCGGCCTTAAGAATGACACTTGAGCTGCTTCGGATGGGAATCATCGATTTAGTGTAATATCAATTTCTTGATCTCCCTTCTTCTCTTCTCCGAATTCAGATATAGTATTCTCAAAAACAGCTGTATCGTTGCTGAACCGTGTGCACACTGACCAGATATAGCAATATGGACGCCAAGCCCCGACTCGCTCAGTTTGCAGTTTTTCCAGTTATATGCGAATGAATAGGTCAGTTGTTCTTTTTCTATTGATTCCCGAGTAATACATTACTATTGAGGGGAAAAAAAAAAAAGCCAGCAATCCATGATACCTTTTTCTGCTGCGATTGAGATAAAATACTCAACTTTATACATTCTGATGTCGACAGCATTATCTACATAGCCATCATCCCCTTCTAGTGTGTATCAATTGGGGATAATGATTATCCTCTCATCATAACATGGGAATGATGCGCGCAGATCAGCTGGTTGCAAAAAGTCAGTCAAGTGCAGAGAAGAAAGACGCCTTGATCGGGAGCTGTAAACCGATGAGAACGACTCAAGAGCCAACGGAGCCGGCCGAAGCAGAGGGCACTTTTTGTGGGGGCTTTCAATGAGCTAACCCCCCGCCGCCGTCCGTGGTTGACCGCCTGGTGGATGTGCAGTGTAGTGCGCACTCTGGCAGCGCCCGCATTAGCACTGCCAGGTCCCCGCCTCAGGCAATCAGTCAGGGAGTCAGGGTCGCTCTATGGGAACCAGAACATCACCAAGACTCGGAAAACCTTCCACTCCCAGCACCCTAATCACCTATTCTCTTGTTCTGATTTGTCTGACATCTATCAGCCCTAGCTTGATTCAGTTTGGCGTCATCGCTGGTTAGCTCTTCGTTCCACCCACCCAATATCCGGCCGTTTACCTGAGTGTATCTCGTCTCGTCTCTCTAGTCTCCAGTTTCGGGACCTGGCGGTTCGAGGTCAAGCTTTAAGACAAACGTCCCTTGCCACCCCACCGATAGCAACAGATTCCCCATTCCGTTGTGTAATCCTCGAGATATCTGTGAATACTACATACACTACTTACACATTTTTCTCTCGTCGAGTGGATATTTCTTCCGTGTTCCTCAAACTGAGCTTGCGAATTGAGTCTCAACTTCAACTTCTTGTCGCGTGAAATTTGGCACTTGACCGTATACGCCACCGGACCTGCGCCCCAACGTCTTATCTGTCTATCTCGCGCGGAGATGATCAGGTGAATCTAGGAACGCATATCGCTGTAAATTCATCACAACGGCGATTGGAAAATGGCGCCCATCGCTCTCTCCCCCGAGCGGGATCCTGCCCCTTCGCTGAAGACCGTCTTTGACGATACCATCAGATTCTTCCTCAATGGCACCCGCGTCGTCCTTGATGAGATTGACCCCGAAGTTACGTTGCTGGAGTATCTGCGAGGAATCGGCCTGACCGGAACTAAGCTGTAAGCACCCTCTGCAGGGACGTATGATTGCCGATACGACAAAATGCGCCACCCATAAAAAAAGAAAAATCCCACTCACTGACTCCTATAACAGAGGTTGCGCCGAGGGTGGTTGTGGTGCTTGCACAGTGGTTGTCAGTCAATATAACCCAACGACCAAGCAGATATATCATGCCAGCGTCAATGCCTGTCTGGCTCCACTCGCGAGTATCGATGGCAAGCATGTCATTACCATTGAGGGCATTGGAAACACAAAGAGGCCCCATCCCACGCAAGAGCGGATAGCCAAGAGCAACGGAAGCCAGTGTGGTTTCTGCACCCCGGGCATTGTCATGAGCTTGTACGCCCTTTTGAGGAACAATGATGCCCCTACAGACCATGACATTGAGGAGGCTTTTGATGGCAACTTGTGTCGCTGCACAGGATATAGGCCCATCTTGGATGCCGCCCAGACCTTCAGTGTTGATAGAGGCTGTGGTAAAAGCAGCTCCAATGGTGGTACTGGCTGTTGCATGGAAAATGGCAACGGTGCGAACGGCGGCGGCGGCTGCTGCAAGAGCAAGAGTCTCGATGACGGTCAGCCCATCAAGAGGTTCACCCCTCCCGGATTCATTGAGTACAACCCAGACACTGAGCTTATCTTCCCACCTACCCTCAAGAAGCACGAGTTCAGGCCTCTTGCTTTTGGCAACAAGCGAAAGACGTGGTATCGACCAGTTACGCTGTCACAGCTTCTGGAGATCAAGAGTGTATATCCAGATGCCAAGATCATTGGTGGAAGCACTGAAACCCAAATTGAGGTCAAATTCAAGGCTATGAAGTACCCGGTTTCGGTCTTTGTAGGTGATATCCCCGAGCTGCGACACTATAGCTTCAACGATGACCACTTGGAGATTGGTGGAAACGTTATCCTCACAGACCTGGAGAATATATGCCAAGAGGCTATCAAGCACTATGGTCCTGCCCGTGGCCAAGTCTTTGCGGCCATGTACAAGCAGCTCAAGTATTTTGCTGGACGACAGATCAGAAACGTTGGAACCCCAGCCGGCAATCTGGCGACCGCATCTCCCATTTCCGATTTGAATCCGTGCTTCATGGCAGCTGACTGCGTCTTGATTGCAAAATCTTACGGCAAAACCACTGAGATCCCCATGTCGGGCTTCTTCAAAGGCTATCGGCGAACAGCTCTCGAACCCGACGCCATTATCGCTTCGATTCGCATTCCCATCACCAAGGAGAAGGGCGACTTTTACCGCGCTTACAAACAGGCCAAGCGAAAGGATGACGATATCGCCATTGTCACTGCTGCACTGCACGTGACTGTGGATGAAAAGGGCACTGTCGAGGGCGCAAACCTGGTCTACGGTGGCATGGCTCCCTTTACTGTTGCTGCCAAAAAGGCCAATGAGTACCTCATTGGCAAGATGTTGGCTCACCCAGATACCCTGGAGGGTGCCATGAACGCTCTTGAGCAAGACTTCAGCTTGGACTTTAGTGTGCCAGGAGGCATGGCTTCGTACAGACGGTCATTGGCTCTCAGTTTCTTCTACAGGTTCTACCACGAGGTACTGTCAGATCTGAAGGTTGAAAGCGCACACGGTGACAGTCAGGCTGTTGAGGAACTCGAGCGAGAGCTGTCAAAGGGCTATGAAGATCGAGAAGCAACGGCAGAGTATGCAAAGGATACCATTGGTAAACCCGCAAACCATGTTGCCGCTTTGAAACAGGTGACTGGTGAAGCCCAGTACACAGACGACATTCCCCCTCTGAAGAATGAGCTGTGTGCAGCCATCGTCTTTTCGACTCGCCCCCACGCCAAGATCCTCTCGCGCGATTACTCTGCTGCCTTGGATATCCCAGGAGTCGTGGATGTCGTGGATAAGGACGATCTTCACCACATAAGCGACAACAAATGGGGCGCCCCCAACTTTGATGACGTTTTCTTTGCCGAAGATGAGGTTTTCACGGCTGGTCAACCTATCGCAGTTGTCCTGGCCACGTCACAAGCAAAGGCAGCCGAGGGTGTGCGAGCAGTCAAGATTGAGTACGAGAATCTTCCAGCCATTTTCACCATGGAGGAGGCCATTGAAAAGGAGAGTTTCCACAAGTACTTTAGGTACATTAAGAAGGGCGATGTTGAGGAAGCCTTCGAGAATTGCGACTACACTTTCAACGGTGTGGCCCGTATGGGTGGCCAGGAGCATTTCTATCTCGAGACGAACGCATGTTTGGCAATCCCTCACCCCGAGGGCGAGTTTGAAATCTGGACCAGTAGTCAAAATCCCACAGAGAGGTAAAGAAAGCGCCCCAGGTATAACAAATAAGCTTCCTGCTAATCTTTGTCGCAGTCAAATGTTTGCATCGAGGATCCTTCAGATTCCAGCCAACAAGGTAGTCGCCCGCGTTAAGCGTCTTGGTGGCGGTTTCGGTGGTAAAGAAACAAGATGCGTCTTGCTCAGTACCATTATTGCCCTTGCAGCCCAAAAGACCGGCCGTCCAGTCAGATGCATGCTGAACCGAGATGAAGACATGGTCATGTCTGGCCAGCGCCACCCGTTCCTCGGCAAATGGAAGGTTGGTGTGAACAAGGATGGAAAGATACAGGCCTTGGACGTTGACGTCTTCAACAATGCCGGTTGGTCGTTTGATCTCAGTGCCGCTGTTTGTGAGCGCGCCATGACCCATATCGATGGCTGCTACAAGATCCCCAACATTCACGTTCGTGGCCGCCTTTGCAAGACGAACACAATGTCCAACACGGCTTTCCGTGGATTCGGCGGCCCTCAGGGTATGTTCATTGCTGAGTCGTACATGTCGGAGGTGGCAGACAGGCTAGGAATGCCGGTGGAAGAGTTCCGGAAGATCAACTTTTACGAAGCAAACGAGCAAACACATTTCAATCAGGAGATCCAAGATTGGCATGTGCCACTCATGTACCAGCAAGTACAAGAAGAGTCGGACTACGACAACAGACGAAAGGCTGTGACCGAGTTCAACGCTACACACAAGTGGCGTAAGCGAGGTTTGGCCTTGATTCCTACCAAGTTTGGTATCTCCTTCACCGCGCTTTGGTTCAACCAAGCCGGTGCTCTGGTACATATCTACCACGATGGTTCGGTCCTTGTCGCACACGGTGGTACAGAGATGGGACAAGGCTTGCACACAAAAATGTCCATGATTGCAGCAGAGGCCCTGAAAGTGCCTCTTGAGGATGTGCACATTTCCGACACATCTACCAATACCGTGGCAAACACATCGGCTACTGCTGCATCTGCATCATCTGATCTCAATGGCTACGCAATCTGGAATGCTTGCGAGCAAATCAATGCTCGGCTGGCTCCATACCGGGAAAAGCTTGGTCCCAGCGCCTCCATGAAGGACTTGGCACACGCCGCTTATTTTGACCGTGTCAATCTGAGTGCCAATGGGTTCTACAAGACACCTGAAATCGGCTATACTTGGGGAGAGAACAAGGGCAAGATGTTTTTCTACTTTACACAAGGTGTTACTGCCGCCGAAGTTGAGGTTGACTGTCTGACCGGAACATGGACATGTCTCCGAGCGGACATCAAGATGGATGTCGGAAGATCAATCAATCCGTCCATTGACTATGGTCAAATCGAAGGTGCTTTCGTCCAGGGTATGGGTCTCTTTACGATGGAGGAAAGTTTGTGGCTCCGCAACGGCCCCATGGCAGGTAACCTCTTTACCAAAGGACCTGGCGCCTACAAGATTCCTGGTTTCCGTGACATTCCCCAAGAGTTCAATGTGCGTCTTCTCAAGGGTGTCACGTGGGAAAACCTGCGCACAATCCAGCGCAGTCGCGGAGTTGGCGAACCTCCTCTCTTCATGGGTAGCGCAGTCTTCTTTGCCATTCGTGATGCCCTCAAGTCTGCGCGCTCAGACTACGGCGTGACAGCCAAGGAACTCGCAGAAGGTGGCGATGATGACGGGATTCTCAAGCTCGAAAGTCCAGCCACGCCAGAGAGGATCAGGTTGTCTTGTGTCGACCCAATCATGGAGCGGGCAAGAGTCCAGCCAAAGGAAGGAGAGAAGAACTTTTTCATTGCCATTTAGGATATACGACGCGATGATGTTTTCATGGGTTCACAAGGGGGCATTACGGCATACGACGGGACGAGTAGCATGGGAGCATTACTTTACTTGGAAATCAATTAGCATTAAAGAGCGTTTGTTCGTGTTATATGCGACAGGCACAGCAATTAATTTTGTTGATGGCTTTTTTTTTCCTCGGCTGGATCCTTTTTTGGATGACTCCAGTCTACTTGTGATAATCCAGTCCGAAGTTGTAGCCGACTATTATCAAATTTGTTGCATACCCGGGCGCCAATAAGAGATATCTGAGGTTGTCTCCCAAATAACGATTCTGTCCAGCATGAGTCAATGCCTGGCTGGGTTGCAAGCCAATACACCTCAAATCAACATGAATATATCAGCGGTGTCAGCAAGCATGGCTAGGTATATTGTACGGATTATGTGGGGTCGGACATTCCCCGTGTGAGTGAGCTAGCGATGAATCATATTCCATCATCTTTTCAAACCCAAGCTAAAGTCCGACATGGGTTGCCTATTTGAGCTTCTGCGGCTTATTATTGAACAGGGATCATATTTCAGATATAAGTATCATGAGAACTACTCGTATGAAAATTGATCATGCTTTCCCGTTTCTGCTGCAAGTCTGATAAACGGCCATAAGCTTTTCGCACTCTAGCACAACATGATGGCTGCTACAGTTGAAAAGACCGAGGAGTCGATCCGCCTATTCCCCTCGCCACGGCTGTCGACAGTCATCAAGACTCCATTATCCATACTTGACGCGACATGTGCTCGTTTCTCAGATACAAGCGCCGTCTGGCTCTTTGAGACACCTGCGAACGGCAATGTCGACGATGAGTTTGTGGAGAAAATACAGGCTTCGTTTGTGCAAACACTAAATAAATTTCCCCAATGGGCAGGACAGCTCCACTGGGCGCCGTTTCGAGCACACGGGCATCACACTGAGCGATTCAACCGCTCCATGCTCACATACGGCAGCGAGGCGGATCCGGGCGTGCAATGGACAGTCGTGCGGCATGACTACACAATCGCGTCCTTTGCGCCAACGGGGACCGGGAGCTTCAATTCGGGCTTGTGGGAGGCTGGAGACGCGTTTCCGCAGAAAGACTTGGTGTCGCCAGAGAGACTGGCTCTCTACAATCTGAAAGATTTCCAAGACCGGCCCGTCATGTCAGTGCGGATTAATGTATTCTCATGTGGCGGATACGGCATCGGCGTCAAACTGGCTCATCAGGTTGCCGACGCCCAGTCCATGATGGTGTTCATGCACAAGTGGGCAGCCAATGCGCGGGTCCTCTTTACAGGAATGCCGAGCTCGAGCTTATTCAATGAACCCGTCTTTGACCCTCAGCAGCTCGACGCCAGGGCGGCCGGGGACATTGACGGCGAGTCCGTAGACACGGATATCGCCGCCGCGGCGCGCGCAATGCCGCTGCACCGCTATAGCTGGTGGGACGTTGATGCGCCGGGCTACTCGCCCTGGCTGGTGGCCTCGTCCCAGAACTGCATCCCGTCCGCCGAGGTGCTCGTCAAGACACACGTCTCGCCGTCGACAGTCGCGCCCTGGCACACTTGGGATTTGACCCGGCCGGTGTCCTGGGGACTGGTGCACTTTACGGGCGAGGAGCTGCTCGGGCTCCAACGCAGGGCGCGGGAGAGTGGTGCGTCGCAGCAGGGAGGAGGAGCGGCCACCATTTCTCGGACAGACGCACTCATGGCCCATCTGTTCCAGAGCATCACGCGAGCCCGCAGCCTCGCCGCGCACCGCACCGCCGAGCAGAAGGACGACGACGACGACGACGACGACGACGACGACGACATGGTCTATCTCAACGTTTCCATTGACTGCCGCCGCCGCGTCGCGCAGCCGCTGCCCGAGACGTTTCTGGGTTCGCCGCTGCTCATGACGCACATTGGCGCCTCGGCCTCGGCCTTGTGCACCTCTGCTACTGCTGCCGATAACGACGACGGTTTAGGCCATCTTGCCCTCAAGCTGCGCGAGACCTTGACAGCGTTTACGCCCGACAAGATGGGGGCGATCCTGCACGACGCCGCCTACGAGGTGTCGCCGCAGCGATTGTGGCTGGGGTTCATGGGTACTCGACACCTCATTGCCACGTCGTGGCAGAGGCTGAGGGCGTACGAGGTGGATTTCGAGGGCACAGGGGCACGGCCGGTATATGTTCATCCGATCATGGAGAAATGTGATGGTATATTGGTGATTGCGGATTCGTTGCTTCAGGATGGTGGTGTTGATGTTTCTGTATATCTAGACAGGGATGCATGGGGGCATTTCAGGAAAGACCTGGGCAAGAATTAAAAAGATATGCGTATTGAGAGTAAGAATCTGGCTTTTGTTCGTAGATAAGCTGAATGGACGACGAGTAGAATGCTATGACATGCTACAGAGTAGCCAGTAGCATCTAGGAGTCAAAACAAGGATGCTCGGCGCGGTGCCACAAAGAACATTGAGCTCCAACTATTTGCTCAATGCGAGCTAATACCCGACGATCAGCGGCCGCTTGTGAATGTCTTTGGGGCCTTAGGTGATATCGGTAGGTATGTATAATCATCCAGGGCCGACTACTACCCGCTGCAGATGGCTTATTAAGAGATAAGTCATATAGTCCTTGGCAAATAAGACCGAAATTGGTTATTGCATTAGCAGCAGTTGGCTAAATTCACTCGCCTATACTGTACTATAGCCCCTTGGCTTTCACTAAAGAGCTAGGTTCAAGAAACAAGTTTGGCTTCAAATATCGGCGTTAAGATGCGGTTCGCCCCCCACTGTAAGACAGATTATCAAGCACTAAATGTCACCGCTCGTGGGTTATTATAGTGGGTAGTGGGTTTATACTTGCATACATGACAGATAGACAAAGTCAACATAATAAAATATATTTATATTTCTCTTGGTCCACAGTATCGAGTTCAAGAGAAGATCTATCAACTGTCGGCATTCTTCTCTAACTGCAATCATTCTTGCAATCAACCAGAACAAATAGGGCCTCAAACTTTCATCACCTCTATATATATAAAAGAAATGTTGGCCATTGTCGGAGCATCAGGCAAACTAGGCGGGGCTACGCTGGCAGCACTGCTGTCATACAAGCTCGCCGAGCCCTCGGAGATTGTGGCCATCACCTCTTCACAACCCGGATCCGAGACCTGGAGATCCCTCGAGTCAAAGGGCGTCACCGTCCGGCACGGAACCTTTGAAGACGGTGCCACCCTAGAGGCCGCGCTCCAGGGCTGCGACAAGTTCTTCCTGGTATCGACGCCCCGCGTCGAGCTCGACTACAATGACGCGCCCGAGGGCCAGGGCCGCGAGAAGCATCACAAGGTGGCCATTGATGCCGCTCTGCGTGCTGGCGTGAAGCACATTTACTACTCTTCACTAGGCTTTGGCCGTCCCAGCAAGGCAGGCGTGATGCGCGCCCACATTCGGACAGAGACATACCTAGAATCTCTCGGGGACAAGGTCACCGTCACCGTCATGCGCGAGGGCCTCTACAACGAGAGCTGGCCGCTGTACCTCATGGGCGTTGACCCCAAGTCCCTGACGGCGCTGGGCATTGACCACCAGGGCGACGAGGGCGGCGACGAGGTCCGGGTCCCCGGCGACGGCAAGGTCAGCTGGACCGCCATTGAGGACCTGGGTCTGGCCAGCTCCCTCGTGCTGGTTCCCCCGGGCGCAGAGTACGCCGGCAAGACGTTTTACCTGTCGACGCCGCCCGCTTTGGCCAAGACGCTGCAGGAGACGGCGGCGCTGGTGACGGCGGCGGGCGGCCGTGGCAAGGATATCCGGGTCACGATTGTCGATCACCAGGGGCATGAGGACTTTTATGTTGGAGAGAAGAAGATGGACCGGTCAGCTGTGCAGTGGTGGGTTGGCGTCTTTGATGCTCTCAAGGATGGTGAGACTCTGATTGATGATCCCACTCTGTCCAAACTGCTGGCGTCAAAGGGTAAGAAGCCGATCACAATGGAAGAGACTGTGAAGAAGATGGTAAAGGGATAATTTCTCAAGTAAAGCATTACGTACACGAAGATGCCCCAAATAGAAGGGAAAACAAAGTAGCATAAATCAATGACGACACTGTGAACAACAAAGTATAGTGATTTGGATGTAAATCAAGTACACATTGAATTCTAAGCCTTGCAGAAGGCTGCCATGGTATCAGGGAATATTGCTTCTACATCAAACATCAACCGTGTACAAGTGAATAGAGAGAAGAAAAGTCTCTCAGGCCAATTAATTACCACTGTCATCAACTTGAGCGGCATTGCATTCGAGTTTGAACGACCTAATTTGAGTAATATTCCAACACGTAGACGCCGTGACAGCCTCGCCCTGATCACCTGTACAATTGCCTTGTGACCAAGGAATGACTGACGCAAATTCGTAACGTTAGCAAGGCGTCTTGAGCAACACTCGACTTTGACAATGACCATACCTTGACAGACGGTACTGCCGGGAGCAAAGTCGATTCGAGCCGCCAGATATCCGAGTTCTCCGCCCTGGCCATTGGTCCATCTCGTTTCATAGCACTTTCCGTCCACGCCGGGGTTTCCAGACGAAACCCATCGGCAGTCTTTCCAACCCGATGGAGCAAAATTGATGGTAGGAGGCACGACTTTGGGCTCTTGTGCAATTGCAAAAGCAACGAGAGCCAATGCTGCAGCAAGTTTCGTCATTATGTTGAAGATATTATGAATCTCAGGGGCCTTTGAGAAAGAGGTCCTAATTGCGAGTGTCAGATATAAGATTGGGTTCTTAGATCCTCTGAGGACGTGAGCTCAGTCCTATATATACAGACTGCCTGAGAGTAGATGGGCTGTGATGATTAGAAAGAATGATGTAGCTTGTATTACATGTCAAAAGCAATGTCTCGGGGATCGGCATCAGGCAGATTTGTTTCAACTCAATGCTCAATCTTACAGAATATGCCACTTGGGTTGATAAGTTTAGGTAGGATTCAAGCCTTGAACAATATCTGTACTGTACTACTATAAGTCATATTGTTTCTGATGGAGAAGATCTGCCCGTATGTCAAGTTACCTCGTCTCCTTTGCGAAAGACAACGTGCGACCATACTTCTCGATTCACTCACCTGGCCTCAGAACCATCCATCGAGGTTTTGTAGTACTCGTATGAACGATACACCTCAACACATGACTAGCTGTCCTCTTTTCAAAAGCTTCGAGGCTCTCACAGCATTTTCTTTTTTTTCTGGTGTCTCGCGAATACAGCGTTCGCTTAAACGATCAAGCAATTCTCTGGGTGCACATAGCGTTCCACGTGTCTTTATAGTTACGCGGACTTCGGACATGTCCGTGTGAGTGACGAAACAATTCCAGACACACGATCATGACTTATTCTGATGTCCACGAACTCTCAATACAGCTTGATTTCTACAGATTTGCCCCTTATTATGAAGTGGTATTGGTAATCATTATTCTCCAACCGCAAGCATTGACGCTAATATAGTTATCTCATCAGAATAAATCATCTTCCTTGACGAGTACAGACCGATTCAAGTGCTTCTGCGATGAAGAGGCGATACCGGCCAAGTGTAGAGTAAGTTCAAGATCGCCAAGCATGGATTTCAAAACATGGGATGTGCCCTCCTCACCCCCGAGTACGAGGCCATAAATGTATGGCCTCCCCAAGATACACATCTTGGCACCTAAAGCCAAAGCCTTGGCAATGTCTGCACCACAGCGGATACCAGAATCGAAAAAGACCTCTAGCTTGTCGCCCACTGCGTCCACAATTCGTGGCAAGACACCCAGAGAGCTGTTTCCTCCATCAGTCTGTCGTCCGCCGTGATTGCTGACTACAATTCCTTGTACTCCCACTTCCACCGCCTTCTTGGCATCTTCCACGGACTGTATGCCCTTTAGTACAATAGGTCCTTTCCAGTTCTCCTGCAAGAACTTGATGTCTTCCCATGAGTGACTCATGGCCGGGAACACGGTTCTCGTCCACTCGGCAACAGCAGCACCCATGTCATCCTCGATCTCGCAGCCGTGCTTGCTCTTGAAGTGCGACCGAAAGACAGGGTCAGTGAGACCAACGGCCACGCCGATCTGGTCAGACCGAAGAAAGGGGTTGTACCCATTATCCATATCACTCGGGCGCCAGCCCAGGATGTACGTGTCCAACGTGACAAACAGGGCCGAGAACCCGGCCTTTTCCGCGCGGGACAGGATGGACTTTGTCACGTCGTTGCGCTCGTTGGGCGGCCAGTACAGCTGGTACCAGCGCTCGCCGTCGCCGTTGGCGCGCGCCACGTCCTCGATGCTGGTGCTGCTGGCCGTGCTCATGATGTAGGGGACGCGCTCGCGGGCGGCGGCGGCGGCCGTCGCCATCTCGCCGTCCGGGTTGAAGATGCGCTGGACGCCCACGGGCGCGCACGCAATGGGAAACGGCTGCCGCTTGCCCAGCACCTCGACCGAGAGGTCCGGGAACCCGTCCGTCTTGACCAGGCGCCGCGGCACAATCGACCACCGGCCAAAGGCCTCGCGGTTCTTGCGCGCCGTTTCGCCCGTCCCTGCCGAGCCGACCACGTAGCCCTTGCTTTCGGCCGACATGCGCTCTTCGGCTAGGCGCTCCCAGTCCAGCGCCTTGAAGGTAAAGGGCGGCCGTTCATACCTTAATCCTTTCTGGTAGATTGTGTTTTCGTATTCAATGGGGTTCGGGTCCTTGTTCTTGGACATGTCGGGGCGCCGGGCCACACCTTCGTGTTGATCCATACCCATTTTGAGTGGTGTAAGTGTCTATTGTAAAAGAGGGGAGAATGGTTTTGAACTGCTGAGATGAAGTTTCGTACTTCAAGTTGGGATATCTCGGATGGACTTATTATACTCATCTGTATCGAGGCATGTGGATAAGGTTGATGCCAAGAACGTCATCTTATACGGAACCAACCGGACACTTTTTCTTTTTCCCACATCTCCCGCCCTCGAGTCCGGACCATTCCATCACCCTGATAGGGCTGCATTGCAAACCAACCTTCTCGAAATCTAATGCCGGTATTCCCTGGTTACCCGTGAGATCCGTTCGGTTACTTTGAATTCCCACCATGTATGGGGTCCTGACCTTGAACTAGTGCGATTCGACGTCATAGAGGACCTGAATAAGCGATTGAACCCAATTCGGACCGTTTTGAGGGACAGACAACTTCACGCAACGTATTTCCTGATTTACATCAAGACACTAAAGAAGAAAGCAGAGTCCTGGGTCTTCTTGTCATTTTAGTGTTGCATTAGGCATGGCTACGTAACGATAGTGGTTGCGAGATCCAGTCAGACCAACATCGCCAACTATCGCCAGCGCTTCATGCTGCATGTTGTTGTCAGACTATTTACATGCCAGTACCGCTGGCGTAGTGCAGTCGGCCATAAGTAGCATCGTTATCTTTGCCAGGTGGATATGAATGTACTGCCGACGGTCATGTGTGAGCTCATTCTGGCCATCTTCGCACGTGAAGATTGCTATACGTATTGAGGTTGCACTACACGCTTTCGAGATGAGTGAATATGAGATTTCTTATAAGCTAGGCCATAATATTGAGAGCATGATCAGAGCTTACCATAATCGTTTGCCTCAGCCAACTCTTAAGGGGGTTGAAGTTCATTCACGTTGCTCTCTCCGAGGGTCCTTCTGTCGGTGTACGTAGAAAAGAAAATCTTCGATATTAGGCAGCAAATTGATTGAGAATGAGGAATCGCAAGCACAATTTCAAATGCATGCATGACTTTCTGCCGCCAAACAATTTGGTAATGGAAACAGAATGTAGGTCATGTTATAAAGGACACAAGTCACAGCAAATGGATGTATACTCTCTCAACTCAAGTATGCGGAAAAATCAGCTCGCCCACTGGTAGATAATAGTCATGAAGGTTATTTGGAAGACTCAACATAGAATACCTATAAACACATTTTACATGATAATCAACCGAGTTATGACGGATCAGCGTTCAAAATGCCATATTGAACTCGCCCATGGCACACATGTTGCGACCTAGTTGAGTGCCAGCTGGCAAACAGTTGGCGAAAGCAGCGTTAGCAGCCATTCTCATCCATTGGGACACCTGCAACCAGCTAATGGTTACGGCCACTCACCAATAACCTTTACAACGACATTCTTGGTGGACATCCAGGAAGACAACCAGGTAGAATCAATCGGTGCCCTGCCGCATAAGCCACCAATTGCAAAAGACGAAAGTGCATAAAATCGCTTTTCTGCAGCGTCCCGGTCTCATTCAACTGACTGGTTCTGAATCAGAGTCTGCCAAACGTTGTAGACCTTTCCCTCACAGGCCATCGTCTACCTACGGGTCAGAGACCTGCCCACTCAAAACACACGCATACACACGCGCCACGTACGTACGCGAACAGAGGCGACGACACTGCACAGACAGGCAAGATGCATGAGATCTTTCTCACGTCCACCATCAAAGATGCCGACCTTGAAAAGGCATGTGCAGTTCTGCAGGGCCTGAGCTGGATGTCAGCTCGCCGCAATGTCTACCGCGTGTCCTATTTTGCTGGGCCATCCAGGCCAAAAGGCTTGCCTGCCATCAAGTCCATACAGGCCACACAACGCCACGGCCTTGCCTGGACAGAGCTACACAAGGAGCTCAGCCGTCTGTCCCATGTCTTCAAGGTAGTGCACGAAGTCCTCCTGGACAGGGACTTTGGTTCTGGCGTTAATGTGGACTTGAATGCCGTGGCAGGTACGGTGCGCTGGGAAGGCTTCCCCGATCCACCAAGAGAAAAGGGCCAGTTGACGACACATCGCAAAAAGATTGACATTCCAGAGCAGAAACAACTGCTTGCTACCATGGCGAGTAACGGGCAATCGTAGGTCCAGCCTATCCATCATCTCCCGAGTCTCTGCCCGTTTGAACTAACCGGTCCTAATAGGTATCAGACAGAGCTTGTTCAGGAGACATATACCTTCATCAGGGACAATGTCGAGTTTGTCCTGAGCAGACACTACTACATACCGCCGTCGCCTGAACAGCCAGGGCCAACGCCAGCTCTTCCGGCGTGGTCGAATCTCACACCAGTAGATCCGGCCAAGAAATGGATGTTCCAGGTCAAGCGGGACGTGATCGAGGACAACAACCCCGAGAAGATGAGGCAAGCACAGAAGGAGCTCTTGGACGTGAAAACTGAGCTCGAACCCATCTTCACGTTTGTGCCCATCGACAGACGTGTTCTTGATCCGCGGATCCCATTACCGCCCACTGTTCCGGGTCAACACCCATAAGGCGACCGACCGCGGTAATAGACCCATGCGCCTGTCCCTCAAGAATAGCGGAAGACCACAGCACGTTGAGGGTAACCGTGACGCCTATTACCCAATGTATTGAGCGTCTATGAATTGGTACAAAACGACATTGCAAATCACCATAAAAGACTCCGATACCCCGTAATAGACCAGCTCACGACATGATGTTCTGATAACTTCTTGTTACCCATGACGCAACCGAGGTCGCTATGGATCTCGGCAGACCTCTATCGCTTGATCATCAACCGTATGCAGTAAAGTTATTGCAATTAATGGACCAGGCTTCAGGCTTTGGCTTCCTTCTTCTTACCTAGATGAAGCTAGCTTGATACCCGGTGTGACCGTGGTTCGGTAGTAATTACAGGGCCCGGAATCCGTCGACTTACTGTGCCACATAAAGGATTAGCTGCAGCAGGGAGGCCACGCAGGGCAGGAAAGAACTATACATGATGCATGAATAGACAGGTATCATAAGGCGGGCCATGCACAAGGCACCTACTTGATATCCACCAAGAAAACGACCGAAAGACTTGCAGAACCGTAAAATATCCAATGAGAAGAACAAAGTCGCGTCTATATAGGGTTTCTTCATGGTTACAGTGTCCATACTCTTTTCAGTGGAGACTGGGGAACGGACCCAACGAACCTCGGCGAGCACAGTGGTGTTGATGACTTGGCGATCATGCACACGCTTGTGGCCTTTGCTAGCCGGCCAACTACCTCCGAATCTCTCGAGAACAAAGACCGCCACATACCGAAACTATTGCAGCTTTTCGGCTCATGTGTCAAGTCGCTACCATCTAAACTGCTGGGTCATACAGGCCTTTCTCTAGCAAACATGGCCAAATCAGGGTATGAGAGAATATCGTCTCATCAATTTATCAAAATGAGCTCAAAGACAGAGGAGATTCTTGATACGATTACGAATTATGGAGTCTTCTTTTCTCTTCTTAATTTTCACAGACACTCATAACCATTTGCCGTGAAGGGCTAGGAGAGGCTAGCCATGCTGCCGATATGCTAGGGACTTTGAATCCGCTTCTCACTTTCCTGGAGGCTCCACGGTACGGAGAAGACAGGAATGTTCCGAATCCGTGCCGCGACTGTGCTGCCAACGTTTTCTCCCAATGCTTCTCACTGCCGATGAAGGTACGAAGCTGCCAGAGATGTCTACATGTCGAGCAAGTACTGTCGGTACCATGCCATGTGCAACAAGCTTTGGTCTAAACGCACACTCGGCGTGGTCAGGTTGCACAAACGTTGGATGTTTGCCTTGTCTTGTTTCCTTCAGGGAACACCCCAGATTGGGCCGAACAGTAGAATGCAATAATGGTAGCGGATCGACCGTGGGTGCAAGTGGGAATCATAACGGCCTGGCGGCGGGTTGCCGATGTAAATGGAAAATGGTGAGTAAGGTATGTACTACGACGAGTGAGAGGTGCATGTACATCGAACAGGGGCTGCGCGATCCTTCGAGGCTTGGCACCCTTACACACACACACACGCACAGAGAGAGAGAAAACACTGGGAGAGGTCTTTGCTTCTTGTTTTCGGTATAAGGTGCTGTAGCTTCTTGGTTCCAGCTGGAAGGATTCGGCCCCATGGACTTTTGGGTCCTCCCCCCATTCCAGGGAAGAGGGGAATGGTAAACGACAGTATTATAGGAGCTGGGTCTGTCGTAAGCACTTGGGTTAGAATAGTATGAAGGTAACTGGAGAACATTATAGTTTAGTCAGACTCCTGGTCTTTCTTTTTCCTCTTTTTCTTATTCGCTTTTTTCCCTTTCTTGGGCCTGCCAGATGGTAAGAAAAAAGTCCGAAGTGACCAATAATATTTTGTGGGTTGTCGTGCGGCCGCGTCTACCCAGTTGCTTCCTTTGGCGGAGCTGGTCCAGTCTGCTGGGTCTCCCTAGCCCACGAAACTATCAGCCGCTTGGACTTCGGGATGACACGAGAGCAGTCAAGGGCTGACTAAACTTCTTGATATCCATCTGAATCCTCTTCTTTCGCATTTGTTCTTCGCATTCTATTTCATGTCTTGAACTTGACTACGCAGAGCAGTAAGAGCTGCTTTGCCTCGACTAGAATAGAACTAGTTTGATGTGCGAAACCGACGCATGCCCGAAGGAAGGGCCCTAGTCAGTGTCCCATTACCCATCTATCATCTCATCTAGGATTCGAGTAAGGATCCCGATTGGCCATCGGCTACGTGTACGGTACCTTTCCAGTGGCTTGGTTGAGACAATGGAAATAGATCGGAAGTTGTCCATGCGACGGGAAGAGAGTGGAAACATACCTAGCTAGGCAGTCGGTCTGTGTGTACAATGACATTTCAACCAACAATCGGCGCCGACTGTTTAGATTTACATCTCAATGTCACAAAGAACCCAGTCGGGTAATGTACAGAGTAGTACAATGAAGACTTGAAAAGTAGGGGTTCCGATTTACATACTAGCTAGTACATACGACGATAGTTGTATCAGAAAAAACGAAAGGCCATGATACGCTAAAATCGAATTAGTGGGTTGCCTTGGTGGAAATCCTTCGGCGGATATGTGTGGCCTAACAGCCCTGTAGGGCGAGTTTACTGGCCTTCGGGACCGAAGCGTTGATTGGAAAAAAAAAAAAAAAAAAAAAAAAACAATTGCCCTTTTTTGTTTTTCGGAGTGGCGCGCCAAGGTTCGTGAGGTAAGACGGCACCGGCGTTTATCTCCCTTCTCCTGTGTCTCTTCTCTCTATTCCACCCCTTGCCTCGGATATCTGGCGGGAGGAGGTTCCAATTTGCCTGCCGGCGATTGTCTATCAATGATCCGCTATCATCGGGAAAGCGACAAGGCCTAGCTTTGTAGAGTGCTTGTTGGAAGCTCCCGTGGGACCTGGACCACAAATGGTGGAATGGTGCCTTTTCATCGGGTGTGCCATGTCATGATCCCGACTCATCATCCATTGATTTGCCGTCTGAGGGTACCCAAAAGGAGAGTGGTCGTAGTATAGTACCGGCTTTACCAAGCCGCTATGCTAGGTCTTGATTCCTTCTAGTACACTGGAGTAATCTCATCATAGTACCGAGGCTTCGGCCAACTTGACGGGCATCAGGGACCCTCTCATGGCAACAACTATTTGCAGATCAATCAAGCTTCTTCCTATGGGAGTGGACTATTAGATGAGGTCTCGTGCTCGATTCAAAGGTACCCCATACTTTGGTGTGCGGCAAATCATCACAATGGAGAATATGGTATTCCACTTGAGATGATCTTCGTTTGATGAAGCATCTATACTCTATTCTAAATATAGACTTCATAGTACTTACACCAAATCATGATGGACGTTGGATTCCTGGGGGGCGTAACAAAACTACTGCACGTGGTACAGGTGGGGGATGGGAAGTTGACAATCAAGACGGCCTGCCAGGATTACCAGAGCAGTCAAGAGTATCAGTAAAGGGGTAGCCGATATGAATGGCAACCGTTCGCGAAGTAGGCAGCCGGCTGAAGGATTTTTGGCCAGCGTTTCTGTGCTACCAGAGAGAAATCAGTATGTGATGTGATGCCGTGCAACATCAAGGCAAGATATCGTTATGTGACGTTTCAAAAAAGGATTGCTATCCTTAGAAGTTCTTCACATGGTAAGCTGTAGACCAAAACCCCATTTCATTCCTCCACTGGTGAGGCTTGAGGGGAACAGTCTTTCGACGTTTGATGTGCTTATACGCACATGCCAATGATCTTCATTGGAGTTTTGACGTGATCGCTCAAGCAGTTGGTTTTTTCCAGCGGGTGTTGCCGGTGGCCATGCAAACAAGCCACGAGGGAGGGAGGAATGTACACAATGCAAATTCCACGTGTTCTCGGTCGCCAGGAGAAGACAATGCGGGCAATCCGGCCGAGCTTCAGTAGCCCTTCGTGAGGCTCCGCCATGAAAATGTCTAGAAGCACCGCTGTTCCCCTGTTCACATTTCTAGCGAGCAACCGTGCTTAGAAGGCAGATGAGGCCGAGGAATCCTTCGAGCACCAACCAGTCATCGGTTCCTGGGCGGCATCATTCCGACGGACGAGGAAAGTGACGACTTTCCCCCCTTGGATTTTGTTGGTACAACTGTTGCTCCTGCTTAATATGCCACGCAAGGGGGCGAGATATGAGAGGGAACAAAAACGCTCTTCGGGACCGAAGCCAGGGGTCTAGGCTGTATCGTACGTCCTTGAAATGGTGGTGACGCCCTATACCAGTGGTCAGCCAAATGAATATGCTTATGGTTTCTCCTCATGATACTGGAATCCCTCGACCAAAGAGCAATAATCGACGGGAGGGGGTGATCGCATGTAGAAATGTAGGCAAGCAACTCGCACCTCGGTTCTGCTGCGGTGATGACTGCTGGCAGCAGTGCTACCATCTCCCGTTGGATTCTGGAGGGTGAACACGTAAAAACGAATCTACTGGCGCTCATCCTCTGATGGCTATTGGAGTCGCTTCTGGGTGACTGTGACGATGAAAACCACAGAGCAAGTATCTCATTAAGATGCCCGACAAACAAAAGAGTTCAAACGATGACTCGCGTGTGGAATTGACTTGCTTTAACCAAGAGTCAGCGTTGCTCATATACAAACAATGCGCAAAATTCGAAGAGGTTTAGCAACGGATGATGAAGCGGCTTGACCATTATTATAACTACCATCTAGTATTATTTCAAAGGAGGATCGATTTGAACGATTTAGAAATTTCTCAGAACTTGTAATGAGACATCATGATATAGAGTATAGTAACTCGGCAATGCTCTTTAGATCTGGCGACACATGTCCTTCCCAACACACGACGAATACTACTCATCCAAAAAGGCCCGGCGGAGACTATACACAAACCAAATGTCATCACAAGGTACGCTCATGCAAATCAACTCATATAACAGATCCAGTAATCAAGCACTGATTAAAACATCAAAGTCATTACATACTGTGGTACTTATTTTCACTTCTGACATGATTA